TGATAGGGAATGGAATTTCATACCTTTTTTTTTTGGCTGATAGGAAAAAAGGGTGGGGTAAAGCAAAGTGTCCACAGAGCACTCCAATAAACTTTCACTAGTAGTAGAATTACGAGGTTTTGACCGTGCTCATTACTTTTCCCGAAACAAACTTAGCTAAGTTAACATAGATATCAACTAGCGAACTCTAATATGATTTCAAAGTTCAAATCTCTAACTTTAGGGTAAAAAGTTCTACCAGTACCACCACTAGACTAGCTCACTTGGTGGTATGTAATTTAATACTTAACTTCTTCTTTTTTTAGTTCAACGGTCAAAAATGTTCGGACCAATTTATGTGCACCTCGATTAATCACATTTCCGATCTAATCAAAAGCAAATCATCCACATTAGGATTAAGGTATTCATGAAGGATATATAAATCCCTCACTTAACATTAAAGAGTTATCAAATTTTAAATTCGAGACATTTAAATTTACGATCCATCTTTATTTGCACTTAAACTACTTTGGGGTAAAAAAATTATAACAGTCCACTAGTAAAAGGAAAATGAGAGATGGTGCATGTGTGAACTCATGTGTGTAAAAGTCATATATGGTTGGTTGAAGTTGGAGTTGATTTTGTTAAAGATTCGAAGCAGTTCGTGGAAATATCTCCATTGTTTTCCAATCCCGGTGTTATTATCATTAATTACAAGACACGGAAATTTCGTAACACCATGGTTGATAATGACGACCACGACTTATTTAATTTGTTTTCGATTAATTTTTTTTTTATTTTCTTTGAATGATGGATCGTATAATCGTGAGGATTATCTAATTATTAAAAAAATAAATAATTGAAAGAAAACAAATCTTTTGAAATTAATTCGTAATACAATAAGCCTATCAGCCCACAGGTAATGGATTGGCATTCTGAGCTTTAATTGTAATGGGTCAATTGCATGTGAGGATCAGCATTCTTAAACACTCCGGTCATCGGAGTTTAAAGAGAATTAAATATACACAATCTTAATTTTATAAACAGAAATATTGTTTTTATGTTTCGAACCCCTGACTTCGAGGTTACAATAAAACAATCTTATTAATGCGCCAAGGTCCGCCCTCGTGATTCATAACACATGAAATTTTGTAAAGAAAGGCAAAGTACACTTCCACCACCAGAAAATCTGAAAAAGTTCATACGGGTAGAACATACTGGTCGAACATCTCGTGTGGCTGCGCCTGGCTACCGGTGCTTTCACAGGTTTGCTAGGAGCTCCAAAACAAATGCATTGATTCATCAACCTCTTGTTGACCGACCCATGTCTGCGAATTGAGCTTGGTGTTCCATCATCACTTATTTGAGTAGAGCAAGATGGTCCTGCAATAACATTGGAGTTCTACCATCATTTTTTTGGCTAATACAGTTGTGCGACAAAGCGATCGATGTGCCCCTCTATATGCACTCTGTTGCACCACTCTCTGGCGGTGCACTTGCAGAAATATAGTTTCTTCCTTTAATTTTACTTACTGAAGATGCTTGATTATGATACTTATGAACCATTTTGTTATGAATGCATGTAGTTAAAGATCTTGTAACATCTTTTGACACCATCAATGTGACACTCCAAAATCCTTGTGTCTGTAATTACTCGATTGATAATCTATCAACCCACAGAATATCCGTAGATACCATGTAATTCGATACTACATCGTTATGTCTCATTTACCGAGATCCATAACTTAACAAAATTTGGGCAGGGTCTCCTTCGTACGAGAAGCTCTACCCAAAACGCAATCTGTACAATATTGACCACACCAGGTCTATCCATCCATTCACAATTGTATATTATCGAATACTACCATAATCATCATCATTAAGTACATTTATTCATAAAAGAATAAATGTCTCAAATAAGTCTCTTATAGATGTTTTTTAAATATAAACAAGTTTTTGTTATAAAAATTACATAAGGTTAAAAGTAATTATAAACAAGGGACTACAATGTCAAAAGAAGAGCCACAGACCAGCTCTGTCGTCAAAGAGGGGCCCATGGCCTCGTCTTCAATGAACGCTTGTGCAATACCTGAAAATTATTCTCATAAAGGGTGAGTTAACGCTCAATAGGGTAACTCTTATAGAGAATATACCTCTTAACCTAAATGCATATGAAATGTCACATACAACAATCATTTTATGCAATCATTCAAATTTGTCTATTATGAACAAATGTCATAAATCATGTCATGCCATGAGATGAGACTCACAAAAATAATATCAACATCGAGCCCCATCCTGAACTCCTACAACACATGTAATGTCATGCGTATGTATCTGGGCATTTCACGCCCCGTCATTAGTGTTATGTACACTCGATGACTAATTAATTTATTTTCTTATGTCTTTGTGGGGAGATGATTTAATGTATTACACCAATGGGACCCCAACCATCAACGGATTCTCAAGACATCCCACCTGCGGCTCCATTTTGGCCGTTACACTTTTCTGAAATTTCATCGCCGAAAAGTGTATAAACCAAGTAAGCGGGTCTTGCACCCGAGGGAGAATCTAGCCCTTCTTGCTATCCCCAACACGTTTATCCATTTAATTTTTTGTGTGACTCAGTTGGACCTTGATGCGACTTTTCTGAGTTCACAATTAACCACCTATGTGGTGATTGATTTCATCTCATGCACACACTCCCACCCCATGTTAATGCCCATGAAAGTAATGTAAATCATGCATAATGACATCAATGTGCAATTGTTTTTGGTACCATTTACAATGTCCATTACATAAAAAATACAATATAATGACATTTTCAACATGACAACATGTTTATCAATTCTATAAACAAAAGCACAAGTCCACCATAATAATTATATGTTAAATAATAATTTAACATACATATTATTCCATAATCACATAACAAGCTAATAATTTTATTAAACTTGATATGTCATTTAAAATATAAAATAATGTTAATGTACAATTAACATGCTTTAAACCACTAACATTAACTTATATCAAGTTAATCATAATAGGATTTTTTTTTCTAATCACAAAGTTAATTATAAATCATATATTCGACCCATTAGTTACACTTGTCAAAACCTAACATATGATATACACTCATAGCCTATCCATTTCATATGTCATATTTTAAGTTGAAATTAAATCTAAATAGAGAAAACCCTACCTCTCATAGCGTGAGCCTACGTACTGGAACTCCGAGGAAGCCCAATTTAACTTCCCAAACTTTAGGCCTAGATTATCGTCTTTGATATTTTTTTCAGAGAAAAATACGATATTTTGTGTGATTGCGTAGTTCTCGCTAAGTAGAACAATTTTAATTCTTGGCCTGAAGCGATTAAACGGGTCAATTTTCGTAAATCTGAGAATGAAAAAAAGAGAAAAAAGTAAAACAATACTCACCTTTCTCTTTCCCACTCTCTAGGCGGCACACTGGAAGAAGAAAAGTTAACAATTAATTATATTAGAAAAGTTAGAAATTTATATTTTTGACCCATAATTTAATAATTAATTATTATTTTACTCCTTAAATTAAGATTTTTAATAATAATAATACTATTTTTTTTACGGCGTTTTACAATCTAACTCCTCAGACAATCGGGGCAACACAGCACTGCATGTGGCTGCATTCAGGGGACAATTAGCTGTGGTTGAAGCTCTAATCCGTGCAACCCCCGCATCCACCTATTCCAAAAACAACGCTGGAGAAACTTTTCTGCACATGGCTGTAACTGGTTTCCAAACTCCTGGTTTTCATAGACTACTCTATGAAAAGTTACCTTTGAGTGATATCTTCTTTCTTTGTCCAATCATAACATGACTTCTGAAATGCTTTATTATTTACTTCACATTATTATTTCTACTATGAATAAGAACAAACAACACAACTCAATTTCAAAACATTAATTGCTAGTGCCATAGCCTTTACCCAAGGAGGAGGACATGTGAGGACCAGCTTTTACTTCACGGGCACTGAAATAAAGAGATTGTGGGGGAGGGTGGGCCGCATAGCATGCTTGAACCATAACAATGCATGCGATGTTAAAATCGCAGTAATCTTCTAGTTACCTTATTTTTTCGATTTGTATAGTCATAAATCCTATTTTATTCATTGAGATTTATTGACTTTGTATATCATTCCGTTGTAAATAAACGATCTTATCATAAATCTATTGTAGTCTTGAAATTATATAATAATAGAAACATCAACTCTAGTCACCATCTTTATATCTAATTTACTAATAAGTTTTGTTCAGTTGAAATGAAGGGATAATGGTTGGGATCCCTGAACGAGTCAACGTTTGGAACCTGTGTTCCTGAAAGGATGACATAGACTCAGTAGTTTGGGAGCAAGTGAAGGTGCCTCAAACCTGTCCTCCGGCTGTGGCGTGGTGGGTGGTGGTGTAGAACATCTAGTCCAGTGTATAAAACAGTGTTAAAGGCATTGGTCTGACTGCGATACCATCCATGTGCACTTGAGACGAGGTGCCCAACGACTATTATACAAGACCATTTTCACAGCAATATGGTACCTGACGACTACTATACAATACCAATTTCATTTTTCACAGCAAAATGTTTCTATTCTCCCCCAATCAAACATTTCAAAACTAACCCACAGTGAAAGACCTCAATTGCTATAAAATTATCCCACCATCAATGAAATCAAGGCTACCAACAAAAAGTTAATCAACTTCAAGGCTACAGACAAATGCTAATCAACTGTCTGATTGAAATGGAAAAACAATCCAAAGTAGTCTACCAATATTTATAGAGCTGAGAATAAGTGTTGAGCAATAACAGACCACAAAATACTTTCCAGCATCGATAAACCACAAGCTTCGAAACATCAATAAAGATTTTACCAAGGGGAGAAAAATACTAGGAGCTACAGTTATTCCTAACGCACATGTACTTTCTCCTCAATCCCAAGGATCCTATGCCAACGAAACATCAAAGAATACAAATAAATTCCAGACTTCCTTTTAGTTTTTGGCCCTGACAGAGTTGTTCTCCTTGATCCTTGCTCGATTATCCAACTTGACAAAGCGTTTGAGGTCCTCATAAGGGAGAGTTTCTGTATTCTTCCTTCTTAATTCACTCAATGCTGGGCGTTTATCAAGCAGGTGCCACAGCCAATCTGGGTATTCAGAGTCTGCCAAGATTTTAGGGTCCGTTCCATCTTTGAGGATATTAGCACCAACAACTGTAGTGGACTTGACTTCTTTGCTGAGTGTAGATGCCTTCGGAGCATCAGTCGCCCCACCACCTTTAGATCCCTTCTTTGCTTTACCAGCAGAAAATGTTCTCCGGCCTATCACCCCAACTACCTGCTGAGGTGTGGCAATGCTTCTCAAGGATCTGATGTAGTTAATTGTCATCTCTTTATCCCTGCAACACCAATTATAATGATTGCAGAGTATTCATGCCCAGGAATATAAAAGCACTCATGCATGTTGGCTCCTGCAGACAATATCATCTCAACTTAATCCTAAGCAGAATGAAGTACAAAATCTGCTTGACTACAAATCTCTGAGTCAGTATTTTGAAGAATAGAAAAAGCTAAATATCTGCCTGCTGTACAAAATCCATCATACAAAAGTAAGGAAGTTCAAATCCTCACACTTTGATGTTTGTAAACCATGTCCTTTTAGCCATCTTTCTTGGTGTCATGCTATGATTCGCAAATCTTCCATCCCATCGAAGCTTATCCATCATAAAAATTCATGCATGAGATTGTTCTAATCGAATAAAATTCGGGTTACACGTTTTCATACTCTCCAACGGGCATTTTATCAAACAGGTGACGTACAAAAACCAAATAATCCAACAATAAAAAAAAATGAAGAAAAAAATACTTCTTTACATGTGAACTCCATGACATGAAATGACTCTTTTCTTCCACTTTTATGTTTGATCTTTGTTTGCTTGGGGTACTTCCCTTCCTCCTATTCAATCTGACATGAATAATCTCAAGTGTACTAGCAGGAGATGTGCCAGATCGAAAATTAAGACCAAAAATAAGAATCAGTTACTATTATTATGATGAAACCGCACCTGGGTCAGAATGAAATCTTGCCGTCGCGCTGCCTTTTACTCACAAGCAGTGCTTGGAAATGTTCGTCAAACAATAGCAACAGAAAAGGAGAGCGCAAGAGAAGGCAGTAACTTGTGGAAACCATTCAAAGAGGTACGAAATTGGGCCCATTTTGCGCTGGGCTAGAGTTCCTTTAGAGTTGAAGGCCCACTTATTCTTTCTTTGGTCTATTAAATGCCATGCTAATCCATGAGATTGTTCACGTCGAAATTATGGAACAATTTCAATACAATTTTTTAATAATAGCTTAATTTCATCATTATTTTACATAAATATAAATGAATAATTCAGATCAAATTATAATCAAATCGAATATTATTATGTTCAAATATAATGGATTCAAATTTAAATTTGGGTTACAGATAAAAATATCAATCCATGTATGTTGAATTTTTATTCAAATTCGAGGTAAATTCAAATAAAAACACTGTTTATTGACAGGCCAACATGAAACCGTGGCCATTCAGATGGCAGCTATGGTTGTCAACTTGGGCCGATTCAGCTCTAGAACTATCTGTCACTTAAAATTATTATTGGGCCATCAGGCCCCATTCAATAAAATCTTTTGCCACAACTTTAATAGGCCCAGATGGAACTAATTAGCTTTAGGCTGAATAATCAGGCCCAGGATCAAGCCCGCCATCATTTAGGGGTTAGGGTTTTACACTGGACTGACTTGGAAAACACTCTAGTTTCTCCCTCTATACACTCCCCAGACCCAAAGAGGTCAAAATCCTCATCCCTCTGGCTAAACCCTCACCTTTCTCTCTCTTCAATTTGCTTCTGATACAATGGGTAGCAGCCAAGCGGCAGTCTCATTCCTCACCACCATCGCACGCGCCGCATTCGGCCTTGGCCTCGGCGCCACTGTTCTCAACTCCTCCCTCTACACCGTAGACGGTGGCCAACGCGCCGTCCTCTTCGACAGATTCCGTGGAGTAATCGACGACACCGTCGGCGAAGGGACCCACTTCCTGATCCCATGGCTCCAAAAGCCCTACATCTTCGACATTCGCACTCGTCCCCACACATTCTCCTCCATTTCAGGCACGAAGGATCTCCAAATGGTCAATCTCACCCTTCGTGTCCTCTCTCGTCCCGAGGAGTCTCGTCTTCCAGACATATTCAAAACCCTGGGGCTCGAATACGATGAGAAAGTCCTCCCTTCGATCGGCAACGAAGTCCTCAAAGCTGTGGTTGCTCAATTCAACGCCGATCAATTGCTCACTGAGCGTCCTCAGGTCTCAGCTTTGGTTCGCGAGAGTTTGGTTCGAAGAGCCAAAGACTTCAACATTATGCTTGATGATGTGGCGATTACGCATTTGTCGTACGGAGCGGAGTTCTCGAAGGCCGTGGAGCAGAAGCAGGTGGCGCAGCAGGAGGCGGAGCGGTCGAAGTTTATTGTGATGAAGGCAGAGCAGGAGCGGCGCGCGGCGATTATTAGGGCTGAAGGAGAAAGTGAGTCTGCGAAGCTGATTTCGGACGCGACTTCGTCCGCTGGAATGGGTTTGATTGAGCTTAGGAGGATTGAGGCTTCGAGGGAGATTGCTTCCACACTGGCCAAGACTCCCAATGTGGTATACCTGCCTAAGGACAACAACATGCTTCTGGGCCTTAATCCCATGGTCGGCCGTTGAGTTGGTAATTTTGGTGATACTATTGTTGTCTGCACTTGTTTTGATTTACAATTACCCGATTATTCTTCAGTCGAATTGTTGGTTGCCATTGGGGATTTATGGTTCTTGTTGCGTGTTAGTAAATTGAAACACAATGTCACTTTTGCTATTAATGCAGTATATTAGATGGTTTTATAGGGGCAATCTGTTTCAGGTAACCACTATAACAGGCTCAGCTTCATTTCTATTCTTTGACGACATGCATTGGAAATGGGCCATTTTGTCACTGTGGTTGATGTCAATCTAGTTTTTATTTGCTTTGATTAACTGGTTTTGAGTAAGCTTATAATGAATGCTGGCAATTGTGAGGCTCTATATTGAGCTGCTCTAGTAATTCCTTTGTTTTTTTTTCACCAGTAATTGTAGACGGTGATTACTGCAGAGTAAGTTTTCTTCAACCTGCTATTTCCCATTTTTTTGTATTCTCATACTGTAGTCTGCTATTGTCAAGCCTGAATCTGTCTGTCTGTCTGTCTCGAATTTGTGGGATCAACATAGGCATAATAATCAACACATTACATTTTTTTTTTTTTGATCCAACAACACCTTACATTCAGGAAAAATATTTTTGTCGGTAAAAGACATTTTTTCCTGTTTTCGTTGGCCCGCGGAGATTTGGTTAGAATGTCAAGCCAATATAGCTTGTGGCTTTTATTATTTCATAGGTTGTACCAGAAGTTGAAGCCTTGGTTGAAGGAACTACAATTATTTCAAACTCAAACTTATGCTCCTTGATGATGAAAAATAAGAAAGATATAATTTTTATCTTTTAAGGATGAAAAGTAGAAATGATACATTTTTTTTTTTTTGTATTTAGTTGAATTGATGAAAAATAAAAATGATTAAATTTTTTTTTGTGCTGGCTAAGATTAGCAATGACAATCGAGTCGTGTTAGGTTAAATTTGTGTTGAGTCATAAAATTATAAGTATTTTATATTTGTTGTTCGTGTGTCAGGTCATTTTCAAATTTGTGTCGAGTTATTATCAAATTTGTGTCGAGTTCGAGTCGTGTCATCGTGTTGAGTCAAATTTTTACCCCTAATTAAGATGAAAAAAATATTTTTTTTAATTTTAAAATCTTATTTTTATTTTAAATTTTTAAATATATATAGACAAATAAAATATATTTTAACATAAATAATTAATTTTTCATCTACTTTCAGTCGATTTTGGTGAGATTGATTTTAGCGAGTTGAAAAAAAAGTTAATTTATCTATTTTTTTATCCTTCCTATTTTTCTTTCTTATCAAACATGATATTTTATTTATACTTGTAACTTTTTATATTTTCATCTTTTCTTTCTTCTATTTTTTCATTGTATCAGACAGACGAAATTAGGAAATTGAAATCGAAGAGCAAGTAGATTATGGCTCAAATGGATGTACGGTGTCGTGTGTAAACTGTGTTGAAGGATCATTTATGGCTTCATTGATACCTTTTCTTTCAGAACTGCTGCTTTGCATTCACTTTCCACAATAAAGTTCATGATTCCCACCGCTACGTTTGCTTGAAGTAGTGCATGATTACTTATGGGTTCTCGCTAATGCTTACTTTCAGTTGGGGGTATTATCATCTACTGGTCGTTTGCTTTTGCAACTTCTAAACCTATCTTCCCTCAATAATATAGAACTTTATTAAGAAGCTATAGAGCCTGTTGCAACAACCAGCGCCATTTACTTTTTTTTTTTTGGAAGGTTTATATGTGAGCCTATCTAGATACATGCAATTTATCACGATTTATCCTTCTTTTCTGGACACTCTATCTTAGTTATGATCTAATAAAAACCGCGATCTGAATGCATATTCCAGCAGAATCATGAATAGCCCCTTCTGCAATGTAAATCTTATGTCACAGAAAGATTACCCTACCCATTTGCATGCATCGAACTTGATCTAGATCAGGTGGTTCAAAGAATTCGAGTAGAGATATTCACAAGAGCACTGTGGCTGCCCCAACCCAAACCCAAAATAATGTTGCATCCTTATTGATAGCTCCATTACTTTGTACAGCCCATTTCAGACGTATCTAATTTACCTTCTTAAAGAGGAGGAAAACCAAGTGAAGTTAATAGCGCAAGGTGGTATTCATGATTTGTTGATATTAATGTGAACTGTGATAGAGCAAGACCGAGACATGTGCGCATGTTTTTCAATCCCAAACTTGAATGGGTAGCCTGGACCAATTGGAGTTCAAGCACCTATGCTCAGAACTGTCAAATAGCGAGTTCATGACTTACCCTTAAACTACTGATTGAACCCCAAAAAGCAACTGGGGAACCAGTATTGGAAAATCCCCTAATAGCGGGTGACAATTGTGCTTGATTTTGCCTTCTAACAACGTATACACTTATAATTAAGCCTGTAACCACTTGTTCCTCCTATTCCCATTAATGGCTGCGTGTTTTTCTTACCAGCCAGATTTCAACTCCTGTCCAAAGATGTCTTTCATCTGTGTTTATATCTGATTTGTAGTGTATCATGGTGTAATTTGAGAATTCACAAGTCATCCTCATGTATGATGATTTCTGCTTCTTAAGAGTCAAAAGGTGGGGTTTTGGTCTTCTGCCTGTCCCCTGAATTAAAAGCAACAAAGACTAAATTTTCTGCAATATCTATGTGACCGTAACAAACTTGGACTATTTTCTCCCGGTTATGTTTTCATACCCACGTCCTAAACAATCAAATCAAGTCTTGTGGAGGATTACATGGATTAAATTCCAATCGCAACACGATATTCATGTGAAAGCGGCATAAACGGTTGTTTTATGTTTCTCGTAAGTCATGTTTGCGTTAGGGGTCTTAGAGTGATGGACTGAGTCACGGAAACAGTAACCCTTCCTTGAGAGCACCTTGGCAAAGGCTTGGCCTTTATGTAGTTCTCATACCCAAGTCCTGTATCAAATAGGAAGTTTAGGAGGAGGGGGAAACACAGCTGCCGAAATAGCCCCAACTCCAAAAACCCCCCCAAACAGTAGAGTTCCCATGCTGTATAACCAGTTTAAAAAATATATATATAAATTAAACAGCTCAATTATTCCAAAGCGCCTCCCTAACCATGGAGAGCTGTACTTTAACAGGATGCTCAGCCCAAGAAATGGTTGCCAACATGTGACCCCCATGGAAAAACAGCTCAATGAGTTGACGCCATCTGCCTAATCAAGTCAATCACACGGTTACTGCAACAGAGACAACATTCAATCAACCAAAAGCCTGTATTAAAAGAGAATTCCTTAATTCTCGTACATAAGTGTTGTATATTGTAGAAAAGGCATTGTTTTCCTCAACTTAAATTCTCCCATATGCTCCATATGTAAACCACACCCACCGTTTTTTTTCACCTATTCCACTTTAATTTTCCAAATATCATCATTTTAAGCAGTCCCACCATATTTGCAAACTACTCCAAATTTAAATTTTTCAATATCAGTTAAGCATTAGAAGTAACAAATTTTCCATTGATGTTTGGGTGGGACTGGATGTGAAAAGAAGTTGCAAACTGAATGGAGCCGCAGCTAGTTTATATTTACCTATAACCCCACTCATTGTCATACCAAAAGACAACCTTCACAGTCACAGAGTGTCCATTCAAAGCGATACCAGCCTTGGCATAAAAAATGCTTGACCTGAAAAAATGCAATGTATCACGAAGTAAATCATAATTCTTAACCTGCAGCATTCCAAAATATTACAAGGAAATAGAAACTGTAAAAGCATTGGAAGCAACTGCAAAATTGGAAACTTAAGACTAAGAGAAAAGAAACCCCCTCAAAAAAACGTGACAAAGAAAAACAAGCAAAAGCAATATAACTTAAAAAGACAAAATAAAAAAGTGCAGTTCTCCAATAACAAGCAATAAGCTCGCTCACAAGCAAAAGACAAGCAATTTTGGGAGAGAGAAAGAGAGACCAGAAGAAAATTCAACCGTGTACAATGACTTGCACAAAATTGATGAAGATGAATAACAAGGTCCCACCTGCATTCACCCACGAAGTCCGTTGACACTATGTCATCTTCAGTGTAACCAAGAATTCCCTTCAATTTACCTCAGACTCCTCCCTGCACAAAAATTAAAAAGGGTAGAGTATGAAGGATAAGGTGCTTCAGTGCACGAAAAGTGGAATGAATACATGGGATAGGCAGATAACATGTATAAGGACCAAGTATACACGCAAAAACCCTGGTCTTACTTGATAGCAGCTTTGATTTCATCATACGAAGCTGCCTTCTCAAGTCTGGCAGTGAGGTCAACCACTGAAACATCAACAGTGGGAACACGGAAAGCCATCCCAGTCAGCTTTCCATTTAGTGACGGCAGAACTTTCCCCACAGCCTTCACAATTACAAAGACATGTCAGTCATGTTACAGAAAATGGTAAAGATTACCAAGCATAGTGTTATGACAATTAACAAAGAAACATTGAGAAATAGTGCTTGAATGGGAAGACTTTTTAAGTTGTTTTCTTTCAAAAAGGAGCTTTCAGAGGGATTGGAACCATGCGTTGCTTAAAGATAGGTTCAACCAGCCTAAGAAGAGAACTTTAAAAGTGAAATCACCTTCCGAGATAGTTCTAAAATAAACAACCAAGTTTTTTCTTGATATTGATATAAGGTACTTCGCAAAAAGTTTTCCAGATAGTACCTACGTGAAAAAAAGTTTAATTAATTCCTTGTATGTAACTAATACCTTGGCAGCTCCAGTACTGCTGAGAATGATGTTGAATGAAGCAGCTCTTCCACCTCTCCAGTCCTTCATTGATGGACCATCAACAGTTTTCTGTGTTGCTGAACAAACATTGAAAATAAATTAGGTAATAGTCAGATCTCTCAAATCCAATAAGACGAAAACCGAGGATATACTTACCGGTAATAGAGTGAACAGTTGTCATAAGAGCCTCAACAATACCAAATCTGTCATGAAGAACCTGGCAAGATTGTTTCCCAGAATCATCAGATAAAAATTCTGTCTTTTCATAAATAAAGCAAAACCTTCATGAGTGCCCTTAACAATTAAATAGAGTAATAAAGCAACCTTCGCCAATGGAGCAAGGCAGTTGGTGGTGCAACTCGCATTAGAAACAATATCAATATCTGGCTTATATTCCTTCTCATTGACACCCACAACAAACATGGGAGCATCCTTACTCGGGGTAGAAATGACAACCTTCTTTGCACCTCCCTGGTACAAATAAACAGAAAAGTTTACAACCACTTGAGGTAATTTTAGCATCAATGCTAATAATGACAAAGTCGCCAACCTACCAACAAAATTAACACTGCATTTGGCAGCTTGAACCTGGGATTGTGGATTGGAATTGGAGCAAAATCAGTACAAAGTTCAAATTAGTTCTTTTCAAATTCGAATTCCAAGCTGCAAAACACAGTATAAACATGTTTAGAAAATGAGCAAAACATGCTAAGATGAGCATATATATCCATTTGCTATAGCTATTAACCCCACTAGTATTTGCATAAGCAATAAAATCTAGAGCAGCAGAAAGAAGAAACTAAGAAAATGTCGTCAACAGCTCAACGCAGAAGACTTCTCTTTACCAATCCGTAAGAATAAATAGACAGGACATGAGCAGATCAAAGCAAACCTTTAAATGGGCAGCGGCCTGTCCTTATCAGTAAAAACTCCTGTGGACTCGACGACATAATCAGCTCCAGCCTCACCGCAAGGAATCTCCTCCGGGTTCCTATATAACAAGGAAAAGACAAAATATTAATCAAAGATCTCCCACTTTGATCGAGGATAAAAAACTGGGAATCCAACTATACCTCACACCAAAGACGGTGACAGGTTTGTCACCAAAGAGAAGGGTCTTAGAATCCTGGACCTTAAGCTCATGCTTTTTCCATTGTCCATGAACACTGTCATATTTGAACATGTAGGTCTACATGACAGAAGATCAAAATCAAAGTTAGCAAGATACGGATATGCATTAAGGAGTAGGACAATAAGTGAGTTCACTATGGGGGATCTTATAAGCAGATCATTCATTCATGTGAATCTACACGTGCATATAACTCCTTCGATTGTAATCTTCTTCTTTTATTTCCTTATATTTTTGTCCTTAATTTCCAAGGAAAGTTAGGATAAAACATCACACAGGCTCTCCATCTTCAATGTAAATATGATATGGAATCTCCGCTAAATAAATGCATGCAAGTACATCACAATAACATTCAAATCCACCAGTGATTTTACATGATTTTGTTGCATCCACTCAATTTCTCACATTACATGATTGGACGAAGCTAAATGCTTTTCTTCAAAACTAGCAATTACCATACAATATGGAGTTGCTAATTAACAATTATGTATGCTATTTCTTTTGTCTAACCAAATGCTGTGGGAGTGAACTTCAATAGTTACAGCAAAATCATCACAATCAGTGGTGGAAGTAATAGTTACTAACATCCTACAACACGCATTTGTATTTATGAGTGGATTTACTTCAGTGATTTGATTTCACTGAACACTACACAAGCAATTGAAGCAAATCACCTTTGATCCACACGAGGAACCATGGAACCCTTATTTCGGGGGATCCTACAGCCTAAGATCTACTGTTGAAATGAAAAAAAAAAAAAAAGGACGTAGGTCCAAATTAACGTAACTATATAAGGATCCTGAAACCTACACTATTCACAAGTATAATGTGCCACACTTGAATCATTATTAAAGAAATGGAATTTCTACCATGTAATTGGGTGGTAATAAATGGATCATTAACAGCAACGAGTTCAACATCATCACTGTAAAGCAACTCTAGCCACCAGTCGGCCAATCCTTCTAAATCCTGCAACATATAATTCAGATCATCAACAAAACCAAAAAATGAACAACTAAAACGTACGTATGTAATCAAACGAAACACTCATTAGAAAGACAGATGAAAACACCGTTGATCCGATCTTTATTTTGCCCATGATTGTTGAGCGCAACGAAGAGTTCTGAAGAAGAAGAAGAAGCACTAGCAGTCTGAGAGAATGAAAATGTAAGTGCTAGTATTTCGAAAAGGTTGTAGGGCAGTGAGGGCGGATTTATCGACGTTTGAAGGAAGAGGTACCACTTACAACATCGTGATGAGCGATTTTGGCGGGAAACAACTCGGAGGGTGTGTGTGAGGTAGAGGTGGACACATCGCCGTTGATGGGGTGCGGTGGGGGCGGGAGAGTAGTCTCCAACTCCTTAACCGTCTCAAAAATATTCGTCGATTTTCGATTCACCCTCATTAACGAAAAAAATTTTAATTATCATCCCTGACTTTATCATAGTCTCCGCCTATAATAATTAATTTTTATAATTTAAAAAAAATTGACAAAAAAATTCATAAATTCTCACAAATATATATGCAAGAATTATAAAAATTCATTATATAACAAATAGATAAAAACAAAAGAGAAATTTAAGTGTTTTTTCTAAAAGAGAAGAGTGTGTGGATGAGTGGATTTTGTGATATATATATATATATATATATGTATTAATAGGCAGGTGCGAGGGTGGGTAGAGTTTATATATATAACAAATTTAGTGAGACAGGACGGGGTGCGGGCAAGGCAAGGAGGAGTTTCAATCCATCCCGCATGAGTTTATATAGGTATTCTTATATACATTTATTGTCCGATATATATGGTCTACCTTTAATTCAAACGGGATAGATTTTGACAAATACTTATTTTTTTTCGATCTACTTCCATCCATAATCTCACATATTTTCGTAATCACTCTTCCTTATCATTTGATAACCACTAGTAAAGTGGGGTTCATCTCATCCACCGGTAATTTTATTATAAGATGATGATATCATGTGATAATAGTGATATGATATAACTATTACACCTAATATTTACTCATCTGGGTGAGATGTGGTTTATTTTCACACTTGTGTATATTTTTTCACCCTATTTAACTTTTTAATTATTTAATATAAAATTATTAAATTCACCTCATCTATATTCATGCATCGATGATTATAATTTTACTCCATCTATATTCATCCATTAATAATTAAGTCCACCCAATTTTTTTCTCACTTATTATATATTTTATTAAAATCTACTATCTATATAATAGTTGCGATAAAAAGAGTCAGCAAAAAATGTCAATATAATATTTGAGTTTTGATATAGACAATAGAGCAATGCTCTAAGTAGTAGTAGTGACGGTTGTGTGCGATATTTGAAATTCTATTCTATCGTTTTTAAATTCAATATTATGCATGGCTTTTCATCTTATTTTGATATTATAAAAAACTCATTAATGGATTTTGTTAATATTCTAAATTTAAAAAAAATTATTAATTCTATAAGCAACAATGGAGAGAGTGGTTATATAACTTGTAGCAATTTAATTTAATTAGATAAAATCATGATTTGTATGAAATAAGGAAGAAAGCTTCCCTGTCGTTCTCCAGTAGTTTGATTCATTTCCTTTCATATATATAATAGTATGAAATAAACGAGATGAGCCCTATTCTTCCATGCAGATTTGGAATAAACATATCGTGGCTATAAATCCAAATGAGACTCACTACACATCTGTACGGTGGTGAAAAGTAGAACAAGTAGAAGAAACAAAGGGTGTATTTGGTTGCTTTCCGAAAATAATTTTTTGTTCTCAATATTTTAAAAACATTTAAAACCTGTTTGTTTAGTTTTTTTGTTCTCCAATTTTTAAAAAATTTTGAGAATTGAGATGTGATTTTAGAGAATAACAAAATTGTATTTTCATTATTTTTTAAGGTAAAATGAAAATACAGGAAACACCTATCTCTAAATTAATGAGATCTCTCCTTCAAGTTTTATTGGAGACAAAACAATGATGACATGACTGTTCATCTCTCTCACTCTATTTCACAACTTTCCTCTCCCTCCTCTCTAATCCAACTTCAGACTGTTCATCTTCTCCACTGTGCATCTATGTGAATGTAAGTGTATGCGTGAGAACTCATCTCCTCTTTCTCTCTCTCTCTGTGCAACAGATCAGTATATATACACAGATCTATATGTGTGTATATATACATATGTATTGTGTGATGTATGTATTTTTCTATATATGTCTATGTGTGTATATATATATCTATGTCTGTGTGTTTGTTTTTGCTGTGTGAGAAGGCGATGGACGCGAATAATTGACTGGAGTGATAAGTTTTTTTTTTCTTTTTCAGAAGTGATAAATTAAAAATTACTTCTATGGATTATTGTCCAAACAAATTTTATTATTTTTTATTCTTTAAAATTATTTTTAAAAATATATAATCAAATAGATTTTAAAATCTAAAAATTTTTAAAAACACTTTCTTAAAACTCTTTTCAAAATAATTTTCAGATACTTTATTTTGAGATGTAAACCAAAGGGCCTATATTCTGAAAAATACCAGATCACTACAATGTGAGCCAAGTCTTTCTTGGTTGAAGTGAATTGCCCACAACAGGAATGCTGAAAGACAATGGTATAAGTGTTGGCAGAGGTACAAACTAGAAACATGGCTGCCCCAATCCCTCCATTCTGAACAACAGCATTTTGCTCTTAAGACTATATTACAAACAAGCGACTCGATAGCCTAATGCCTCTCATCCGACTCCGACTTGAGGCGGTGAATATGTCTAAGCTATATGACCACAGGCTGAGACATTATTGCTAAAAAAAATGTAGCTAAAGTTTTTTTTTCAACGTCCTTGAAATTTAGGTCTAAGGACCATTAATGAAAGAAAAATACTACACAACCCAAATGAAATGTGATTTGGTTGCCAAAAGGATTAAAACATTCAGCTGGAAGTCTAAAAAACCGGAATTCTTAATGATACTTACAGATAATTTAAAGTTTACAGGTTCAACCTGCAAAACTAAAGGAGGGGCACAGGAGGTAGAGCTTAAAACCAGTTCTAGAAGATCATATCAAACTTTCTGCTCCAAGAAAACAAGATTCTAGTCCCCCAGATGTCTCACCCCCTGATACATTGCACCAGGACGGAGATCATCCAAATTATCAAAGCATCGGTAGCTATTAATCTCCCTCAAACCAATCAAGCCACGGTGAGTGAGGAAATTGCGAAAATCATTTTCACTATAAAGCGTTTTGCCCTCAGCACGAACAGCCATTTGATCAGGATCATCATAAAGGCAAACCTTTATGGACACTCCTGCAATTGAGGAAAAAATGTCCATCCAACAAATCTCCATAAGAGTACAGTAATGTTGTAAGATCAGTTAAATTAAAAATAATACCATACCTTCATCAAGATGAAGTGCATAATTTCCCAAAGGCATGTCTCTGTCAAGACTCCGGACAACAGTATCTTCATCCTCCAGCCAAAAGGCCCGTTTAGTTCGCAAGCCAAAAGCAGATTTGATAGCCTCCTTAATTGCATCAGCAGTTCCATCAATACCAACTCTTCTAATGTATTCCCCCCACTTAACTGTTATGACCCTCCCACCATACGAAGAGTGCTCCTCCCCACCTGCATGAAGAATGAAATAAAAAAAACTGCATGCTTACAACTAGGAGCAAAGAGGATCAAGTTAATGATTCCAATTAAACGCTACAAAGAAAATATCACAAGAGTTGCAGAAACTATAAGCATGACAAAGCAGGACATTCATTCCAAGCATCTAGATTTGGACTAACGAAAGTCTAAATCCAATTGACTAGCAAGCATGAAAAGGAAATTATCAGAACCCAGAAATCTTAAAAAAAAATTACAGTATATGCAGACAAAGGTTGCCCAAGACTGGAGTACGAGACTTGGGTCAGCTGAAATATTTTGTCGTCATATTAGAAACTATATTGGAAAACGGTTAAATTTACAAGATTAGCAATTAAAAGTAGAATGACTTCTATTGGTTGCTCTAATCAGCATCAATTTGCTTAATGATTGAGTCACTAGTTCCTAATTTGATTAAGGCTGCATTCAAGTCTATCCCTGAAAAAAGGCTTACCTCCACTGCAAGTCTTCTTCCAATTAGGAAGTTTATAATGGACAGATTTCAGGTACAAAACAGAACACAGTCAGTCTTCTCTCACTCTTGGAGAATTGCTATTCTCAGTACATACAGAGGTTGAGCAGTTCCAAGGTAACACATAGTACTAAGACATTGCAGGACTCACATAAGGAAATACACAAGATTTCAAAGTGTATATGCCTCATGTAAAACCACTAGAAAAAGTCATCTTTTGCCCCTTCAGTTTTCGTGCTAAAAGTGTCATAGATACGGTTAGCAGAACACAGGAATCAAGAAATGAAAAAACAAAAATATCTTCGCGTGTAAGGCAACAATATGATTCAATATCCAAAAAAAGTTCAGTTGAGAGGTGGGTGAATGATTTTAAATTAAAAAAAAATAGCTAGTAATGAAAAACATTTTGCTACCATAACGAATGTAGAAAAGAGCTGATTTTTTTCAGAAAGATTTCATCTGCTATGCAAGCAAATTCCGTTTCGGTGCATTATTTAGGTCACTTAGGAAATGCAAACATTTTGGAAATGTATCGCACATAAAATGGAAACGAATAAGAAATTCGAGAAAATCTTGAAACACCTCCAATCACCGAAACATTAGTGAAAACATGCCAAAATATCTCGAAACATTTGGAAACATTCTGAAACACCTAGAAACATTAAAATTTTGACCCAATTCTTGATTCGTTTCGGTCTTCTTGAAAGTGGAAACGTTTCAGCCATTTTGACCACTTCCAAATGAAATTTTGATCTTTTTTGCCAAGTTTCCAACAGAAGTTGTACATTTTAGATCTATAAGGGCGTATTTGATTCCAGTACTGTGACTTGGGAATGTACTAAATTAGTGCCTTTCGCACTTAATAACAGCTTTGGTTGGTTAGGCCCCTGTCTTGCTTGAGTTTGTGAATACTGGTCCGATGATATGGTGTATATAACACCACATACATGGTACAACCAAGCTCTGTGTGGAAAGTGGTAAAATATTCACATCCGATTGGTATTAGGTGTGAAATGGCCATATAATCCCATCCAAACTCAGTTTTGGATGGGATTGCCTGTAAAAGTGCTTTCGTCATTTTACTCATCATATATCAATATCTAGTCCCAATTTAGGAATGGTAACCATGGACCCACACCTTATTCGTTATCTTATAAAATAGATAAATACCATTTCCAGGGGTCTCTCTCCAATTCCAAGGGGGAACTCCACTAGCTGCAACTGCTTCAGCTGCAGTAAGGGCAAGTGGGTCCCCATCATTATCCAAAGGCCTTTCAAGGTTGACATTTGACCGGCCATTATCTGTGTATAACAATCAGAAAATATTGATTAGAAACTCAAATCATAAAAGCATCAATCAGTAGCACAAAATCAAGCTTCGTAGATCTTAGGAAAACCATAGCACTAGACCGAAAATTATAAAGACATACAAACAGTAAACTCTAGCATCTTAAAAGTGATATACTAATATCCAACAACTTGCACAAAGTAAACAACTCAGTGTGCAACTTAAAAAGATTCATAAGCAGGTTCCATTATGCACTATATCATATCCACAGAGTTGGATCCTCCACATACCTCACAGAAATAAAAGACATAGCCACGAAGGTTATGTACATAGATGGAACTTCAAATAGAGATTTCACAACTAATAGTCTCAAACTGATGGCATTTCACAGTATTGTATATCACCCATACCCCTCCTTAACTTGACATGGTTGTGCGGGTGCAATAAACTGAAGTGTCTAAAGTTGATCAATAGAAAAATAAATAAGAGATGAGCTAAGGAAGAGAGGAACTGCATGACCAAATTGCCAAACAACCAAAAGTGGTGTACTGCCATTGAAGATAGTGCTCATCATCCACGCCAAAACTATATTCCAAGCCACATCTGCAACAATTTTAATTAGCAACAAATTTAAGTGAATGGCATGGGCAAGTGTCTGCGTGTGTACATGCGTGCTCACAGAAAGCAGAGAACAACTAGGTAGTGTACAAGAATTCAAGAACCATAAGTAAAAATAAAGTAATGGTCCCTGAACTATGCATTTTGCGTCACTTTGGTCCCCATTCTTTTAACTTTATCACTTTTAAGTCCTTCAAGTTTCCAATTCACGTCTTACCAAGAAAAAGTTTCCAATTCATGTCACTTGTGTCTCATGTGACCACACTTGTGGGATCACATAACCATACTCGCGGAGTCTCTTTCGTCCCTCAGGTTTCCAATTCGTGTCATTTTTTTTGGCTCCATTCTTTTCAATTTTGTCCCTTTAATCCTCAACTTCCCAAAAAATGTCCCTCACGTGACCACGTGAGATGCACCTAACCACTTATGTTACTCGGATTTAATCACCATTTTCAGCTAGTGACACAAATTGAAAAGTTGAGTCTTGAGAATCTAAAAATTGACAAATTTGAAAGAATAAAGATCAGAGTGGCATAAAGCACCTACTGATGGATCATTGTATTTTGCCCTAACCATAAATTGAGAAAAACTGTCGAAGAACCAGTAAGAAGTAATCCATAAAACCCTGATGCATCAATTCTACATCAAGAATTCTTACAGAGGAATCTTAATTTAGGGAGGTACAGGATGGAGCCCCCCTCTAACCTAGCTTCTAGGAAGAGTGCTGCTCCTTTCATCGGCATTATCCTCAGGATGCATTTCCGATCAAAACCCTACATTTGACCCAAGTTAATCTAGCAAACCCATTTCCAAGCAGCCTCCCCCTCCCTCAAATGATCAAGTTATTTACTCCTTTTTCCATCCAATTTTGGAGCAAGCATGCAAGATTTACAAAGAATATAACTAAAACAACATATATAACAGCAGTTATGAGTTATGACTCAAATAATCATAAATAGATGTAAATCATGTACAAAAAAGACCAGATCTGGTTATAGATTATAGGGAAAAATGGAAATGTTATCAAACTTGATTCTGAAGACGCATTCATGATGTGCAGTGATGGTGGCGCCGCAAATATTCGTCCACAATTGCGGAAACGAGTGCGCCTATAAACAACCACTGTGGCGTTTGATAATTCTGAAGTCACATTCCTGATGTGTGATGATGGTGGCACCGCATATATTCGTTGACGATTGCGGAAACGGTTGCGCCTATAAACAACCACCATGGTGATGGTGGTTACAACAAGATGAGATGACGAAGTGAATAGAGGGCGCGTGCTAGAGAGTAACGCTAGTGTATTGTACCCATGAAGAAACCCTAACCCACCTTTTATGAGTAACGTCACTAGAGAAAAATGACAAAAAACTAGTAAATGAAAACATATAACCAGGGAAGGGCCGGGTCAAGTGCTCCAACAATGTCCCTGGTCACCATTTCCTCTCGAACCGGCATCGACCCTGTTTTAAGCCCTTCCCATATACTTCCAACAGGTGAAACACAGGGTGGGTGCTTAAATTTGTTTGCAAACAAAGTTGCAATTCCCAAATCCATACAGGTAAATCATATTATGTCTAGCTCAGCACCAAAAAATAGGCATCAAAAGCATCAAAACGTAAACCCAAGTAAAGCATAATGACATGTCTTCACCCTACTAAAGGCTCATAACTTTCTCTTGCCCTCAGTTGATACAATTACTTAAAAAATTTTGGCGGAGTGCTAAAACCAGTTGGAAAGTGGTGATGCCACTAGTTGAAGATTTTTGCCTCATGTGGCAAAACATCCCACTCCTGACTTTTTTTCTCAATTTTCAGAATAAATGATTTTGGACAACAATTAACTTCATTCTAACAGTCCATATTTTCAAAATTTACTGTGAAGGGAGAGTTGAAAGTAAAGTGACAAGATCTCTTCAAAACAAAAAAAATTGAGTAAATTCCTAGTATGGAGTCCAGACCAGAAGCTTGATCCTGCTCACTAATTTTGCAACCCTATCACCATTCTATTCTTTTCTAGATAGAAGACAACAATTTTATTAATGTAAGAAAAAAAAATAGAGCATAATGGTAACATGGACAAGGCGTCCATAAACCATCCACAAAAAGCAACACTACAGAAAGTTACAATAGGTAAAAAACCAAAACGGTTCATTCACAAGCCGCATGCCAACTTGTCACAATACTCAAGAGAGGAGTTGGAGCAAAATCGTTCGAAATAGATGCCCAAAAAGAAGCCAACAAGTAGATACGGAGTTCCATAAACCATCAACCCCCTCGTACTTATTTTCAAACACTTGCATTCCTCTCTAACCAAATCATCCAAATAATAGCAAAAGTTGCACAATCCCTAAGGGTAACTTCTTTACTTCTTCCAAAACCGTGATAGTCCACACAAAACATTGCTGATACAAAATTTGGAGCTACCCATGAAATTATCGCCAACTCAAACAGCTTATTCCTACCACCATTCTATTTGGCGCAAATAAATATAGCATCACAAAGAACTACAATGATATGGAAAGAGAGAGAAAAATCGCCTAGGAAAGGAAAATCACAGCCTTTGTATTATTCTATTTTAAGCATCATATCAATTCTCTATTGATGCTAATAATTAAAACTTGCCACGAATCATGATTAAACGTAATGATGAAATACATGTGGCTTATATTTTATATGCACATGCCCTAATCTGATAAGATACATCATGTCCACCGCAGTGAGACGATTCCATACATGAGACTCATGAATCATAAAGAGTCCAGGCATAGGTGAGGTTGAGAAATATACTAGAAGCCTAAATGAATGACAACGTATTATAAAATTACTAAAATACAACAATATTGTGATTTGTAGTGTGATACCTTCCACTGGTCCAAAAGGGATATTGCCATCCTCAAGACCTGAGTCACAATAACAAACCACACTTAGTTACCAGATGTAGTGCCAGGACCTTCATGATAAAAGTCCAACTTCCAATCATGAGAGTTACTAAGAAAAAAAATATGGAACAATAGTTTTTTTTTTTTTTTGGCTACAATGTCCAAGCTTGCATGAACTACTCCCTTGAATTCTGAGCCATTTATTCAACAAATTAAGTAATAAAGAAAAAATAGTTTTCTCCATGACTAGATTTCGTACAAGTAAAAAAAGAGGAAAAGATTTACTAACATAAGTGGCTAATTTCACATTTACAACTACAACAACAAAAGGAAAGAAAAATTTTAGAGGTGGCATTTGATAATGAAATCACCATAAGCATCCAGTGATTACTGCATAAGTAGCATCTTGTGTTAGGTATCAAAACTTGGGGAGAGGGCGGCTCGTACCTGATGATATGGGTGGCAAATGGCAATAAACCCAAATGTGTGTGTGACTTGGCCCATCCCACCCTTACTAGAATGGCCTCGTTGGTCACAGACAACTAAACACACGGTGGCCCCGACTGGGATGGGGGCGCAAAAAATTGCAAAGATCGTTTTCTCTTATTTTTTTCCCAATTTAGAGGATGCTTGACAGAATAAAAAAGTCAATAATCCAAGGGGGGGAAAAAAAAAGTTAAAGAGAGGTGCTTTCATTTCCACTCAAAACCACTTTTCCTATAGTTGCATGAGTTATTCAATTCGTTTTATTTTCTCAAGTTTTTAACAATATTTCGTCAAAGTCTAATAATGGAATTGAAGATGTATCCATTATTGGAAATTGCGAGATACATTAGGAGCCAGTTTAATGCTTACAACTCGTGTACCATGAAGAAGGCCATTGGAGGTAGGGTTGGAGGTGGTATGGGATGGAGGCTGTTAGGCAGGCCGGGACAGGAGATAACCATATTACACCTTTCTTGTTGCTATCCTTACGCGTAGAAACCAAGTAACATCACAGGTATCCTAAATGCCTTCGGCAGGTGACGGAGTGAAAAATATATGTTTCCTTTGAAAGCAGGAGTATCATGAAAGCAATGTCAGATCTATTGTCAAAAAATAGCTGAACCATTTTTATTTTCCAGAATTGGTCAAATTTGTCCACATTGAAGTATTACATCTTGCTGAGCTTCCCCACACCCTAATACACTATTGCATTTCAACCAAACCAAACAATGCCCCAACCTATGAATAAGATCACTACTTAAACAAGGAAACATGAACCCCAAGCAGAAGCACACACCTAAAGCTAACCATAAAATATCCATTGCTAACAAAGAAATGGCCCGAACAAACCCTGAGCAAAAGCGCACATGTAAAGCTAACCATAAACATCCATTGCTAAAAAAATGATGGCCTGAACAAATTAATGGTAATTTCACCCAATAAAGCAAATTTCAGTATGGTCTCACCTGACATTTTGAAAGAAATTCTATTACTTGCAAAAGAAAAATAAGCTATTCTTTCTGTTTTCTCCTTCATTTTATTTCTCCGTTCCTCAGTCTTCCAGTGAAAAAGAGGAGAAAGATAAAAAAAATAAAAAATAAAAACTTCCAAGTTCAAGCAGTGCGAAAATATATTCTCTATCTGCAACCTAACACCCTAATATCACCACGATTAGAAGTGTGAAACCTCAAAATGTTAGACATAATTAAATCGGATAATCCCAGAATCTACAGATAGAACAGATAATCAGTAACTACCTTTATCGGAGAAGTGAATAAAGGAATCGACTTTGGAAGAAGTAGGACTCTTGTACGGACCGTTCTTAGCTCTGTCTTTGAGCAACTCCTCAAGCTCCTGGTAGTACAACATCTTAGCAGAACCACTCCCCCTCTCTTGCTGCTTCACTTTCTTGAATTCCTTCAACAAATTCCTCCACTTATCGGTACACATGGTCGGGGAGCGATCGAAACCCTTGTCTCTCATCTTGGCGGAGATCTGTTCCCACAAATGCTTGTTGGACTTGGAAGTGTTGAAAAGACCATCAACTTCGCGGCGGAAGTTGATCAAGCTCCGAGTCTCTTCCTGAACCCAAGTCTCAGCCCTCTTCTTCGGAACCTTCACTTCGTGGTCTTCGCCGCTGCTTTCGCCGAGAATCATCTGTTGGTGTTGGTGCTGGAGTGGATGGTGAGGTGTCAAGTCTCCATTGGAGGAGACCTCAATCACCATCTCTCTCTCTTCTTCTCCTCCTCCTCCTCCTCCTCCTCCTCCTCCGCCTTTATAGAAGTCAACCGGACTAGGCTTTTCGGATAAATACATTTTCGTGACCACTATCCACAACTGAGGATGTAAGACTAGAGTAAAAACCCTAATTCTTAATTTACATCAAGGAATTGTAACTTCTGCGTTGAGTGTTGAGCCTTCCAGTGTGTAAAAAACGCAGAGAGAGAGAGAGAGAGAGAGAGAGAGAGTGGCTACGACAAAGACAAACGTTGTTTTGTTTGATCGGTGGATGGATTTAAGGCTTAGGCATTAGGATCCAGGTGGAGTTGTGAGGTTTCCGCAGGTTGCGCAGCTGAGCTCTTTTGCGTACTTTCAACTTCCAAACGCTCACCACGTTTGATGTTGATTGCCACGTGTTCTTTTCGCGTCCATTGTCACCATCAAAATAAAAAATGTTAATTGAACATATGTCACAACCTAATTTAATTTAATGACTGCATTAAATTAAATTTTCCAATAAGATCCCTGAAATTAAATTCCTATAGCATTATTCCATCAAAATAAAAAAAAATCGTCTTTCTCAAAATACAGCATCATTATTATCATGTATTATTACAAATTGAAAAGTAATTTCTGTTATAACACTAGTATGTCATTATTGTCACGTATAATATTACTTGTTTGTATATTAATTTAATATTAAATTATTAGTTATTGTCTGTGCCTGAAAACACAGAGTAATATATCCAAAATCAAATCACAAAAATAAAGAAAAGATAAAGTAATTTAAGCATCGATTTATAGTAGGAGTAAAAGGTGATGGGCGGCAATGATAATGGTAGGAGATGGTGATGGTGATGGTTGTGGTGGGTGGCATAAATCGCAGCGGCAACGGTAGTGGTGGTTATGATGACGGTGGCGAGAATAGTGGTGGTGGGGGTGTTAGTGGTGGAGGCGGTGGTGATGGTGGTAGCAGTGGTGGTAGTGGGACAATTTTAAACACTATTTTTTTTTAAAATATTTATAAAAAATAATTTTTAAAAGTAATTTTAAAAAGTCACTCCAAACACACTCTTAAATGTCTATTTTTTTTATTAAATTTAGGGTGTTAATATTTACCGTTAAATTAACTTTAAAAAAAAATTTAAAACGATCTCAACCGTGAATAACAAAAGTCATTTTGTTTATCTTTTGAGATTTAGATTATAAACTATTTTATTATATAAATAATATCACGTGTCAGCGATGACATAATATTAAATATTTTATCGAAAAACCCATCATTCTTATTTTCATTATATTTTAATTTACTGAGTTAAAAAATACAATTTCATCATATCAATTTTCTCTATACAAAAAAAAAAAAGAAGAAGAAGAAGAATTGCAAGTGACCAACTATTACTGTATTTATCCATCTGCTCATAAAATTAATACATAATGTGGAAAACAAAACTGTTTTCAAAACTGAAAGCATTAAAAGGAAATATCACCCAAAAAAAAAAAACTTTGAACACCTAGGCACCATTATCCATTCTTGACATCATTTCACTTGCCACCAGTTTCTCTATGATCCTCTTCAACGCAGGAGCGCTCACCCCACATCTGCTATCAGTGAAGCAGGATCTACCTTCTTCGGCTGCTTTGCATAGATGAGGATCCAATGGCACCTTCCCAAGAAACGGAACACCCATATCCTTGCACATTTTTGTAGCGCCGCCACCACTACTATCAAAGACTTCACTGCAAGCGACCAAATTTAGCAATTCTGGGGCTTTCTCTCTCATATACTCCAATACCCACTCAGTCACATCATTTTGCTCACCTGCATCTGTCATCCTCAAGAATTTGAAATCTGACAATAGTTGGCATAAGCTACTCATGTTCTCAACGACGCCAAGAACCTCTATCCCAACTTTCTTGCAGAAATTCACTTCTTTCCTGACATCTATCAAAGACACCTGTTGTGGGGTGGTCACTATGATAGCACCATCTAATCCAGCCGCTTGGAGGAATTGTCCAATAGAAATATGCTCGTCTGAAGTCCCAGGAGGGGCATCAACCACAAGAAAATCAAGTTCTCCCCAATCAACATCTTTCAGGAATTGCTTAATTAACGCATTCTTGCGTGGGCCCCTCCAAATCACAGGTTCATCTGGGTTGGGAAGCATGAACCCAATCGACATTACCCCAAGATTGGACTCAACGTAGACAGGAGACCAGCCAATGTTACTCTGATGAATCTCTTGGCCTTCTAGGCCAAGCATCTTGGGGATGCTTGGGCCGCATATGTCAATATCAAGCAGACCCACTTGGAAATCCATAGCTGCGAGTGCAAATGAGAGTTGAGCAGAGAATGTGCTCTTGCCAACCCCACCCTTGCCAGATAAAATCAGTATCTTATGCTTCACTGTTGCCATTCGTTCTGAAATTGCAACCAAATCTGCCAAACATAATGGAAAAAAACAGAACGTTAATATCCAAAAAGCATATTTATCCTATAGCAAATTCTACTTATTTAGGGTGCACAAGGATATTTCTCTATATTCTTCTGAAACCACGTTAAAACCAGATGCATTTTTGTTAATGCCTCCTAACATCACTCAGTCCATTTGATCTAATTGGCTAATCAAGAAATTGTTTGGGACATTATTGAGTCTTGATAAACTATGGCTCGTCTACAAGAATTTGTTTGTCACACCAGAGTGGAAAGCCTAAAAACATGGATGGACCATGAGTATGGGGAAAATGAATGATCTCACAGGAATTATTGAAGAAGAAGGTTCAGTATACTGTTGAATGGCCAAAAAGAATTATGCACCCAAGCTATAGAGGCTGGCAATTCAACAATAGTGGGATTCAGTTGGCCACAATACATCATCTAGAAAGCTACTGTTCTAACGCCAATGATGTTCCATTGTTTCCTATCAGACATATCATAAATATCCACCAGAGGTGCAAGAGACATGCTAGAGATCCCGTTGCATGTATACAATTATCATCAACGACATCAATAATATAGTTGTATCCCTTAAGCCATTTGGTCTGAGAATGTAACGCCTGAGTGCCTGAACCTCGTTATCCCTCTTTGCTATCTTGTCATTCGGTTTCTATCTTTGCTCTCTCTACATGCAAAACTTCTTCAAACTCAAGAATCCAATATCAACATTCAATTTCACAATGACCTTTTTTTTCCAAGAGGATTGGCATTCTCAGCATAAATTTCTTTTTTCGATAAGACTTTCTCAGGATAAAATTATACACCTAGAATCATGTCATCCATACATAATTATTTATTGGAAGAGGTCAAAATTCCTTAAATTTAATAAAATCTAACTATTTTAGGCTTCTCAAGTCAAAAGAAAAAAAATCATCAATTTCTTTTTTTCCTATCACGAACAGAGAGGAACTGACCTTGTCAGCACCCCGGTGATCACTATAAACTACAAAGTCATTACGAAATCAACCCGTCTTAGAAAAATCAATAGGGCCAACTACAGATAACAGTCTAAGTCAATAAATTCTACACAAAAATCATCCTTCAAGAGCACATCTATACGCATATAAACACATATAGATACAAAGAGTGAGAGAGATAGAACCTGGGTCTGGGCCTTTAGGGGCAGTAGCACAAACTTGTTGATTAGGGCAACCGTCGCAGGCATCAGATTTTCCAGCAGACTCCGATTGAGGCCCTGGGCAATCTGAAACAACAACCAAGCCAAAAGGATTTCTAAAAATTCAAGAAAATTTTATCAACCAATAATATCCAATTTGTAGATAAAAAAAAAACATACGTTCGTTGGCGTTTTCAGGGATTTCACCGTGTCCTCCGTTCTCCATCTTCCTTTTAAGCTTCCAAGTTCACGACTTTCGCCCCAAAGTAAAAGCAGTGAAGAGCTCTCTATATATATGAATGTGAAAACCCTAACTTATAGATATGTCTCGCCGACTTGTATCTTCTGAAAAAGCATCAAAATTGTTTGACTTTTCAAACAAGAAACGTCGTCGGATCTTCATCTCGTCCAGGATGCAACGTCGTATACTACCTTAATCTTTGATTCTTAATTCCTATGGTAAGCAAGTTACAACCATTTCATCAACTTAAAACGGAGGGTCGGGATGAATTGGGTAGGCAGATTAATTATCCCTTAATACGTTTTTTCTCCGTATTTTCTCAATAGTAAATTACAGTATTTAAATGATAATAAAAATAAATTTGAGATATAACATTTGGTAAATAAAATTAAAAAACATAATTTTTGTTAAGGATTGTGGTTACGTGCTTGACTGGTTGTTCCTATTTTGTGGGATTAATATTCCTGTTTGTTAATAACTCCTATTAGTTAGAGAGCCTGATTTATTTTTGACCTATTCAGTAAGCACTAGTTTAGTCCATGATTTATGTGGACTCTATTTTTTTTCTTCTTGTTGTAAAGCTATATAAGCCCAATAGTTCTTTGTTGAATAATTAGAGAAAGCATTCCCCTATTCTTTCACGTTTAAGCATTATTTCACTTATACACCAGACATTTGGTATCAAAGCCCACCGCAAGTGATCGAAAACCAGCATGGCGATGGAGGGAGGAAATTTCGTTCAACCACCAATTCCTAAGTTTGATGGGCATTATGATCACTGGAGTATGCTCACGAAAAATTTTCTACGTTCCAAAGAATATTGGATCGTCGTTGACCAACGTGTTCCTGCCGCAGCAGAGGAGAGGACTATGAGTGATGAGCAATGTAAGACACTGGGAGACATGAAGCTCAAAGGTATCAGGGCCAAGAATGATCTCTTTCAAGTTGTTGATCGCTCCATTCTTGAGACCATTTTGAACAAGGAGACCTCTAAAGGAATATGTGATTCTTTAAAGTAGAAAGACCAAGGTTTTGCCTGGGTGAAACGTGCTCAACTCTAGGCTTTGCACAAAGAGTTCGAGGTTCACCACATGAAAGAAGGAGAAACTATAGATGACTATTTTGCCAGAACTCTCATCATTGTTAACAAGATGAGAATTCATGGCAAAAAAATGGACGACATACTTGTGATTGAGAAAATTCTGTGGTCTATGACTTCCAAATTCGATTATGTGGCATGCTCCATTGAAGAGTCCAATGATTTGGATTCCATGTCCATCGATGCTTTACAGAGTAGTTTATTGGTCCATGAACAATGGATGCAAAGCCACCATGTTGAGGAGTAGGTTTTGAAGGTGACTCATGAAGATTCGCATGGGCAAAAGGGATGAGGTTGTACTGGATCTCTAGGCAGAGGCACAAGATCTCCATCCAGAGATAAAGGAAGAGGGATACAACCATTCTTTGACAAGTCTGTCATTGAATGCTATCATTGTCATGACCTAGGGTACTACCAATACGAGTGTCCGAAGAAACAAGGAAACTTAGGCACGACAAACTTTGTAGAGACTAACAAGGCAAAGGATGAAATGCTTTTTGATGGCTTATGTTGATGTCAACAAAGATGACGAAGAATCTGCATGGTGTCTCGACTTCAAATGTAGCAACCACATGTGTGGGCAGAAAAATCTTTTTGATTCTCTTGATGTCTCTTTTAAAGAATCAGTAAAGCTTGGCAATAACACATCTTTGGCAGTAATGGGGAAAGGAAGCATAAGACTGCAAGTAAAGAGTTTTGACCTAGTCATCACTGAGGTATTTTATGTTCCAGCTTTGAAAAATAATTTTCTTAGCATTGGTCAATTGCACGGGAAGGGACTTGCAATTTTAATTCACAACAACAAGTGTAAGATTTTCTACCCAGAGAAAGGCTTGATTATGGAGACACACATGTCCCTAAACAGAATGTTTATTCTACTTTCCAAGTGTCAACCTCAAAGCCCACTTTGTCACTACTCTATCATGCAAAATCTAGATCATTTATGGCATTGTAGGTTCAGGCACTTGAATTATAAAGGGCTGAAAGTTCTTCAAGAGAAAGCAGATGGTGAGTGGCTTGCCAAAGCTGAAAGGTCAATCTCAGGTGTGTGAAGATTGTTTGGTAGGAAAGCAACAAAGAGATTCATTCCCAATACAAAGCACTTGGAGAGCCTCAAAGAAACTCCAATTGATTCATGCGGACATTTGCAGTCCTATTAATCCCATCTCCAACAACCAAAAGAGGTATGTTCTAGCTTTCATTGATGACTACAGTCGCAAAACATGGGTGTTTTTTCTCTCTGAAAAATCTGAAGCCGTTGTTGCATTCATAAAGTTCAAAAACTATGCTAAGAAGGAGTCTAATGCTTGTGTGAAGGGACTGCGTACTGATCGAGGTGGTGAGTTCACCTCACAAGAATTCATCAATTTTTGTGCTACTCATGGCATTTGGAGACAATTGATGGTTGTCTTTACTCCGCAACAAAATGGAGTCGCCGAAAGGAAGAATCAAACTATCATGAATATGGTACGGTGCATGTTGTTTGGAAAGAAAATTCCAAAGAGCCTTTCGCCAGAAGCTGTGAATTGAGTTGTACATGTGTTGAATCGGAGCCCTACTCTCGCAGTTCAAAACAAAACTCCAGAAGAAGCTTGGAGTGACACAATACCATCAATTGATCATTTTCGTGTATTTGGAGCCCTGGCTTATACATGTGTACCAGATCAAAAGCGAACCAAATTGGATGAAAAAACTCTCGAATGTGTCTTCCTTGGGGTTAGTGAGGAATCAAAGGCCTACAAGTTGTACGATCCCATTTCAAGACGCATTATAGTGAGTAGGGATGTAGTGTTTCAAGAGGATGAGTCTTGGAGCTGGGAAGAAAACTATCAAGAAGATATTTCTGCCATGTTAGATTAGGGAAATGATGACTCATATGAGATTGAAGATGCACACAATGAGCGCGAAAATGAGGAATGTGGTGAATTAGTTATTGGATCAGGTGAGTCTCAGAAGATAGCCGATCAGGTGAGTCCACAGAAGATAGCCCTCCTGAGAGTTGAACTAGAAGGGCACCTATGTGGATGAGAGATTATGTAAGTGGTGAAGGACTTTCAGGAGAGGAAAATTCTGACAATCTTGTAATGTTTTGTGGATTGGGACCTCATTACCTTTGAAGAAGTAGTGAAAGACGAGAAGTAGAGAGTTGCAATGGATAATGAGATCAATGCTATAGAAAAGAATGGCACTTGGGAGCTTGTCAACTTGTCATTGGAAGGGAAAATTAATGGCGTGAAATGGGTGTTCAAAACCAAGCTCAATGAAAAAGGTGAAGTTGACAAGTATAAAGTACGGTTGGTCGTAAGGGGTAACTCACATCAATATAGAATAGATTATTCAGAGGTGTTTGCTCCTGTAGCTTGCATGGACACCATCAGGTTAGTAATCTCACTTGCAACACGAAACAACTAGTTAGTATTTCAACTTGATGTTAAGTCTGCATTTTTACACGGATACTTGAATGAGGATGTATTTGTGGAACAACCTCCTGGATACAAGCTTGCAAGTCAAGAGCACAAAGTATATAAATTAAAGAAAGCATTATATGGACTAAAACAAGCTCCACATATAATACCCCATTCTATTTTGGCAAATAACTAGTTAGGAAAATATTATTTTGGAAGGAATAAAAAAAATTTTAAAGAAGAATCTAGAATGTTTGAGAAGTTTCTAGAAACTTCAAAAATAACCTAAAATAGTCTAGAACAATCTAGAGAAGTCTAACATATTTTAAAAGGTTCTAAGAAATACTAGAAGGTTCTAGAGGGATTTAGAATATTTCGGAAAGTTCCGGAATGACGTAGAAGGTTGGAAAAGACTTTAGGATATCATAGATGAATCTAGATGCTTTTTGAATTGTCATGTGCAAAATAAGCTTAAAATTTAGAAGGATCTAGGAAAGGGAAGATGGTAGAATATTCTAGGGAGTCTCCCCTAAAAATGTCACATGTTAATATTCTCTAGAATAATCCTAGGATGCCTATAAATAGGGCATTTGGGAATTGAATTAAGGATATAAGGGCACAAGTAGTCTTCCACTTTCAAGAAAGAATAGAGAGTAAAAGAGAGAAGAAGGAAGAAAGAGCACCTCATCAAAGAAGAAAGGAAATCGTGAGAGAAAGAGGAAAGACATCGATAACATTTCACTCTACTTCGAACAACAAGCAACACCCAAGAAGCATATCATTTGAGTGATTTGACATGCTACGTATTTTTTCCGTATGTCTAACATTTTAAAAATGATACATATTGTTTGTTCATTACTACCTTTACAAAATGTTTTACTAAGTGTCTAAATACTTGTGACATACAATTCTTCTTACCTTGATGAATTCTTTTGTGAAGTATTGTGACTTAATCACTTGTTTATATGGTGAGACTTTGTAATAGTGAATGAGACCATGATTGAAAATTTAGAAAAATTATTTCTCTGTGTGCAGGTGACACTAGCCATTAGAGAACAGACCCGAGAGAGGCTGAAGTGACCCTAGTGCTCAACGGTTGAAGGAACAATGTCTGGTGTGTCCTGGTGACCTTCACCGGATCATTTTAGGGAACAGTTCCCGGACGTCAACCCGTGGCGGCCCTAAGAACGATGTTGGATCCAAACCTGAGTTATATTCTAGCATTTGATTAAAAGTTCAGAGAAATTATTCATCTGTATGCGGGTGACCTTGGTCACTAGAGAACAGACCCGGGGGAGGCTGAGGTAACCCTAGTGCTCAACGGGTGAAGGAATAGTTCTTGGTGTGTCCTGGTGACCTTCACCAGATCGTCTTAGGGAACAGTTCCCAGGCGACAACCCGTGGTGACCCTAAATACGATGTTGGATCAAATCTTGAGATTTTCTGGCATTTGGTATGGTTCCCAGATATCGTACAAGTCCTTACCAGTATGAGATGATAATATAATTTGTTATTGTCACAATATTTTTATTGACTTTGTTTATGATTATCTATTGTATGTCATATGTATTTTCTTGTTATTAGTTATTGCATTTGGTTCTCATCGATTATTGGATATCGTACAGTCTCCACCATTATAATATGATTCACCATTGTGGTATGATTTCTTGTTGAAATCCGATTGTGTTATTCTTGAGAAATTGGTTATCTTGATGAAGTTATTTTTTCAAACCTTTGATTTACATGTCGTATGTCAAATATGTTTTTTAGCTACTTTGAATATGCATGCATTTTCTTTCACTGGATTTTTTAGCTCAAGTTTTCAAAATAATATTTTTTCAGGTAAACGATTGGAGTGTTAATAGTGGACTCAGGGAATTGATTGAGGACTAATAGTGTTGTGACCTCCGTAGCATATATCGTATAGTCATCTATACTTGTTTAGATAGTTAAGGCAAACAGATTTAGGTATGTTGACTTTGACATATTGACATGAGATCAATTTAGTGTTAATGTTGTTTCCTAATATTATAAGTTTATTATTAGGCTTACGTGTTCCATAAGTTATGGATCTATGGTTCACGGTTGGTCATGCCCTTGGAGTTGGGGTGTGACACCACAAGCTTGGTATAGTAAGATTGGGTCCTATTTCTTGAAGGAGGGTTTCAAAAAGTGTCCATATGAGCACACATTGTTTGTAAAAGAAGGTGAAGGAGGTAACATTCTTATTGTCTGTCTCTATATAGATGATTTGATCTTTACAGGCAGTGATGAAACTTTGTTCTCAAAGTTCAAGCAATCAATTATGACTGAATTCGATATGTCGGATCTTGGTAAAATGAGGTATTTTCTTGGCATTGAAGTACAGCAAAGGTAGGATGGAATTTTTCTTAGCCAAAAGAAATACACATAGGAAATACTTGAAAGGTTTGGTATGAGAGATAGCAAGCCTGTACACAATCCGATAGTTCCTGGCTTCAAGTTGGTACAAAATACAGATGGAACAAAAATAGACAGTACTGTGTATAAACAGATTGTGGGAGCCTAATGTATCTAACCGCATCAAGACCAGACATCATGTTCTCAATGAGCCTTATCAGCAGGAACATGGAAAGTCCAACACAAATGCATCTACAGGCTGCCAAAAGGATTTTACGTTATCTGAAAGGAACCGTTGATTTGGGCATATTCTACAATAAGGTAGGAGATTTGAATCTTTTTGCTTACACAGACAACGATTATGCGGGTGACCTAGAGGATAGGAAAAGTACATCTGGTTATGTGTTTATGTTAGGCTCAGGTGCAATTTCATGGTTCTCAAAAAAACAATCAATTGTGACTTTATCCACCACAAAGGCGGAATTTATTGTAGCGGCATCTTGTTCATGTCAAGCGGTCTGGTTAAGAAGGTTGATGAGCGAGCTAAAGCGTGAGCAACAAGAAGCCACAATTGTTTACTGTTACAACAGTTCCACTATTAAGCTGTCAAGGAATCCAGTTATGCATGGTCGTAGTATACACATCGATGTTCGATTTCATTTTCTTAGAGAGCTCACACGTGATGGCATAGTGAAGTTACTGCACTGCCGAACTCAAGAACAAATAGTTGATATCATGACCAAGCCTTTGAAGCTTGATGTGTTTCTAAAGCTTCAGGATATGCTAGGCGTCTATTCAGATTCAGTAAACTGATCTTCTATGGAAATCAGTTTAAGGGAGGATGTTAAGGATTGTGGTTCTGTGCTTGGCTGGTTGTTCCTACTTTGTGGGGATTAATATTCTTGTTTGTTAATAACTCCTATAAGGTAGGGAGCCTGATTTGTTTTTGACCTATTCATTAGACACTAGTTAAGTCCATGATTTATGTGGACTCTGTTTTTTTTTCTCCTTGTTGTAAGGCTATATAAGCATAGTAGTTCTTTATTGAATAATTAGAGAAAGCATTCTCCCATTCTTTCATGTTTAAGTATTATTTCACTTATACGCCAGACAATTTTATCCCAAATGAATAGTATATCATTAAAAAAATTATGAGAAAAATATATTAACGAGAATCTCTATTCAAAGTTTACTACCAGCAACTTGGGTTTGAGCTGTAAAATAGCATGGCAACTCATTAACAATTAATCAATACTCGAGGACTATTGGGCTTGGAAGACAATCTTTTTCATGTGGTAGAATTCACCTTGAAAACTCGTTTCATCAGGAAACCACTTGCTAACTTTCAGCGGCATAGTATGGAGTCCAGGAAATCAACAAGAGTCCACCACAAAAGGAAATTTAACATTACACAATTAGTTTGCCAAAGCATATGTTTTGAGTCTTTGACCTTGAAGATCAGCCTTTCTTGCTGAGAGAGATAGGGGCCCACCTAACCATGAGTTGGATTTCGGTCCCTCTCTTTCATCATCCATTACTTCTAATTCATTTACAAAAGTATAGAGCAATCAATGATTCAAAATCGGGAATAAAAGCTAAACAAAAAAAGAGAGCATTAAGGAACAAACTCATCTCAACTCAACTCATATAAATCTTATATTAATTATTTTGGGGTAGACTATTTGAATCTTGTTCCACCATGCTATGCACCAAATCAAGCTTAGTAGGAACATTAACCTACAACATCCAAGTTGTAGGTATTTGAAAGGGGAGGGAAGAAAGGTGGACAGTTGCGAAATCAACCCCTATATGCTTATGCTCTGGTTTTGTCTTGATTACGATACGATGACGGCTAATTCTACAAGCATCAGTCACCAAAACAGCCCACAAATTTTAGCTGCCATCTAATATTCATTTTAATGTTGGCCTAAAGAGTACCCAATTCCAATAAACAATGCAAACACGAGAAGCATATCATTCATCACAATTTCAAGAAACTGGAAGTAATATAAGGAGGAAAGAGTAAACGTGTACGATAAAGTAACTGAAATTGGAAAGGCCACTCGAAGGCGGACTTGGTCAAAGAATTAGAAAGGGTATATATCATAATCATTCATAAAGGAGAAAAGACATCCATGTCAATAATAAAATAGCAAGGACAATGTAGTAAAGCAACTGCATAACAATTATTATTTATCGTGTGAAGGTTGTAAGTGGTTACAGCTATTATAAAGAAACAGAGACTAAATACTACTGCTAATTCCTGTCTGTCTTCAGCTTGAACTTAAAAAAGCCATCCACAATTTGCAAACAAAAACAGCAGCCTACATCACTTTGCAAACTCGATGCATATTTTTCATATAAGATTCTTCAATATCTCACTCGTGGTTGTTTTAGAGTCCCCAGGCACCATGAGGAATCATCTGTTTAAGCTAAAATTTGACCGGTAAGCAAAATCACTAGACCAGTAGGCAGTCTTCTATGCTGCTGTTCTCCTGTCATCCACCTCCACAAGATGCAAAATATTCAAGGAAACCACGTATTCCACTGCTAGGCAACCAATCGTGTCAGAAACTTCAACCGCGAATGATGCAGTTGCCAATCCATAATCAACAGGCAACAGGTATATGAAGCATCAATCTCTTCTAGCTACAGAGATACAAATGGTAACTTTCCTGCTGATGGAAAACAGTATGCCTCAAGGGAGTGCTTGTTTCTTCCTGTTTCTCCTGGCAATTCAAAAGCTGCTTGCAACAATCCATACAAATCAAGTCTAAACAGAACGTCTCTTGATATTCACATCCACCAATGCAACATCCACAACTTATACAACGAGCAATGCAAAGAGTGCAAGCCCTGCACAACTGTGTGGCATGGTGTTTCCCTTGGCAACTCTCTGCTGGGCAATCATAGACCTGTCTGACTTTCTGGCATCTAGGACATGGTTCAATATCAATTGCACGATCATCATCAACAGATAGATACAACTGCCCTGCACCATAAAACCGTGGTTTCTGGGCACTGAGCTGCTTGTGGTTGCCTGCACCTAGCAAAAACTTGAACTCTTCAAACTGTTTGTTTGTCACACCAAATAACCCACCAATTCTTAGGTGCTTTATTCCAGGCGTGCCTGCAGACTTGAAAACCTCTTTTAAGCTACAGAGGATACCTTCAACACTGAGCTTCACACATCCTGGAACACTTAACTGCAGAGGAGAGAGAAGATTTCTTCAGTCACTCATAAAAAAAAAGTAAAAAATTATACATTTAGAACTATCAGCGTCGAGAACAAGTAAAACATTGATGAGAATTCCTTATTGGACAAACGAAACCATTTGAAAACTACAGCCCATAAATGCAGCAAAAACTATATAAAAGAAATTGCATGAGCAGCAAGACCCTTATTTTCTCAAAAGCTAATATCAATCTGGTTATCAAAAAAGGTAGTGCGAATATCAAATCTTGAGATATATGACATCACCAATAAAAACTAGGATCCCATACCAATTGCACCGCACCCTGTTAGGGGTGCATTCACACTTTTCTGCTTCTTGCTTAAATTGTGACCCAAATGCTAAGAATAACAAATAAATTGTCATTTAAATGCTGTCCAAAGGAATTAAGTTACAACAATTTTATCTGTGTTCTATGGACTGCCTTGGACTGTTTAAGGATTCCCGCAGATGTCAAGATATTCAATGTCTACACATATTACATGCTAAAAAACTAAGAAAAAATATCATGGGAAAACCAAAAAAAAAAAAAATCAGAACAAATAACATGGAAAAACAACACAATTAGAAGCACTAACAAAAAATAAGATTGAACCATTAGAAATGAATGCTGACCTTCGTAAGCCCGGAATTGGTTTCAAGCACGCGCTTTAAGCCACTATCAGTAATCTTCAAGCACTCCACGAGACTCAAGCATTGAAGATTGCCTTGAGCCCTGCTAGTTAGCTTTAAAAGAGCATCATCAGTTGTTTTCATACTTAATGGATGATCTATGTGAATACTTCTCCACAGAAGGGGATCGTTTCGCACTGTATCACGCAAAGATTTGCAAACTCTTTCGACAGAGAGAAGGTCACTCACACCCAGATAGCCGAGAGCAAAAAACAAAGCATCATGGGGAGCGCCTACACTACCATCTATATAAACTTCTGAACACCCTTCTTGTTTTGTAGCAGCAGTAGCAGAATCCCAACGTTTTCCATTGCTAGAACCCACAAAGTCTTCTGCGTTGCTATCGAAAAGAAAAGAATCACCACACAACGCATCACATAACTGTTTATCCATTGCAGACCCCATTACTTTTCTGTCTGTCCCTGGATAAAACCCCATGGCACCGTTCCAAACCAAATTCAATCCTGCAAATACTTGATGATCGTCCCCTTTCTTGACCTCAATTTCATCAGTCCCAAACCCAAGGGTGTTTAACCCAAAATCCATCTCAAGATCCCCAAACCAACCCGAGATTGCCGTCACCGTAGCAGACATATCCATACCAAAAGGATCAGAGGGCAATAAATCAAGGATATCATCATACAGCTTCTCAGATTTCTCCTTTTTATAATCACAAATACTCTCTGATTTCCACTCGAGATTCCAATAATCACCAAATCTAGCCAATCTCTTATCTGGGCACTCCTCCATCAGGTACACATTATCCATCTCTTTCGCAGAAAACAAACTCTTTTCTGTACTAAACATTGGATCCTTGGAAAGATTCATTGCCATAGTATCTCCACCTACCTGATGAGCACAAAAGAAACAAAACCTTCAAAAACCAAACGAAATTACGCTTTACAAGAAAACCCTCAATTCTTGATCGCAAACTAAAACAGAGAACCAAAAATATCAGAGTTCCTCGTGAAAAAACCTAAAGCTGGGGCTCAAACAGGGCCAAAGGAAATAACAGAGCTTCCTGTAAAATCTAAATAGTTTCCGATGGGGGAAAAAAGAGATGGGTTGGAGAACAAATCTAAGATTCGTGAAAGAACAAGAATTCAATCAATGGATAGTTGTCTAGGTAGCAACCCTAGGTCTAAAAAGTAAATATATATATACATATACGAGAGACCCAGAAAGCAAAAGAGAGATGGAATGTGCCAGAAGTAAAAGAACAGTAAAATCAGATTTGGAAGTGTATTAGGAGAATGTGATAATACAGAGTCTAATCTGAAGACAAATCGAAACTTTGCAGAAGCATATGAAGAGAGATAGACCAAGCGTATATGTGTGTGTCGGTGTATATAAGTGAGCTAGAGAAAAATCCAAAAATAGGAGGAGATGACAAACCGAAATCGCTATATTTGGTGGAGAGAGAAAGGGAAAGGAGAGAGAGGCTGAAGACGCGTGGTGAGAGAGAGGTATTTTCCAGGTGTTTGGAAGCGTGACCTATTTCTATCCCAGGTGGGAATTCCTAATTGTAATGCAATTAGGGCTAAGGGCCCCTGGGGCTTGGTGAGGGATTATGCCGCAACTTTCAATTGAACTTTTTGTGCCTGAGTAAATTATATTAATAGTCTCTAAAATTTATCACTAATTAAAATTTAATCCTTAAAATTTTAATTTTATCAATTTAGTCTTCAAAGTTCACATTTAGATCAATTTAGTCCCTCTCACCGGCTGTCGTTTAAATTATTGATGAAAAATCATCATGTGCAAGGCATTTAATTTAACCTTTATTTAGGGTAATTAAGTTATTATGTACCACGTATACATCCAAACACTATTGTCCTTCAATTCCAATTAAACAATTTTACTAACAAATACCCAAACCCAGCCACCCCTCCCTCTCTCTCTCTCTCTCTCTCTCTCTCTCTCTCTCTCTCCCCCCTACACACACACACTCTCACACCAATTCTTTCTTTCTCTACACCGAACACATTGCCATACACCCACTGTTTCTCACTTTCTCTGCACAGAATACAACTCACAGTCCATAAAACCCATCACTTAACTATCTTTCTGTGTCTCAGCCCCAACCCAACCTCAAACCAAACAACCACTACCCCATACCTCAATAACCCAATTTACCCGTAAAAAACAGAGAGAAGATGATTAGTGGTGAATGGATGGGGTATTTGGTGGCTGGGGCCGGCAGAAACCTGATGTCAGTAAGCGAAGAAACAGAGAACGGGTTTGGGTGGGTGGGGGGAGGGGGGGGGGGGGTTGGGTGGATAAGGGGCAGGGGTGCAACTTGGGTCGGACAACCCGAACCCAACTCGAAAATATTAGAGTTTGGGTAGGGATTTTTAATATTTAGGTTGGATTTGAGTCAAAAAATTTCAACCTAAATTCAATTTGGACAAACTTCGAATTGTTTCCTCGGGTTCACGGGTTAAACCTGAATATTAAAATCGGGCTCAACTCGAATTAATAATCAGGTTCAACTTGAATTACTATTATATAAATACAATTTTATAATTTATACTATGGTTAATCTGATTTTTTTACCCTTATGAACTATGTTGTACTTATGTTTGTGTTCTGTTAAACTTGTTCTGTGCAAAGCAGTAGTGTTATGTTTTGTAATGACAGCAGTATTGTTATTTCTGTTAAACTAGTAGCAGTGTTATGTTTTGCACTGACAGCAGTGTTTGTGACTTTGTGTTTTGTATGATTCTTGATTAAAGTTGTTGTTTGTTAAATTATTTGAATATTATGTAATAAATGTATCATGTTTAGAACATTAACCCGAAAATCAACTCGTAAAATAACCGAAAATTATTAACTCAAATTCAATCCTAGCTCGCTCGATTTAAACTCGGACAGTGCTTGAGTTGAGTTTATCAATCCGAGTTAAGGTTAGAATTAGGATTAGGGTTGAAGATTATATTCTTATGATTGAAATAGAATTGACTGTTCAACCCGCCTGAATTGCACCCCTAATAGGGGGACACAAGTTTTCGGTGGTAGCGTTCAATGGTGAAGGGGAGGCCAATGTAGCAGGGGTGGGGGAAGAGAGAGAGAGATTTTCTTTTCACGAGATAGAGAGATGAGAGGATCAAATTACACAATTGTCTCTTCATCAACTTCATATCTTATGCACATGCCTTTTCTTCGTTTATTTTTAGATGACAATTGGTGTGAAGCATGAATAGTTTTAATTTGTGAACTTTGTGGATTAAATTGATAGAATTAAAAGCATAAAGATTAAAGTTAATTAATGTAAACCTCAGAGACTGCTTGTGTAATTTATTCTCAAATTAATTAGAATTTGTATTTTTGCCCCAAAAAATTTAGAATTTCGGGGATGGGCCAACTTCACTTGGACCCACAGGTGGCAATCCCTATACGGTGAATTGCAGCCAGATATAGTCCCCATTGCACATGTGGATCGTGGAGTTAAATGAGATTTGATTATTTTGGCTATGTTTTTTTTAGTGCAACGGTTAAGAGGGTTGGAATCGATTTACGTACATCTTGATTAATATTTTTTTTTAATAAATTATTTATATTAAATTAAAATATTTATAAAATATAAATTTTTCATAATTTGATCCAAATAAAACAAATGCTACCGAGCCGACCATAGGGATTTTCCATATCCGAATAATGTAAATCTTTAGGTCAAAGTCTCCATTCCCAGAATCCAGATTCTGTGAAATCTAAAATCAATGAAAGGAATATAATCATATCACTCACCAAAGGATGTATCAAATATCTCTGACATCTTGTCTTCTCAGTTCTCCAACTTCAAACCTTATCCTAAGCAAAAGTTTTTTTGCCCTGATCAATTATGCATATGTCAAGTAGAAAGTGTTGATATTTATAATATAAATCGTGAAAAGTTTTAATAAGATCATTTGATAATTTTAAATAAATTTATTAATTTTTTTTTCACTAATTCATCTTAAATTCTTTAATTATGTATAAGTGGATAAAAAACAAAATGAATCTGAATATGAATTAGTAGAAAAATTCACGAAGCATTTAGTATCAATCAAATAGTTTTTTTTTTTTTTTGTGAGTTCAACGGTTAGGATGTCCTGATCAACTTACGTACACATCTATTAATTTCCTCTTCAGTCCAACTATGAGCAGATCATTCACACTGAGATTAATATATTCATAACAAATAAATTCGTCATGGCCTCGTCCCAAAAAGTTGCTAAGAGTGAACTTAACATATCTGAGTTTACAATTTATCTTTATTACTATTTGAAGTTCAATCAACTAGTAACTTCTAATACTATTACAGTCATAAAGAATCAAATACTATTAACGTTCATTTGATAATTTATTATTCGACGGCGATACTATCATCAATAATAAAATAATATTACTGTCACAATAAATATTTAGTCCATATATATATATATATATAGTTGATCAGCTGTAATTCACTTCCTGCCTCCTTCTCCATAAGATCTTGGTGGGGAAGGAACGTAAGATCTCCACTCTCCACAGGATTGGAATCAAAGGTGATATAATTGAATAGGCGAAAAAGGTCAAAAGGTGAACATGCATAATTGACACCAACACTTTATGTACTATATATATATTATTCCGTTTGAATGAATACTTTTCAACTAATATCTTCTCCTTCCTCTTCTCTTACCAATGTATCAATTATCAGCTCCTATGTTCCAAACATGAAATGAGATATTCAAATAATAAACTATTCCATTCACCACCTTCAATTACTTTCATACTAAATTTTGTTTTCTTTCTTTGACAAATATTATAATTAATATTCCAAATAATTAATTGGATTATTAAACCATTCTTGTGTGGTTACATAATTTTTATGTCACTATCAAGTTGTCATGCCAATATTAAATGTGATAGAGTTATAAACTAAAAGATTATTTTTTTATAATGAAACTCATTTTTTTATTTTAAGGTCTCAATGAATAAAAGAAGTCAATTAAATATAATTATCAGTAATTTATTTAATTGATAGACATCTGTAATATTAAACGTGGAGAGATTATTAAGCATATAATAATAAAGAACTTGAGACATAATTTTAAGAAAAGGCTCAGGAGATCAATAATAAGTTTTTAGTAGACTAATTTATTATTAATGGACTATATGACGTTTGTTCTGGATTGAACATAAGAATCCTAAATCCATTGGAAAGCCCGACTCTTATTTATCCTTAGGGTTTCTGTCGTAACCTATATATAGATGTCTAGACTCTCTATATCAGCATCACCTTTATTATTTACATTTTGAGGGAGGCCAAGAGAAAGCAGAAATTCGGAAGTCTTTGCAACTCACATTACATCCGAATTTTGGCATAAAGGAATGTACAACAGAATATTGTGAGGTTAATCGAGTTATTTTTTTGCATCTGTTTTTAGATTCTGCGTTGGTGCTGAGACGAGATTAATTCAGAGCGGTCTCGAAAATAAACCCTAGTTCCACTTTGTAGGGTTTTAATGAATTTTTTTTTTTGTATTTGATACATACTGTCAGTGATTCTTAGGATTTCTGTTCCAACAAAATGGATTAAGGCCTATTCAACCACCAATTTGGTTCCAATAATTTTTTTTTGTTCAAAGCTTATGAGTGTTCAGGTCAGCCTACGTACATCTCGATAAATCTCATCTTCAGTCCGGTCCAAGGCAGATAATTCACGCTGTGACTTAGTCACGAGGGATAAATCCCTCACGAATTAGTTCCAAAAGATTGTAAAAAATTAAATATAAGAAAGTTGACTATTGATTTTTAAACTATAATTTGTTAGGGTACATGAGATCAAGTAAACAATCCATTAAGACCATCCTCAATTTTTGAATTCTAGTAATGCACAAAATGTGTTTATGAACCACTTATCAAGTATTTAATATAATAATTAAGAAAAAGACTCAACACAAACAAACACAAGATTAGGTAGTTCGGTTTGAGTGATCTACTCTACTGAGAATGGCGACGGTGACCTGAGAATCTTATTACTCAAGTGATGTAATGAACTGAGATGTGTATGATGTCTCCCATGTGTAGGCAGAATTTACAATTTATAGGTGATTGAAGTTGGTTTCAAATGACTCTAACTAAAGAGCCATCCTCGTAGCAAGAAGCGAGGTGATTTCATGAAATTCACCTTATCCTCGTAATAGGCGAGGTGATCTTATGAGAACGACAATGTATACCTGATAACTATATCCCTATAGATTCTCTCTTCTCGGATGGAGATTTTCACATGCACCGACAATGAGCTAAGTCTCTAAGGAATGTAAGTTTGGCCCAATTGAAATTCCTCGATTCTAGATCCCACGGGGACTTGGCCTATATATCTGAGTTAGACCTAATCTACATATCTGATCTAAGCCTAGTTTAGACTGGCCCGTCAAATTCAACTAATTGAATTAATACACAACCAAGGGCCATTGAACCCGGGTTGTTCTTCTCGCATGCTGAATTTATGTCATTGGAATAGTCTCTCCCTATATCAAGAAAAATTACATTCGTTTAAGTCTCGCAAACTTCGAAATGCGAGAATGTTCGTTTATTAGACCAGTAAACAATCGACCCAGTAGACAGGTAGCTAAAGGAGTCAAAAAGGGTACCTAAAAAAGTGAGGAAGAAGAGAGGACTTTTTGCTGTGGATTTCTGAGAACTTTAGAAATGGTTAACAACAAAAAGTAAGGGGCACGAAAGCTGAAGAACTTGGAGCCCAAGATGTCCCTTGCCTTCCTTTGCTACCCTACAAACTTTTTGTTTATATTCTACATATTCCTGATTGAATGAATAACCACTCTTCCAAGAAAAGATAACAGAAGCTTAAGTAATGTGAATACCACACCTCCATAGCTCTTTTTTTTTTTTTTCTTTTGCAAGACTTACGTCGATTAGTTTCTCGAACTCTAAGATCAATTATTATAGTTCAAATTAGTTTAAGAATATGTTCATTTGGAACAAGCATAATTGGCCCTTCAAAAGCATAAAAAAATATCGAATCTGAGATATTTTTATTACAGGAGGATAAACTTTACTATTGGATCATCTTTAAGGATTCGCTTCATAGGTTCGGACATTTTAATTCACATAATTGTCACTGTCAACTGTCCCAGCACCTATCAGCCCATAGCGTGTCGTTGAAGCCCGCCAACCAGAATATTCTTCACACAGTATTCAAAGGCATCGATGAGGATCGAAACATCATAAACGAATAAGAAAATCGGGACGGTTTTAACCACACGCTAATTATGTAGTTTTTAATTTTGTGTTTATTTATTTGATTCTCAAAGTTTCTAATTTGTATCCATTTGGTCTCTAAATTTTTTAATTTGTCTATTTAGTCCCACATAATTGATATGCGACCCGAAACATTAACAAATTTTTAATGAACATTTGGGATTAGACCACATAAGTACAAATTAAGAACCTTAAATGACTAAATAGACAATTGAAAGATTAGAGACCAAATAGACATTACCCGCATAATTTGATTACATTTGAGTAAGTAGTGACACCGGGCCACTTATATATTCTCAATGAACAGCTATCGAGGTTACAGTGTTACGGCAGTAATTGCAGCACACTGTGTTAAGAGAATGCCTTGCCAGAATAATGATACATGGAAAAGTTAGAAACAATAATATACCATGAACACATTATTACAGTAGGCATGAGCAATGCGACAGCTATATGGCAAGAATATAATTTCGGAGGAGTCCATGTTATTCAGCTATAAGATGGGAGGGATCCATATATAGCCATGGGTTTGAACATAACCAGCCCTTTCTGACAATTCATCTGCTTCCACGGGGCCTCCACTGCCTTGCTTGTATGGAATAGGCTTGAATTCTCCATTATCTATTCTGTGCAGAAGAGGTGTAAAAATCTCCCAGGCTGCCTGATAATTTTTTATTTTTTATTTTTGGAACCAAGACAAGCACATATCAACACACACATACACCGTTTACCTAACATCTAGAAATGGAATTGAAATATCAGTTCGGAGTTAATTCAAGTATACCTTCAGCTCATCTCGACGGACAAAATGCTGCTGATCACCCCTAATTCTGAAAACCAAGAACCAATCTTGTCATTGATGTATGTCAAAATACAGACAGAATGACAATTTGCCTTCTCTACTATGTCATTTACGGTTATTGTCATAGTTGTTAACATTTGGTTGTCTGGCAGTTCCTGCTGTCTCGGGGGGGCTCCATAAATCTGGTTAGACAGCTTAAAAGGAAGACAGCATACACGAGCCTAATAGATAAACAAATATTACATGAATACAGGGACAAAGAATTGTACGTGTCAAGAATTAGACGCTCATAAGCCTCAGGAATGACAACCCCTTGATAGCGTTGTCCATATGACAAGTCCAGTTCACTCTGAACTGTTGACATTTCCAGTCCAGGCTGTTTGACCTGCATGAAAGAAACTAAGCAAGTCAACAAAAGAATGACTCGGTTTCCGCCAAAGTTACCAGAATAAGACATACAGTGAACAGGAATTTGATTGGACATCATGTATGATAAGTTCTTTATCAAAGCACCTAAATTGATCATTGTGTTATCTACAATGGGAACATTTAAAGTGACAGGTGCTGATAAGTCACACTTCAAAAATAAAGACAATCAGGAAAACATGAACAGGTACTAGCACATAATTACAGGAGTATCAACTCCAGCAGTAACTCCATTAATGACATTACTAAATCCAAAAGATAAAAAAAAAAAGAATGGTGGCTTTTGCAAAATTGTCTTGGCATAACCAGAATCACTCACTGACCATAAGCTTCATGTAAATAGCCTCTGAAGGTTGCAGGCGTATTACAAATTCATTTCTCCCTTGCTTTTGACCTGAACAAATAACATTGTGTTTTACAAGGCATTATTCAAACAAAAAATTATCATAATATTTACAGATATTCAAAAGAAGGCATATAGCAATTAGAAATAATCACATCAGGAAACTGCAGCTTCTTGTTTCATGTACCAACCATGTTGAGAAGATAAGCCGCCTATTGTTTGGGACTAAACACCACTTTCACCTTTGTTACTGAAAAGACACTGTTTATCCTCTTATATTATAAACTGAAATTAATTCATTATATAGGGGTAACTTCTCTTTTTTGTTGTTTGCATGTGTGCATCATTTATCTGGCCTCCCAACAGTTGCATAATATATATAGTCCCAGATTGAGACAAGGAAGTTTATAGAGATTGAATGCACACTTGTAGTTCACAAATTATGATCGCGATTCAAGAGTTTGAACCCTTCGACTAAATACCTCAAGGTCACACCATTTCATAAAAGTTACTCATATCATACTGGTCATAGAACAGTGTCACGGCTTGATGCTTGAACTAAAGTCAATATAGAAGACCAGAGAAGATAAACAATATTGAACTTTCTAATGTAGGAGCACAGATGCATACATCTGAATATATCACCAGGAACATCCTTAAATTGAACACGTATTTCTGCCTTTCTTGAATTTAATGCTTTCCCTGCCTTGAGTATGAAGGGAACACCTGCATGGCGATGTTAATAAGAAGAACATGGAATAGCTTTTCCACTATCTGATGCAAAAAAAAAAAATGCATGAGCAAAGAGCCACAAGGGTCAAGTCTGAGATTCCACTACACAACAGTAAAATTCTGCTTGAAGATTCAAGAAACATTTTCCCGGAATCATGAGGGCGATATGTAATGAACAGACATCATAAACTAATGTTGTAGATCACACATATCACCTTCCCATCTTTCGTTATGTATACGCAGAATCATAGTAGCAAGAGTGGGAGTATTCGAGTTGTCAGGAACAGTGGAGTCATCTGTATAGCCTTCATATTGTCCAAGAACAACCTCTTCATCTTTAATTGGCACAACGGATTGAAGAACCTGAATAACACGCTAATATCATCAAGCAAAAATGGAAAATAGCTGGGACTCAAAATGAACATATTGGCAATGAATTTCTTCTAAGAAAGCAATCAGATAAATACCTTCACTTTCTCATCTCGGATGTGCTCGGACTTGAGAGAAACAGGCTTCTCCATGGCAACCAGGCAAAGAACCTGTAGTTGGTAGGAATACGTTGGTGGATTAAACTAATATGGAGAACTAAGAGGAAGTCAGGCTACATAATTTATCTTAACATTGCTACCAGTTCCCATGTATTAGAAGTTTCTTTCTCAAATATTTATCTGTTGATAAGCAGAATTACTCTTTCAAACATCACAATAACTCTTTGGAATCTCAATCACACATAATAGTAAGTGCTTTCATGAGGGAGTCCCCCCACCTCTAAAATGAATTTTAAAAAAAGTCTTTGACTGACCTATTTTAGCCTGGCCCATGCAATTTAATACTGGGCTTTTAAAAAATACAGGGACTTCTTTATACAAAAAAAAAAAAAGTAGAAATGGACATTGCACCAAGTTACTGAACGAAAATCGAGGTTTCATATTGTGTTTTTTCTTGCCAAAGAGAGACCACATTAGAAAATCAACAGAAAACCCAAAATCAGACCACAATATGCATTGAATGGATTAAAAGAAAGCACAGTTCAAGACCCTAATTTATGTAACCAGTGCCTAGGAGTAGTGACAAAGATCGAGTTATGTGGGTGCCAAGATTCAAATTCCATCATCTACCATTGAACAAACCAAAAGCAAAAATACATGTATTGGGATTTGGGACACCTTAGTCGCCAGAAAAAGTAAATAGTCTGTGCAGATGACACTATTATCTATATGTGGTATTTCCAACTTAATACGTCCTCATACCTGCAACAGATGGTTCTGAATAATATCACGGATGATCCTGTACCAAAAACACAAATAAAGATGTTATTTACTGTAAGCCTCTTGTTCCAATCATACAAAAACAAATGCACCCGTTCTCCAACATCCTTTTTAGTTTAAAGCTACACGTTCATTATTTCAGAATATGAGAAAAATGTTGACAGCAAATTTCAAAGCACCCTGCAGTGTGCATACAAGATTCGTAACAAACAAAATTTTTCATCAATTAAAAAAAAAAATTCCAAAATTTGAAGTCATAAGCAATAGAGAAATATGGCAACACAAAAAGTTTTAAACATTAACAGTGCATACCCATATTCATCAAAATAGCCACCACGACCTTCTGTTCCGAAATCCTCTCTAAACACAATCTGTAAGAGAAAGAAATATGACAGATAAATAAAGGGATAGTCATAGTCAGCAATTACTATATATGTATTGGAAAACAACTTTCAATCTTAAACATATTAGGGCAGACAAGTATATAGATAAGGCAACTACAAAACTCAAGCATGGCCTCTGCTGCAATCTAAAAAATTTATCTGAACAATAAGGAGCAAATAATATTGCACGTGTAATACCTACTAAATTAATTACAGGTTCTTCAGAAAAGTCCACCTTTCACAAAGAAAGAAAAAGAAAGTATAATGCAACCAGCAGAAAGATGCTCACCTGTACATTATCAATGTTGTCACGATTCCAAAGCGGCAAAAAGAAGCGATTAGCAAAACGAAGTACCAACTGCAAATTTTTCCAATGACACAAAGATAGACATTAGCACCAAAAGAAAGCTGGATAAGAAAATGTTAAAGAACAGACCAATGCATTACCAAATTCTGCACCAATTCCTTTCCCAAATAATGATCAATGCGGTAAATTTGCGCTTCATCAAACAACTCTCCAATCTGGGAACTAAGCTCCTCAGCCGAAGCTAGATCCTTGCCAAAAGGCTTCTCAACAACAATCCGAGTCCATCCACCAAGATCAGCTGATATGCATAACATGAAGAAGGTCATAAGAGAGTATAACTAAGAGGTTCTCATTTCCATCAAATGTGTAGCAATCACAAATCTATGTCAGCCAATGATGAGAAGAGGCCATAATGCAAGATAAACCTGGGAGGGGAACACAGTAAAAAATGGAATGAGATATCTACATAATGCATTCCTATGTAATATGCAATGGGGAGTTGATACTCTTTTCTATGCATCCAAACTTGTTCATCATTAGAAATACCTGTTCGTAATAATTTTCCTTTATTCATTCGGACTTTCTTTATGAATTTTTCAAATCTCTGGATAAAATAAGACAAAAAATAATATTATAAAGACAATAAACCCATTGTTACATTTCCCCATCAGAGTGGAATAGAGTACTTAGTTCTTTTGCAAGTACTGGAGAAGAAGATGCATCTAATGTATAGTGCGACTTGTCAGATATATGGGGTCATGTGGGATTTCCCCATCGAGATATCCTTGGTTTTGCCCAAGAAAGTTTAATTGAATCATCCAAAATTGGAGCGTAAGGTGTTCAATCCAATCCATATTTGGGGGGATTTAGATTACTATTACTAATTAGAATGATTTAGGGTTGGTTTGGTTGGACTAATAAAATGAAGTATCCAGGCTCCATTTAGAAAAGCCCAATTGGTAATATATCTATGATTACTACCTTGTATTTAGAAAGACAAATGTTTATATGAATCAGGGAGAATGAAAGCCAGTGGTAGTACATTGGTTTCCAATTTAATCTATATGAATGGCTACATTTATATGCAATTAAGTTCTGTGTATGTAATGTATCCTACCACATAAATAGAAAAAAAACCTAAATTTCCATCAAAACATCATGTATTCAACGGGAGAAACTGGTTGCATCAAGAAGGTATCTGCACTCGTTGAATAGAAGATGGAATTCCACTTAAAGAGACGAGGAGGGATTACAAAGAATTTAAGAATCAAAAAGCAATATTTTGTTGAAACCTCAAAACACACAGCCCCATACATTACATTGCTTCACTCAAAGGGTATGTAAAAACCCTTTCTCCATATTCTGGAAAGTATTCTTTTATCCATATTGCAAGACTTTGAATCAGCTAATTATATCAAACATGACTATTCAATGTGGTTTTCAATAATTTCCTTCTGCAGGTATCCAAACTCTTAATATTTGATTGTTTTATATCAAGGCCCTGGAAAGTGAGGAGTTCATGCAACCAGTAGACAAAACAACTGCTTCCACAAACACAAAGCAGTTATTTTTCGTTTTAAACTTTTTCTCCTCTTCTATTAGAGTACGAAACATCATTCATGTGGCCTCCTAAAGTAGCAGGACGAACGACACCATTGCTTTCCTCTTAAGCACTAGGCGTGTCTGCATGATGTTTTGTGGGCTCTCATGGTTGTAGGTCTGACTTTGTCTCCTAGAATGCAGATCAAAGACACACCTTGAAATGTATTCCTCTAGTGGATAGCAACTAATTCAAAAAAAGTGCGATATCAGATACCTGAAATTCAGAAACTGTTCTGAAATAAATGCACATACATTTGTTCGTGCAACAATCCTTGATCATTTTGCAGACAGAAGGATATACGGAGGGAGGAAGTGCCAAGTAAAATAGTCTTCGAGATGATCCTTCTGCACTGTTTTTTGCTACTTCATGCTCAGATATAATCTTTTCCAATGAACGAAAACCCTCCTCAGTATCATAAGAGCCACATACATATTTTATCTGCATGCCCATTGACAAGCCCATCACTGGTGAAAAAAATAATAACGATGTAACATAGACAAAAGGAAGAAACAACTGCTGAGCTAACCAATTGCAGAAACTCCAATACACCTTCCGAATGCTCTGCGGAAGCACCCCTGCCTGGGGCAAGATAACTGCACTCATAATCAATTGGTCAATGTACCCCCGTGAGTTAGTTCTTGCATCGATTGCCAAAAGTCATTACTGAGCAAAAACCACTACCACTATTTGTATTTGAATGCGATAGAGAACAAGAGGAGCAGTAAGAGAAATAACGAACAGAAGAATATCACAAGAAATTGAAAGTGAAGCTAAATGCAAAATAATAAAAAAAATCCGAGGTCTTCTCATGTATATGGACCAAAAAAGCATCCATTGAAGCCGCCAAAGAACAAAGTAGCTGCATGCCAAATCTGCCCAATCCTCTCCAGGATGTGGCTCCCTTCCAAAGCATGCATAACATTGCCAACTTTCAGGTGCAAAACCCAGGCTACCCCAATCAAGGCCAATAGCATTTGCCAAATATTCCTAGTGACCAAAGCTTTCTACCCTGAGTTTTCTAATGAACACACTATCATGGAGTGAAAAAAAAGAGTAAGGAAAACTCACCCACAAATGCACCATCTCAAATCCTCATCTGAAATCTTAGTCCTTGCATAGCCAAAAATGTGGACTTCATTTGGTTGCAAGAATCCCTGGGCATGCCGAATGGCAATTTGAAGTTAGCATAACAATGCCATGTTTCTCTGAAGTTTGGAAACTCAATCAAAAGAATCAATTCTTTATAGCACATGAAAGCTATTATCAATGTTAGATCTTTGACTTAATTGGTTACGAAGGGACATAAACTATTTGGGGGGTGGGGATTATCTATTAATTACTCACCAATTCATAACCTAAGCTAAATTCCAAAAGAGGTTACAAAAACCAAATCATCCAATCATGAGAAACAACAAGGAGATATCCTAATCCAACCTGGCGATAAAGGTTGAAGAGCGCTGGGAAAGTCTTTTTCTTGGCGAGATCACCAGAAGCACCAAGCACGATGATGGAGAGACAACCGGTTTCAGGAACATTCTCAATGTCTCTTGAGAAATTCTCATTTCTGATAGGAGCACTTTTCTCAATGCACCGTCTATCTGACATCATCTTCAAAGCTTCACAAACCGATAATAGCCACACTCAATCCACAATTTGCATGAAATGTGATCATCACTTATAAAACATTCCGGATCTGCACATAATAAAACAGAAAATCAGTGGTAAGAAACGTTAATAAATATTCAGGATGTTCTCCCAAATTCAGTAATCAATTTATCTGAATAATCAATCCCTCTAATTGACATAATTAGTGAACTTCGTTGATTAGCTTTTAAGCAATCAGTTTGGCTAATATTAGTTTTGTACATGAAAATATATCATAGATTAACTATCCAATCCAACTTCATTAATTAGCTTATGAGCAATCACCAATCAGCATAACTATCCAACTCCTATCCACCAACACGAGTGATCAAACAAAAGAATTATGAATAAGCACGTTTGATACATAATGCACATACGTAGTTAACAGAAAATATAATTGGATAAACTGACAAGATCGTCAGAAAAAATTCGTTTATAACAATTATGATATTCGCATATATAATACCATATTTCTTCAAATAAACGGCAGTTTGTTAGAATTAAGATTCCGATTCAGAAAATGGAAACGTTGACTGAAAAATATGAAGAATGAGATCCAACCTGAAACTGAGACTGAGAGAGTAAAACTATTGAAATCAGAAACACAATTATGAAGAAAAATTTGCAGAATTCGAGTAAAAGACAGTGAGAAGTACCTTGTCGATACGATCTTTGACGCGGAGAGAGAGAGAGAGAGAGAGATTGTGCAATTTTGTGGTTGTTGAAGATTGACGATTTGAGATTGAGATTTTGATTCTTGGAGGAGTGTGTGAGGTTCACCCATCTCGTTTGATTCTCATTAACCGTCGTAGGCGAAAATGAACAAAAACGGGGGGAATCAGTTTTAACGGCCCCACAAGCTCCCTTAATTGGCTAATAGTAATTTTATTCTGACCCAAATTTTTCATTAAATTGTATTCTGACCCAAATTTCTTCATTAAATTTTATTCTTGGACAATAAAATTTGAAATAATTTTTTTTATAGAGAAATGATATTTGGACATAATTTAATGGCCTAATTTATTAACCTAATCACTCACTGCCATTGAATTGACACTGAGTTTCAATGTTCTTTGGAATTAGCTACTAATGTAATAGCTATGATAGATTATGTCAAAAAAAAATTAGATCAAAATAGTATTATTAATTTCTATAGTAAAATCTTAATTATTTTCCACACATTTGGTATTCTTTACCGTACATAGTAAACTATGTGTTTAATTGTTTCTTTGAAGTATTGTACTATATGTTTTCAGTTTTCATAATCGTACAATGCTCAAAAAATTAATTTATGGATTACAAGATGACGTGATTGCGAGGTGATTTTGGCAGTGGCCGTGGTGGTAGTGGTAGTGAACTTGGTGGAGATTTAGGGTTTCATAGTATGAGCCGAGATGAGGATGCAGGTACACCAATAGGAGGTTAACGGCAAAGGTGGAATTTAGAATTGGTTAATTTTTTCTATTTAATCTATTTTTTTAATTTATTGTTGGTTTATATAATAGTAAAATTTAAATGCAGGTCATTCAGCAGCGGATGTTGAATAACAAACGGTAAAGTAAGAATAAAGCTTTAAAAATAAAAAAAAAGGAAGGTAATTTATCCCAAAAGCAGAACAAAAGAAGTCCATGGAGAAGGACACAACCCACAATAACTTGCAAGGGACTAATAAAAAAAGGGCGAACTAAAAACCTGATGAAAAAAGTAAACCGCCCAATTACACAATTCGCTCGCCATAAAAAATAAAACAAAAATAAAGCTGAAAGCAACAATGACAGAGCTGGTGCCAGGTTGGAGGGGAAGAAGGTGGAGGTTTGAAGCTTGTGAATTTACGGTGGTTTGGTAGTGAACATGGAGGTGGAGGGTTTGGGGTTAGGGCTGCGGTATTGTGGATGAAGGTAGGAATGGGAGTGGGTAAAGTTTTAGTGGCGAGACTGACGGTTGGAATAGAGGTTGGGGCTTGGCAGCCATGTTGAAGTAAGGATTTAGGGGATGAACAAAAGATAGGTTGGTTTGTTAGTAGTATTGGGTTTGAACTAGGACAGTGGAGATATTTTACAATGGTCTAATTTGCTTACCTAAACGCTCGAATATTGATACCCCACTGAAACGATCATTGATCACCTCGTATGTCTGCATTTCAGGTGATAGTACACTTTTGTAGCCACCAAGAAAATGAAATCACCATCTTGAAGAATTACAAATATGTAACTTCTCAGCTTTTAAATAACACCAAAAGATATTAAAATCATATCCTGGTAATGCATAACATGAAATTCGAAATTTTGTAGCGATTTAACAGGGAAGTATCCACGCTACTGTTTCAAAGATTGGTGGACGACACATGTACACTGATAATCACATTCAAAACCTGATTGCACAAGGATTTGACATCCACATATGACCATGTTTATTGTCCCTTAAAGCTTTCGCCATGCTCACCCGAGTTTCATTCGTCCTGTGCCATCGAGTTTTAAGAGATGACTACCCATTTTATGAGAGATGACCGAGGCCACAAGTTTAACCTTCACCTGGGAGAACCACAGATATTACTCGACAGAACAGAATTGGCAGGAACAACACTAACTCAACCTCCATATAATTAAAGAGGAAACGGTACCTCACCTGTGAAGTCAACCATCACATTTTCAACCACTTAGGTTTAACAGTCTTTTTGTCAGCAGGCCTCTGCTCTTGAGTGACACGGGAGGTACTACCTATTACAGGTTCTGGGGCAGATTGGGCAGGCTGCGCCTGCTCAGCTGCTAGTTCTAAGCCTTTCAAAGACATGACCTCCTCTTGAAGAAAAGGACCTGATACAGCTGCATCATCATTGCCTGGAAAAGAAATAGCTATTAAATCAAAACATTGAGCATTTGATGTGGCTACATACTGGTGGGTCAAGCAAGACACTCTAAGACCATGGAGGAATAAAGGGAAGAGCAAAACTATTCAAAATTTTCATTCGTAATCCACATAAGAGATGTGCTCTCTCTGTTCCATAAAAACCTCCTAAAACAATGCTACCCCAAAAAGGTGGTCCAACCACGCATTAGGACAAACCGGTGCAATGTTTAACACCGTTTCAAGAACTTGAGACAAGAAATTACAGAACTATTGAGTAAAAGACTTCTAAAGCTACTCGAATAACTATGAACAATAAATCTATTGTAACTTATTGATTCCACATGACTAAGCCTCAAGAAAGTTGTTCTTACAATGGAGCCTGCTACAATCATAAGGGTGTAGGATCAGAACATATTGACTGTTTACATGGGAAATAATAGGAAGTTTGTCAGCTTATCCATGCTCCCCACTCCACACACACACACACACAGGGATAATTTTTTAGGAAAGTCAATGTGAAACAAAGTAACTTTTTAGTTTTTTCCTAAGCATCAATTGGTGGATGACATATATAAAGGAATGCCAAGTCTATGCAATTCTTAGAGAATTTGAACACAATCATGACCAGGGGCGGATTTGGTATGGGGGAAGCTGCCCCCACTGAAATTTTAAAAAATTTTGGGACCTAGATGTAATTTTAAAAATTTCTAGAATTTCTTAAACTTGCCCCACTAAATTTGTATAAAGTATAGGGTATATTAATGTAATTTTCAAACCCTTAAACGTAAACTTTTGGAAGCTCCTCCTTTTCACACCAGTTTCTTTTTTTTCCTTTTTTTCCCGTAAGTCTTATTCAGTTCTTCGTTTTCTTCAGTCTTCACTTGGGGGTAACTTCCAATCCAGCCCTTTTTCTTTCTTTACTTTAGTTTCTTTGGTGTATTCATCAAGGAATCAGCCAATTGGATTCAATCATTGTGCAAATCAAACTTTGAAGAAACCCTAGAAGATTATATTGAAACTAAGAAAAGGTAATCCATTAACCAAATTTTTTGACAGTAACATTAGCATTAATCTAAAATCAGATTTTTTATATTAGAAAATTAGTTTAGTTCCTATAGGATTGATGATTTTTTGGTGTATTATTTATGAACTTATGTAGGTTTTCTTTGTTTCATCTTGGATCACCACTCCACTATTTTGAATTTTCGTTGAAGCCCCTGTTCATATACATAAGTTGCGCCTCTAAATGGCATTCTTTTGATGTAACTATGCTTATAAACAGTTTATCAAGAATACATATTTTGATGAAAACAAGGTAACAATTATACATTGAAATTTAAGAATTTAGGTTGCCCCCACTGACACAAAATCCTGACTCTGCCCCTGATCATGACATGCTCTGAGGCACAACCATATGTGCTTAAACATCCCTTTGTGAGAAGTTGTGAGTGGAAGGACCCCCAACCTTCTGAGATACATCCCACAGATATTTAAGTAACTTTAACATGCAAGATACTTTCAGTGGTTGGGACAATGAAGGTGGATGTAGACCCAATGACCCAAGCACAGACTTCAATTGGATGTCAATGTGTGTTAAACCAGAGGTCTCAATTTTAAATAGTGACACTTTGTGTGATATCCAGTTCCAGTAAAATCCTTGGAGACCAACTAGTGACATCTGACATGTACAGGAGATTTAAGTCTATCAAGAACCGCACTTTGGATACTTAAAAAACGCCTAGTTTAGTTGCCATTAAAGGGTCTGGGAGGGAGATTTGGCACAAACATAACATTTGACATTCTTTTCACCAATTGGTTGCCTTCAAGTTTGAACCCACAACCTCAAGGTTATTGGGCCAAATTTTAATACTAGAACTATACGATTCATATTTTAATATACAAGTATGTCTCAATAAAACTCAAACTTTTGTAAAACATATCATAGTTGAACTATTTAGAACAGCTCATAAATAGGATATGATGGGAAGATTATGATTTATTGCACACGAAGATTCAAGCAGCTGAATGTTAACTATGCTATGATGATAAACATGCACAAACCTTTCGGTAGATCATAGGAAAAATACACGATTGCACCAGGAACAAAGCCAGCCGAGTAGAAATCCAGCGACGTGTCTTTAATTTGCTTCTTAGGAGGAGTGGTATCTGGCGAATAACCGCATATAAAGCAAGTTTAGTGATGTGCTGCCCCATTTCAAATGCTTTTTCTGGTACTAAGCTCACATTTTACAAGATAGATATCAATGATTCCATTAGAAAAAAGCTTACAAACACAAAAAGGTAGTTCCGGTTGAGCAACCACTTTGACGAGAAGATCAACCAAACATTGAATTTTCTCTGATGGATGAAATGTAACCTCCAACGTGTGATTATCAGGGAATCGTACCCGAATTACAGCCTGAATAACGAGAAATTAGGTTATAGATTTATGGAAATGAAATCTAACCAATTTACTAAGATCAAATGGTTCGCACACAAAAATACGAAGTCCAAACTAGCGACACAAGAATTTTGAGCTATTGATCTAATAAGCACCTTGGTTATCCTTGACCTTCGAGCAGCCTCCTCCGCTTCTCGGATTTTTCGCGTCTTTAGGAATTTATCTGCTCAGGATTCCAGTTCATCCCATTTAAGGATGTCTCTAATATCATAAATACAAACACACATGAAACATAATCTTGTGCATTCTCTGTGTACATCTACTATGGGTTTATAGTACATTTTGCATTCGCCTCTAACTTTGAATGCATGATCAGGTAGCAAATGAAATAAGGGGGGAAAAAATTGAAAGGAGAACTAATGATTTAATTAACGAAGAATTGAGAATGCGCCTTTTACCAACTATTCAGGTTCTGCATATAATGGGTCCCAAATGCGAGTAGACATATTCGTCCCAAATATCAACTAACTCATTGGACACAGACGATCCACTGAACCTTGATTATTTATAAAACGCTTCGGTTGAGATACAAAATTCATTATAGAAAATATAGCAGATTGTCCAAAGTATAAATCCCCTGTCACTTGACAAACAGAAGAAAAATACCCTATTTTCTCTGTGTCAGTCTGTGAAAATTCCTAACCTAAAATAAACTCATACAAGAATAATACCTCCATTTTTAGTCGCTAAAATTCGATAATAATCCTCGGCAGTAAACTCATAAAAGTCATCTGGCTCCTCTGCTTCAAAAAATAAAGTAGAATACAAAAGGAAAAATCAAACACGTTAATAAGGCATTACACACCACACAAGACATTTCAGATTCTTATATTAGTTGACAAGGATAATATATAAAAAAGAAATTTAATGAAGTTTAAGTGGTCCACACCATTGTTGGAAACATCACTTGATGATGGAGAGGTGGTTACTGTTTCAAACACACGGATTTCTCGTCCAAATTTTTCTTTTGCAGCTGCAAGCTTTGCCTGTATCACCCAAGGAAATTTGACATAATTGCACAGCACCATGCCAGCAGCCAAGTAAATCAAGATTATAGCATAGCATAGCATACTAGAACACCCATTTTCCAGTTCTTCAAAAATTGAAATACAATATGAATATAAGTAAAACTAATGGGAGTAGAGAAAATTTATAAACTCAATTTCAGACCAAAAGTAACTAAGTGATGGGGAAAAAAAAAAGCAGTAATTTACACCAACAGTGCAGAGAGTGCACATTTCAAAAACTGTAAAAGCCTCATAAGCTAGAGAAATATAACATATTTACAAATGAAACCCCTCAATAAGCTAGCTTCCTATTATCTTTATCTTTTCATGCGTCTTTTAAAATTTGGGAGCCTAATTCCTCTCTGGGTCAAAAACAATGACAGATAACAGAAATTACTAAGATACACAAATATAAGTCATGGATAAGTCATAGAACCACAATGAAATTTAAACAGGATGACAAATTTCAGTTCTTCACGCACTACCCTCGTTCTCAAAGCAATCAAAGTACTTGAATTTCACTCAAGATCGCAAGTATTAACTAGGAAAACAAAAAAAAAGGGGGGGGGGGGGTATTGGCATTTATCAGCATCAAAGTCAAAAAAACAAAAAACAAAGGCAATTGAATAAGCTCCAAGAGAAGCACCGCAACGATAACAAGAATCAAACAATATAAATAAATTTCGAACATCATAAGTCAAGATTAGATATAATTGAAATTAAACAATATAACAGAAACCCATATCGACCCATCTCTTGAAAGAATTAAAACCACAAGAAATCAAGTAAAGAACATAAGGTAGGTGAGATAAAGAATTACCTTAGTTGATTCTAAGTCCATTAGATCAATAGTGATGAGTCTCTTCCGCTTCAAAGCTGGTGGTGAATCTGATCTCATGAGCGAATCAAGCAACCCAAATCACAATCTCATCTAGAATCTCTCTCTCCTTTTCCCCCTCTTGAATTTACAGCATCGTCTTCCAGCCAGTTTCCAATTGTTTCTCACTTCGCCCGCAAGACTGGTACGACCTCTTGATTAATCGCAAAACACTATTCTAGAAGGTTGGGGAGTGCACGTGTTATCGCACGTGCCGTAGATGCCAAAATTGATATTTAATCTCATCATCTAAATCAACTTCAACCTCCCGCATAAAAACCAGTTTTAACTATTTTTGAAGAGCCAATTTCAAAAATTTCTTTCCAATCAACTCTTTATTTCATTATCTATTTTATCTCTTCTCATTTTCGCTCGTTACTTCTAGCGAGCGAGATTCCCTAGCTATTTGTTTTTTGCGCCAATTTTGAAATTAATCTTCTTGTACCGTAGTTTCATCGTCTTCATCATAACTCATATGTCCTCAAGTATGGATCTCTCTCTATCTCTTTCTCTCTCTTTGCTTGAATCGATAGAAACCCTAATGTTCAAATAAAAATTGAGATAATTTTGATACCCCAAATGATGAAATTAATAACTCATAAAATCACTATAGTCTTTTATGTGAAGTAGAAGACCATTGTGGTCTATTATGCATAGGAAGATGAAGAGTTTTGAGCGGAGATGTGTTCAATCTTTTTTTTTTTTAGATTTTTTTTTGGTTTAACTATAATTTTTTTTTTTTCTGGTTTAACAATGACTCACATAATTTAAGGAAACAGTATGAACTAAAAACACAATCTAATTTGGATTGATCCTGAAATTTTTATGTATTAGCTATGAATTCATTTTGTATCTATGCTTTGACATTTTATCAAACACTTGGTTGACACATATTATTAAAAAGTTAGTTAAAGTAAATTGCAAAAATAGGCAACATACTTGAAATGAATTTATAAAAATAATTAATTAAAATAGAAAATATAATATTTAAATATATTTTACAAGTCATTTTAAAGAATTGGATTGGAATTGCTCTAATAAGTGGTTCAATGGGCTAGGCTCGTTTTGAACCCATAGGCACAAGAGGCTCATGGCAACAATTGCAAATGGGTCAACAACCCAGGGTGAGGGTGGCAAAGGGTTATGGGGTGGTTGTCGGGAGAGGGGTGAGTGTGGTTTGGAGAGAGAATGTCTGGTGGGAGTAGAGGACAATAGGGGCTAGTTGTTCAGACTTATTACAATTCATTAAATCCCCGAGGACTTACGATTTGGATATATCAATTTCAAATAAGGTGAATTTACGATTTAAATCATCAAAATATACGATCCCGAATTATACTCGTAACTCAAATATAAAATATTTATTAATTAACTACATGTATATAAATTTATAATTATATACACAAATATAAGATAAATGATAATTGAATTAATGTTTATGAATGTTCTATGATATATAATATTGTATAGTGATAAAAACGATATAAATAAAAATTTTAAAATGAATTGCAACAAAAAATACCATACCAACTAAAATTATCTCATCGTATTGCATACCTAAGAAAATATCGTATCGCATACATATACTTGTATCAAATACTAATGTGACCCACGATTTAAGTAATATTGTGTTAGATTAGTTCAATACTCGTCATTCTTATTCTATATATAGAAATATTTGTTTCTACAATTTAAATCCTTAATATCTAAATCACAATATAATAATCTTACTATTGCATCAATACTTACTCTTATAAAAAAGAAAAATAATGTTTTTACAACTTAAAATTTTCATGTTATTTGAATAAACCTTTTTTTTTTTTTTAACAAGAAAAAACCTTGACATGAGCAGATTTTACTTTTTGAATATCAATTGACAAAGTAAAACATTTCCAGTCAATACAACCAAATATCCCCTGAAGGGTAGTATGGGCAAATTAGTTAAAGTATATTATGGTGTATAACATGGGTTTTATGGTAGTTAATTAATTATCACCACTTGTATTAGATAAAGAAAATGACTATTACGGTATTACCGCTTCGTTTGTACACGCATAAGCGTATCCAAGGCCCATTGCAATACGGAAATGGGCTCCTAAAAAAGCAAAGCCCAATATGCCTGCCAGATGGTCTCTTCTCATCATCATAATCATCACAACCCCTTTATTTTACTTATAATAATAATCACATTGACTAATTATTAAAGGGTTGGTTTGGCACCCAAGTGAAGCAATATCACTATTATAACTCGCCGGCATTCAAGCATTTTCTCGTTTACATTACTGATCATATAATCACTTTAATCTACAAAGCACAAATAAATATTTGTTAAAAATAATTATTAAGAGGGAGCTTATATAATTGAGGAAGCCTTATAATAATAGTAAGAAATAAATTAAGGGATAATTAGCGTTTGAAAACAATGTGCAACGTAAGTAAAAGGAACGGATTTAAAAAAAAAAAATTCAATGTGAATAATTTTAAAAGGAACGTTGGTAGTCATTGAATAAGTTTATTTGAAACCGTGTTTAAAATCACGGTGAAAATTTAAGAGAGATATCGGTGATCGTTTAATGAATCCACTTGAGACTGTTGAATGAACTTATTGAAGGTTGTCGTGTTTTATATTATAAATTATAATTATAAATTTATATTATAGATTTTGTTTTGAAATAATTTAATGGTAAACTCGCATGGTCTTGGTAGAAAGCGTCAAAAATCAGAAATTGAAGTTGGCCGGCAACACTTAGGCCAAGGGTTCACCAGCGCACGTTAGAGACAAGCCTTCATGGAATTCAAATTCTTAAATGGCCTCAAACGTGATTCCTTTATCCTGCAGGGTCCCACCGCGAAAAAATAAGGAGTACTAATAATTAATGGATTTAAAATTAGATTTAATAATTATAATCATTAATTTCATTTGGTTTCAATATTTATTGAGACTTGCCTATTCAATAATTATAATTATTAATTTTAATTTTTAAATTCATTTAGTATTACTCAAAAATAAAATGCAAAAGGTCACCTCATTAATCCCTAAAAATCCCAATCACTTCCCCAAAATATTAACTAATTACAATCGTTAGGCCACATGCGTAATTATATCAATTTACAGGGACCTGTTTTTGAAAAAGAAAGACCAACAGTTCAAGCAAAATTAAATCGGAAAAACCAACAGAAACACACAGGAGAGAAGAGAGACTATGCAGAGAGAAAAGAGAAGCTAATTGTAGATACAGAGAGAAGCGTACGAGAGAGAGGGGGAGGCTGATGACGATGGACCGAGAGAAGGAGAGAGAGATAGAGCTAGAGAGTGCAATGTACACTAATTGTTTGTTGTTGGGACTGGATCCGTCGATCATCGGCGTCGGAGCCAATAACGGTACCCCTCGGGTTGGACTCTTCCGTCACTCTAACCCGAAATTGGGCGAACAGCTTCTATACTTCATCTTATCCTCTCTCAGAGGTCCAATTCAATCCGCAAAGGTGATATACATATGTACAACATCTGCAATTTATGCATATATTTTGATTTCATTTCAATGCGATCAATTTTTTTAGTTTATAATTGTGAGATCTTACAGGACTTCGATAGAGTCTGGCCAATTTTTGATTCGGCACAGTCGCGTGACTTTAGAAAGGTGGTTTTTTATTTATTTATCGAATTTAATGTTATTTAAATTGAGTTCGAGATTTGCGCTTATTTGTGGAAATTTGTTATATGTTGGTTTTATATTATGGTTAAGTAGGTTGTACAAGGGATAATAAGTGAGCTGGAATCGCAAGGGGCACTTCCAAGAAGCAATTCAAGGGTTTCGTCTCTTGCTACATGTTGTGGACCCAGGTTAGATGGTGAAGACTCTCATCGTAAATGCTTTAAGTGAATAGGCTATAATTTTAGTGTTTTTTCCCTTTTCCTCCAACTATTTGCAAGTTGTTATTTGAATTTTTGCTAAGTATCCCGTTGGCACTTGTCATTTTTTGGAACTGTCTCATTTGGGTGGCCAAGTATTGCGTGCCAACGACGTTCGTTACGTGGAATAAACTAACATAGATTCTCTTACCTCGGAGAAAACAAATTGTCACAGCTGTTAAAACCTATATTTATGATTGAATGTGCAAGATTAAGGAAAAAAAATGAATAATATCTCTACTAAATCATGGCTGGATGCTATGAGTAATGCTACTTTAAACATAGCAATATAGCATAAGTGGGTGGAATTACAAATGCTTCCAACTAGTTGTTTGGTACTATAAAGGTCACTATGTTCGTGGCACATGTTGCATATATTAGGGAATGGATATCATCTAGACAGGAACACTTGATCTGGGACAAAACTTCCCCCTGAAAATAATGCAGAGAAGCAATATGAAACAAAATAGTAGAGAAAGAAATGACCGAGAAAAGTGAGAAAAGGACTTTGGTTGATAGAGATCTCCCACAGTATTCAATTTTGCTTTGGTTAGGCATCTAATAAAGATAATTTTCTCATTTCCCGATGACATCCAAATAGACAGGAATGTGTTTTGCAAGATACTTATTCAAGAGAAAATATATTCCCGACATACCAAATCAATTGGTTTTGACCAGTTGTACTTGATCTTCTTGTGCCTTTTAAAATGTATTAATCTGACCGATCGCCTTTTTATTAGCTTATGCTTTTATTCGGATAGGAGAATGAGGTGTAGGGAACTCAATTTTTTGAAAGGCTCCGAAGACACAATAGACGTGGGATTTCTACGTAATAGTACGCTATGAAGTTAAGGTCTGAGTTGTCTGACAAAGTTTTAGATTCCAACTGAAAAAGAAAATTTGTATAATTTGGATTAGCCAAAGCCACATATTTTGTATGTTCACGAGTCTGGAAGTTTCATCTTAAGTTATCTTTTTGTTTGAGAGAACTTTTAAGGATCGTAGGGCTTATTTATACTTGAGAGAACTTGCAAGAGAAGAGGGCTAAGCTTTTCACGGCCATCTATTATTTTTGGCTCCCAAACAAGGGGTGAATTGGAGGAAATCTGCATAGGGGTAGCTCAAAATACCTACAATTCCATAGAGATAGAAACATACATAGTCAGCCAATTTTTATTTTGATAAATTTTATTGATAGGAATGTGATGCAGGAATGCGTAGGTTTCTTCTGTACTAACTGTAAAGGGGGTGAATTACGTGGGAAAGTGATGGAGTAGGGATTGAAACGAGGAATAAGGTTGCAGTTAATCAATCAATGGTGGTTAAGCCTTCTGTTTGCAATTGTGGCAAATATTAGTGATGCCAACGGTGCAGTGAGCTGTATTTCTAAATATTGTTGTGAATAGTAACATGAGCAGTGACTCATAGCAAAAGTGTTTTTAGAAGAATCAAGTAACAGATGAAAGTTATGAAGACATAGAGAGAATTCTGTGTTGTATAACTGTTTGTGGAGGATCTATACTTATTCTGTCTGGCTTGTGGCTTTAGTGTTTCACTCTTGTGGATCAAATGAGTACTAGCTTGAATATCTACTTTAACAGTTTTCCTTGATGGAATGGAATGGAAAATAGTATAGCCTCATGTTTTAGATTACTCTTTAGTATTTTAAATACAGGACTAGATTTCTGACTGGGTACTGCATTTCACAATGTCAACAATTGGAGAGAACTGGCTTGAATATGTAACATGATAGTTTTTCTTTGTATATTATTTTTCCCCTTTTGCCAGTACCATAATAACTTCACTTTACACTTCTGTGAATTTATGTTACGATTGGAAATAGTAGATCCTCTTATCTTTATTTTGCTCTCATCGAACTGGTTTTTCTGAGTGATGACCTTCTGGTTAGATTGCCTTCCCACTTAGATTTTTGCTGCTGTTATATTTTTGAGCTTAGTCTTTTTGTCTTCTAATGTCCATGGAATCATGGATGTCCTTTTATACAACTTTATCGGTACTGGAAAATGTAGTCCTTTCTTATGCCAGCATACTGAATGCTTTTCAAAGGTTTTCTTTTCAACCTACCAAAACTTTGCTTTGATGTGAAGTTTGGCCTTGTTAGTAAATTTGGTCCAGATTGGAAGGAAATGTTTGAAAAATATATTTCTTCTTTGGAAATTAATAGCTATCATGGTTCATTCTCAGTTATTTCCATTTCCATTTTGTATGTACCTGCTAAGACAAGATACATTTGCTGGTAATTTTTTTCCTATTTTAATGGAAACACAAACAAAGCTGTCAAGTTATATTCCTCAGCGGGTATTGTAAACATGAAGCTTGTTAAACATCCATTTGCTCCAAAAGTTTAAATTGTTAGAGAGTGTATAACTTAAGTATTTATACATTAACACGTCCCTTCACATTCAGACTAACGTGTTGACTAAATTTTAGGTCTAGCACGTAAAAATATCTTAAAAATCAGGGTGACAGCAAAACTCGAGTATAGGACCTCCTGTTTTGATACCATGATAAACAATCATCTGCTCTAAAAGTTTCAATTGTTAGAGAGGGTGTAACTTAAATATTTATACTTCAACAAAGCTTTTATTGTTATCTACGTTAACTGCAGATTCGTTGAACTTTTGTGGCAACTTTCTTTGCATGCTTTGCGAGAGGTTCATAGACGAACGTTTGCAGCTGATGTAGCTTGTAACCCACTGCCTGCTTCGCTAACAGATGTAGCTTTCTCGCATGCGGCTACACTGCTTCCTGTCACAAAGGTAATCTGATTATACTGAAAAATTATACTTTCAACATCTTGGACTTGATTTTCGATGTTTGTGATATATGTGATGTGAGACAATGATTTTGAAAAGAAAAACAAAATAGATGAAAGTATGCTCACTTTCGTGGAACATGGCAATGAATTTCAAACTCCTTCAATCAGAGGATCACTGTAAGCCTGCAGATTTAACCCTTGTTTGGTGAGATAAGAAAAGAATGGGAAGCAGGTGGAGTTGCATCAATCATTTCGGATCTTTTAAAGTGAGGGAAAAGGAGAAAAATGGAGGATTTAATGACCCTTTGATCCATTCTTATTTTCTTCCAAAAATGGGAAGATTTGGAGTGGAAACAAAGTTCCGTTAGTAGTTATCATTTTTGCTTCTATTTTTTTTTTGAAAATGTGATTTCCTACTTTCCCCTTCCTACTTAACTAAATTAATCATGTTTCCCTCCTACAAACTCCAAACAAGGGGGATGGTTCTGATATACCTTTTCTTTGTTCCACACATAAATCTCTCACATAGGGGTTGTTCCTCTCTCTTTCTCTCCTTTGGGATCCTTTCTCTTCATTTTTCCAAAACTCACCAACATAGTGTTATCGTTTTTCATTATTCAAGAATCTATTTCTCAAGCAGCTTTTGTGCTCCTGATGTTAATTTATTTTTTCTGATGCTACTGTTGAGTTAAATGTGAAGGTGATGCTAAATATTTAATGTGGTATTTTTAGCCTCATAGATGTTGCGTGTCAATGACTTCTCAAACACAGCAGCTTCTTTGTTCTTTCATGGGGTCTGCTGATTACTCTCTTAAATGGGTATTTAATGCATTAAGGTTGAGTTTGAACTTGATGAGAGTTATTGGGAACTGAGAAGAAGCGATAGAGCTTTAGATTCAGACTACGATATACTCTGGTGTTTCTCTAAATTGGGATGAATTTGTTCATCAAAATTAGTGGCCACTCCATCTTAAATGTTTGCATGTTATTATATAACACCCTAGTCAAGTGTTTATGGAAAACATAGTTTTCAAGGTTTGAGTTGAGTCTCCTTTGGTAAACAGGCTCGAATAGCACTTGAAAGAAGGCGGTTTTTGAAAAATGCAGAGACAGCAGTGAATAGACAGGCTATGTGGTCAAATTTAGCTCATGAAATGACTGCAGAGTTCCGTGGTCTCTGTGCCGAAGAGGTAAGCGGGGTACCTCTATTTACATCATTTTGAGGACCTAATGCTTGATAAATGTATTCCCTTTTGTACTGTTGAATATTTTCTAATGCTTTTATTTCGGTTTCTTGGAATTCAGGCTTATTTGCAGCAAGAGCTGGAAAAACTGCATGACATGAGGAACAAGGTGAAGTTGGAAGGTGAACTGTGGGATGAACTTGTGTCCAGCTCAAGTCAGAATTCTCATATGGTTCAAAGAGCTACTCGTTTATGGGACTCTTTATTATCTCGTACGAGTAAGTACGATTATCTGCTAGATCTTTACAGCTATTGAATTTTAAGTGGCCCTGATGTCATGAACTATTGAATAATTACACCTTTTAAGAATTATTTTTTGGAGATATTAACTTTTCAATGCCTAAAGTAAGCTTACAATAGGAGGCAGAAATTATGTTTGTTAATCGAATTTCTTAGGTTGTGTTAAGAGTATTAGGGTAGTATATATAAATTGTTAATAGTGTTAGGGTGTTATGTGTAAATACCAGAGGGTGTGTATGTGTAATTCTTATGATTATGAGTTACCTATAAATACAAGTGATGTATGAGAGTTAGGTTAAGTTTTAACATCTCTCTGTTTCTCCCAAAATATGGTATCTAAACTTAACATGGTATCAGAGCATTACGATCCTAAATACAAATTTTAGTGTGAATTTGTGTTGAGAAAATTACCTTGGTTGATGGTGTTACTGTTGAATTTCCACTGTTGAAGTTCAGACATTGTGGTGTCATGGTGTTGTGGCTTCTGCGGGTGGAGAGGTATCGTGGTGTTGTCGGGGTTTTTAGTCGACTACGGTGGATGTATGGTGGTCGCTGTGGTGCTGCGGTGGTGTGGTGTGTGACACTGTTGAAGACTAGGTGGTGTGGTGGTGTGGTGTGTGACGAGGAGGTCAGACCAAGCAGGCCACTAGGAACCCTAATTTTTAACGAAGAAGAAGAGATCCAACAGGTTGGATCAAATCGGGTCAAGCCCATTATTTTCAGTTCAACCCACAGTTCAACCCAAGATTCGGTCCAGCTTAGCCCAGTTCAATCCGGTTCAGTAGTCCAAAGCTCTTATCCAGTCCGGTTCAGCGGTCCAGAGCCCCTGTCCGGTTCGGTTCAGCGGTTCAGAGCCCATATCTGGTTTGGTTTAGCGGTCCAAAGCCCCTATCCGGTCCGGTTCAGCGGTCCAGAGCCCATATCCAATTTGGTTCAGCGGTCCAAAGCCCCTATCCGGTCCGGTTCAGCGGTCTAGAGCCCATATCTTGACCGGTTCAGCAGTCCAGTCCTCCTATCTTGACTGGTTCAGCGGTTTAGCCTCTCCTTTTCTTCTGGTTTAGCATACAAGGTCCATTTATTATGGAACCCTTGCAAGACACAAGGTCTATTACTCTATCTTTGTCCCCTCCAACTCTTATTAATGGTCCCATGACCTCTGTTAAACTTAATGGAACCAATTATACTTTATGGTTCCGATCTGTTCAAGTCTTTCTTCGAGGTAAAAGATTTAAGAAATATTTGGTGGGTCCTAAACCCAAGGAAAATACTCCTGAGTATGATCAGTGGGATCAAGAGGACGCTCAAATTATTTCTTTACTATTAAATTGCATTGAGCCTAGTATTAGTTCTACTCTACTCTACCTTGATACTGCCAAGGAGATATGGGATCACTTGACTACTATGTATTCTGGTACAGGTAATTTTACCCGTGTATATGAGGTGTGCAAGGAGTACTTTCGGTTGGAGCAGGGTACTTTGAGTCTTGTGGATTATTATTCTCATGTTCGAGGAATCTATGAGGAGATGAAGACCTACCATCTGTTTACTACTGATGCAGCAGTTTGCCAAAAGCAACATGAGGATCTGAATGTTGTTAGGTTTTTGATAGGATTGAAACCTGAATATGAAGCTATTCGTTCTCAGATTTTGGGTGGTTCTAGTCTTCTATCACTGCTTGAGGTTTTCTCTCATCTATAGCGTGCTACACTGTCTACTCCTTCAGCATTGATCATGGTGTCTCCACTGATCGGTCAACAATTGTGGTTCTTAATAGCCATAGTGATGGTCATCGAGGTGGATATGGTGGTCGTGGTAGTCGTGATGGTTGAGGAGGTGGTGGAAGTCGCAGTGGATCCCGTTCCTGTTCTCACTGTAGTCATAGAGGACTTCTGTTGGGATTTACATGGAAAATCTTTGGGTGCTGCTAATCAGTCTTCTTATCAGGATAATACCTTGACTGTTGCTTCCATACCTCAGTCAGTCCTGCCAGACACTGGGTCAGTTATTATTACACTGGGTCAAGAGGAGTATGCTAAGTTTTTGTCCCAGCAACAGGCTGTTCCATCTTCCTCCACTGCTACTTTTGCCCGGTCAGGTACTGCTTCCACTTGTTTATTGTCCTCTACTCGCAGTTCTTGTATCATAGACTCTGGCGCTTCTGACCACATGACTGGTGCATCTGATATTTTTTTTACTTATCAGTCTACTACTTCTACACATAGTGTTACTCTTGCTAATAACACTTGTTCTAAAATTTCAGGTCTAGGGACTACTCACTTGAATTATGATATGTCCCTATCATCCGTTTTATTTATTCCTCAGTTTCCTTTTAGTTTACTTTTCATTAGTAAGATTACCCGTTCTCTCAATTGTTCTGTAACCTTTTACCCTTCTTATTGTGTCTTTTAGGATCTCAAGACGAAGAGGAAGATTGGTACGGGACATGAAGCCGGTGGCGTATATTACTTTAATTTTGATTCATCTACTCGGGCTCTACAAACCTCGTTGTCTCCTTTTCAATAGCATTGTCGTCTTGGACATCTTTCTATCCAGAATCTGAAGCGCCAAGTTCCTAGTCTTAGTTATGTGTCGTCTTTGTCTTGTGAAGCTTGTCAACTTAGTAAGCATCACCGTGTGTCATTTCAGTCTAGAGTCAATAATCGTGTGTCTAGTTCATTTGAGTTAGTACATTCTGATGTATAGGGTCCAATAAAGAATATTTCATCTAATAAATATCTTTATTTTGTGATTTTTATAGATGACTATTCTTGTGTGACTTAGTTATTTTTGATGAAAACTCGGTTTGAATTATTCTCTATATTTGAAACCTTTCGTAAGGAAATAAAAACTCAGTATGGATGTCGTATACGTATTTTACGTTCTGATAATGCCCGAGAATATGAATCTGATCCTTTTTCAGCTTATTTTAGTAAAACTGACATTATTTATCCGACTTTATGTGCTTACACATCTCCACAGAACGGTGTTGTTGAACGCAAGAACCGTCATTTGTTGTAAGTCACCCGTGCCGTGTTATTTCAGATGAATATTCCTCGATATTTTTGGAGTGATGCTGTTATTACTGGCTTGTCACCTTATTAATCATATGCCATCCTCTGTGTTAAATGGACAAAGTCCATATTCTGTCCTTTTTCCTGATAAATCCTTATTTTTTTTACCTCCTAAGATTTTTGGATGTGTCTGTTATGTTCATAATTTGGGTCCTGGGTTTGATAAGCTTGATCCTTGCGCTATCAAATGTTTATTTCTTGGTTATTCCCGCACACAGAAGGGATATCGTTGTTACAGTCCTGCTCTGTGACGATACTTCACTAGTGCCGATGTTATATTTAAGGAATCTGTTCCATACTTTCTAGCACCTTCTCAACCCTTGGATCTGGACTTTGGGTCACCTCTTGTACCACCATCGTCCTCAGATATTTCGTTGCCCGCTATACTACCTTCTCCTTTACCTCTTCGTGTATACTTTCGTCGTCCTCGACCATCGACTGAGGTGTCCGTACCGTCTTCCTTGCTGCCTTCTGATCCTGGTTTATCAGGTAATTTAGACTCTTTACCTATTGTTCTTCGAAAAGGTACATATTCGTGTGTTACTAATCATCCCATTGTTCATTTTGTTTCATATGATGCCTTATTTCTTGTCTTCTCTTGTTTTACCTCTCAATTATTTACTATATCTATCCTTAAGCATTTACAGGATGCATTATCTGATTTGGGTTGGAGGAAAGTTATGGAGGATGAGATGGATGCCATACATCATAATGGGACTTGGGATCTTGTTCCTTTATCTCCTGGTAAACGAACTGTTGGTTGTCGTTGGGTGTATACTATTAAATTTCATCCGGATGGTTCTGTGGAGCGTCTCAAAGCCCAACTTGTTGCAAAGGGCTTTATTCAGATCTATAGTGTTGATTATGAGGAGACTTTTTCTCCTGTTGTCAAAATTTTCTCTGTTCGTATCTTGATTTCTTTGGCTCCTAATCTTGATTGGCCCTTGTTTCAGTTAGACGTTAAGAATGCCATCCTATATAGTGACTTGGTTGAAGAGATTTATATGGAGCAGCCACCTGGGTTTATTGCTCAGGGGGAGTGTGGTAAGAGTGTATGTCGGTTAAAGAAATCTTTGTATGATTTGAAGCAGTCACTGAAGGCGTGGTTTGGTAAGTTTTCAAATGCTGTTTTAGAGTTTGGTCTTCTTCGATGTCTGACAAACTATTTTGTGTTCCATAGACAGACAGATACTGGATATGTTCTATTTGTGGTCTATATAGATGATATTGTGATTACTGGAAATGATTCTGATGGGATTGTCAAGTTAAAAATCTTATTACAGGATCGATTTCATACTAAGGATTTGAGAAAACTCAGATATTTCTTACGAATTGAAGTGGTTTGATCTAAACAGGGTATTTGTTTAGCACAGAGGAAATATGTACCTGATATGCTAGAGGAAGTAGGTTTGTTGAGAGGCAGATCGATTGATCTGCCTATGGATCCGAATCAGAAACTATTGATGGATGATGGTACACTGTTTGAGAATCTGGGTCGGTATCGCAGATTGGTTGAAAATCTTAATTATCTCACTATTACTTGACCGGATATTTCCTATGCAGTCAGTATAGTAAGGGGGCGTCCTGGAGTACCTCATTGCGAGGCAGTCACTCGTATTCTATGGTATCTTCAACGAGCTCCTAGACTTGGACTGTTTTATCGAGCTAATGGACATCTTAGAGTGGAAGGTTTCTCAGATGCTGATTGGGCTAGCTCTCCTTCTGATCGGAGATCAACCACTGGTTATTGTACTTTCTTAGGAGGTAACGTTGTCTTATGAAAAAGTAAGAAACAATTTGTGGTAGCAAGTTCCAGTGCTGAGGCTGAATATAGGGCAATGGCGCATACGACGAGTGAGTTGACGTGGCTACTACACTTTCATCAGGAAATTGGGTTTCCAGTTCAACCTCCTTTACAGTTGTTCTGTGACAACCAGACTGCTATCCATATCGCTACCAATCCGGTGTTTCATGAGAGAACCAAACATATTAAGGTTGATTTTTACTTTATTCGGTCGTACACTTTTTATAGAGATTTGTTCAAAGCTTAGATTATATGATATATATAGTTCAGTTTGAGGGGGAGTGTTAAGAGTATTAGGGTAGTATATATAAATTGTTAATAGTGTTAGGGTGTTGTGTGTAAATACCAGAGGGTGTGTATGTGTAATTCTTATGATTATGAGTTACCTATAAATACAAGTGATGTATGAGAGTTAGGTTAAGTTTTAACCTCTCTCTGTTTCTCCCAAAATATGGTATCTAAACTTAACAAGTTGCATATTCCCTCGTCGACTCTGCATAACAGAAAATTTCCCCAGATATTATCGCTTTAAGCCTTAGAGAAAGTATGACTGGGCTGGCTGCCCTGATAGCAGATGGTCCAGTATGGGCTCCTGTCTATATCTGGGCAAAACTCTGCCCACCATGTTGCCTCTGTTGGTTGATAACCTTGAAGGACAATTGCCCCATCTCCCCTCCCTCTTTCACCCCCACATTGAACATAGCGTCCTATGTATCATTTCTTGTGGCTCATTCCACCACTAATGATTTCAGGCTGCAATTTTTGGATATACTATATGTGAAGGCATGATGTTGTGCCTTTGGATGTAACCAGCGTTTACTATTCATCTGTGACCACTGATTTAGGTCCAAAGAAGGCTCCTGGTTATGTTGCTTTCATTCCCAAAACTTTTTCCCTTGCTATGGGCGTTTCTCTTAGAACTTTGCAGGGACCAATATTTCTTACTTTGCTTTATGATGCTTTCCAGAAGTGGTCCATGGAATGCTGAAATTGTTTCACAAGGCTGAAAATTATCTTTCCATCCTGTAGGCTGACATGTGACTTGGGGAAGCTTTGCTTGGAAATGTTTGCTTGTTACCAGTGTTTTTGTTTGAATTAGTAGCCAAGAGTGCTTGAAGGGTTTGCTTGTTTGGTCCAAAGCATTTGACACACATTTACTCCGTGGTGACTAACATTATACTTAGTCTTTACTGCTTGGAAAAGAACCATGGATCGTTGATGGGGATCTTCTCTTCCTAATCTACATCACTTTTTTTTTCTTGTTGAATACATTAAATTGCTTATCTGGATTCTGTTATTATTTGTTATGCGGTGCCTCATTCCTGGTAAGAGATAATTTGATGTCATCAATTTTTGTTCAGTTTTGCCCAGCTTATCTCATATAACTTTTGGCAAGGAACTCGGCGTAGACATCAGTTGCATATTTTGCCTAGCATGTAAAAGTTCTTCTCGTTTGCAAAAATGGAATGCCTTATATTCACGGTCAGAGTTCTCTAAGATGGCAGGGACTTTAAGATGCCTACCTGTAGGGGTGTGCGAAAATCTGACAATCCGACTCCGAGGAGTCGAAGTTTAAAATCCTTTTTGAAAAAACTCCGACTTTGACTCCAATTTTTATTTATTAATAATTTTATATAAATTATAAATTATATAATATATTATTATATATTATAAATTTAAAATCCTTATCTATCTGCCTACCACTTTTGATAATATCCTTATATTATTCTTATTTATAGTGTAAATTCACTGTAAATGTGTACCACTTTTGATAAAAAGGCTGAAAAATTCTTTCCTTTCATTTATTTCTTCTTTCATTACCAATACATCTCACGTGGGTCACGTGGTCTAGGCTGAAAAGTTCTTTCTCATCTCTCATATCTTCTCCTTCCTTCCTTACGTATGTCCCTCTCTCTCTCTCTTTATTTCCATTTTGTATTCATCCTTCAGTGTTCGATACTCCATGTTTATGTTTATATTTGAGGTGGCAGTTTAGAGAAAGAAAAGTGAGGTTTATGGCTTCAACAATGGAGAGAGCTTGCTTGTGTGGTACTGTGGCAGATCTGAGCTTTTTGAAGGCTGTTGCTTCTGGAACTTTTTGATTTTTGAGGGTTGTTGCTTGTCTAAGTGAATCGAATATGATCTGGTAATGCTTTTGGAGATCCAAAAAATATTGTTTCGAATCTGGCCCAACTCCGATACTCCACTAGGCCTCTGCCTCCGCCTCTGACATGGAGGAATCGTCATAGTAGTTTGAAGTAGGAGTTGGAGGGAAAAATCTACTCTAACTTCAGTCGGAGTTGGATGTCGGAGCCCAGCCCTACCTACCTGTAGGAGGTTGCAGCAACTATTGAACTTACTAAACATGTTGGGGGAAGCTCAAAATCCATATGAAGTTTTTTGATAATGGAAAGGTTGTAAAACGCTGATTTTGAGCATTTGGTGCCTCTTGGTCAAATATCTTCAGAAAACCAGTAATAATGTTTTCTGTAATGCAACGGGACGATAACTAATGAAAATATTGCCATTTGGTACAATGAGATTAATTTTACCTCACCATGCTTGACATTTTTCCTTTTAGCAATTATAATGCTCTTCATAGGATCTTTCATAATTTCTGTGACTATGTCTTTCCTCTTTCCTCTTTATAAAATCTCATATTAATTTGTTACCTAAGCAGTGCCAATCTTGCCTAAAAGCACTCTCTTATTTTTCGCTGTTTGTTAGTCTAAATATGGACAACACAATCATACTTCACCTAATTTGAATAAGCTTCACCCAATTATCCTTATCTTTGAGCGCATTACTGATCACTTGTGATAAAGGCACTTTCAAGGTCGGCATTCTTATTTCATGGCACATTGTTTATTGATCTTGATATCAACTATTGTGCAGGTCAACATGAAGTTCTTGCTTCAGGCCCTATTGAGGACCTGATAGCTCATCGGGAGCATAGGTAATATCTCTTCCCCACGTTCTTTCACAGATGGTTTTTACCTGTGTATTTGTTCATTTTAGACATTTTCTATACTCAGGTATCGGATCTCTGGATCATCTTTGCTAGCAGCTATGGATCAAAGTTCTCTAGTCCCAGCTGCTGATCTAGGTTCAGCACATTTAGGTGACAGAGAGCAAATTGATGGATCTTTAGAAAACCAGAGTAGTTTGGAACCTTCTCATCTTCAAGGAAATGGTGAAAAATTATCGCGAGTGGAGGATAGAGGTGGGAGGGGCCACCCCACTGTTGATATAGCAGAAGTTCTGAGGCGTTGGACACATGCCTTACAGCGAGTTCATAAACAGTCTCTGCTTCTGGTATGCTGTTTTTATCATACTAACTTCTTCAGGGTTTTGTTAACATTAGTTGAGGCTTGCTTTATCTCCTCTTTGTTGTGTGGCCCAAGGTGAATCTCTATACCAGCCTTCATCAATACAGCGTAAAGTTGCTCAAACTCTTTGGGAATGTAATTGTGACATCTATTGTCATTTTTGGGATTAATTGGGAAACAATGGGATGGTGAATAGTTGTTTATGCAATGGGGAATTTGATCTGTAGAGTTCCAGTAGAGTTATGATGTGTTGATATGGTGTAAGACTATGCAACAGAGAAGTTACTGCTTTTTCATGTTCAGGCTCTTGATCTAGATATCAAAGGATATGTGTTCGCTATCTTGGAATGCAATCTAAGTACTTTATTTTCCTTTTTTTAATAGCCAGGCCTCTGAACCTTGATAGTTGTTCACATCCAATTTAACTGATCTCTTTTTGTGAAATCAATATTTTCACCAACTGCACGCTGTTTTATGTCACCAAATGGGGGAAAAGACGATTGCTTGCTTACAAATTAGTTGACATCTGTGCAGACTGTGAGTCATTAGTGATTCAGTATTCCACTCTCTCTCTTCCAATTATTGTAGGTGTGATTTATGTTTATGTAGTTGCAGCAAGGAAAAGCTCTTTGCTGGTGTTCATTTATGTGTCATTAGCTATTGGTTTTTTATGTATCAAGATAACTTTTGATGCATAGAAAGTTTGTTACTGGTGTTAGATCTTGAAACGTCTATGTTGGAAGAGAAATTCCCATAAGAACATAAACTTTTGAGGAGAATCTTCTTGTACAAGGAGTTAGGATGTCTAATTGGATGGTTTCTTAAATAAGTTTCGTCATAGTTGATTATACTGTCTGTAAGCCTAAAACCTATTTGGCTATTTTGAAAAGTTTTTCCTCTTCATTGATTTTGTTTTTTTAATTGTTGATAGTTTCTAAAAGTCTTTGGGGGTAATACTATATGTTGGTTTCTCTAAAAAATGTGCCAATATGTTATATGCAATAATTATGTGGTAGGCAAAAGCAAATGATGGAGAGGGTCCAGAGCTGCTTCGAATTCCACATGATGGTGGTACAAGTGGCCATGCTGAATCTTTAGTTGCAACTCTTGCAGAACACCGGCAACATCTAGCTAGCATACAGGTAAATAAATGATAGACTTAGATTTGCACTTTGAATTTCTAGTTGCGTGGTAGTATTGTCCAAGTTTAAGCTAAACATATGAGCAAAATTTCAATCTCCTGTGTCCATTTTCAGTTGAACTAACAATCGTGTAACATCTTGGTCATCTGTGAACACATTTTGTTTTCGTTTTCGTTTTCGTTTTTCTGCATTAGCGGTCATTAGATTCCATTATCTAAATACATGTTTCTTGGATCTCCTACGAGTGCATCCATGAAGGAAATATGCTTACTAAGTCACTTTGAGCATGTTGAAGATTGTTCTCACTCAAGTATTTGTGATTTGCAGGTGCTTATCAATCAACTGAAGGAAGCTGCTCCATCAATAAAAACTTCAATATCGGAGCTTACAGAGGAAGTAAACAATATTTCTTCCAATTTTCAGTCGGTGACCAAACATCATGGCAGATCAGCCTCACCTATTGAAGCACAGTGCAGTGGGAGGACATTGGTAATCATTTAAATGATGATGAATTTGATGGACAATAAAGTCATGTGAAACGTCATGGTTTCTGGAATTGAATTTATACAACAAAATGATCTTGAACTGTCCAGGAAAGTAGCATCGATGAGGTTGCTGATGTAACATCCAGATTGTCAACTGTTCAGCTTGAAAAAGTTTCAGCTAGTCCTCAAGCTTTGAAACTCCCACAATTGTTCAGTTTGACACCAAATTCTTCTGGGAAAGGCAGCAATTTGCAAAAGAGGCAGCTCCAAGCTCAAACCAATCAAATAGAAAATATCTCAGAAAGGAAGTCTATGGACCAACCTCTATCTAGCAATCACATGGATAATCCACCACAAGGTTTGTGCTGCTTTAATTTGCATCATTGACTTGTTTAAGGCATTTTACTTTTCAGTCTACTGGACTCTCTCGATAAATGTAGCTTGAACATAGTTATCAAATCGTGTATCGAAGGCGTATCGTTTTTTAAAAATAGTGTATCGTAAGATACGGTGCAATTTTAAATAAATAATAAAAAAATATATATACCTTTGAAAAAAAAATCATACATTTATAAAAATATAGCATTTCATTAATACTTCACCACCTATTCAAATCATCAACATAGTTCACTAATATTATAATGCAAAGTTTACAACCATAGTTCACTAATTCAAACTTCAAATACCAAAGAGACTTTTAATCCAAATTTTTAACATCCATTTTGAACTCAATCCATAAAATTAATCAAAATTCAGAAATTTTTATACAAAAAAAAAAAATTAGTGTCTTATTTAGACAAAGCGACGTCGTTTCATCAGTGGGGGGATAAAAAAATTAGTGTCTTATTCAGACAAAATGACGTCGTTTCAGAAAAAAAAAAAAAAAAACAGGTTTTTCGTGTATCGGTCGTATCGTACCGATACGCATTGTCTCGTGTATCGGACGATACGACGCAAAAAATGATACATAACTACGATCCGTATCGTTTTACCTCACGATACTAACAACTATGAGGTTGAAGTTTCTAATTCTTATTTTTCGTCATTCTGCAGATGGTGATAATTTTTTTGTCCAGAACTTGAAGAGATCTGTCAGAGAAGCTGCTTTGTCGGTGCAATCCTTCAATTTGGAGTCGTCACAAGACAGTCGTTCTGATGATGGGTCTGAGCACTTTTTTGTACCACTTTCAGGGACTGAGCTTTCTCGTCTTGGCCCAGAAAACAAGCTGAACCCAAGGAGTAAACAGTTGTTTGCATCTCAAACAAAGTCTTCCTTACTTGAGACTCATGCTCCAGACCGTCATTTTGGGAGAAAGTATGATGGATTACCAAACATGTTGAGTGGTTTGGATTCACTTCATGACTATGATCGTGCAAAGGGTTTTTTTGCTGTCAATGGTTCCAATTATGCAGTTCCTGATGCACAAAGCTCATTTTATGACACTGAGGAAGCTCAAGATCAAGTTTTCTCACCTCCTTTGTTGATGGACACATCACTGTTGGGAGATTCTTACGAGGACTTACTCGGTATGTTGGGTGGCTACAGTATGTTTAATTCTCAGTTACCTATATATTATGTTAGAATTATATTGTAATTACAATGACATCCCCTTTCATTTGTTTAAACCACATGGCTACATTTTGACATTTCAATATCAGCACGGCCACCCTTTTTGAAAATTTGTAGTAGCAAAGGGAGGGTAGTAGAGGGGGGCAGTGGCGGAGATTGGGGGAGTTGGGGTTCGTTGGCTGGGGGACCCCTCCCCACTGCCCCTCTCTCTCTTCTTGATTAATTTATATGATTTTGAGTCACTTCCCTTTAAAAATTTATGATTGGGGTTCTTGTGTCAAAATTTCCCACAAATAGTGACTGGATTATCTGAAAGACTAGATGGTCTTTATCTAATAAGATAGATTATATTACCGTCGAAGGTCACGGGGTAGGAAGGGATGACAATACCCTTAGCATCCAAAGGATGGTCGGTCTTTGTAAAGGTGCTTGGTGGTGGTGTTGAGTCTCTTGACTAATCAATGTGCCTAAGTTTGCTTGTTCATTGACAATGGAACTGGCGGCCACGGTTGCTAAGAATTCACTAGATCAAACATGTATCATAATGCAAGGATGTATGAGTAGTTTCATCATAAGAATGCTGGGCCTTTATTAAGGCGGATGACTTAAGTTGGCCCCTATCATTCTACTTGATTTGACGGTTGGCCCAAAGTACTTATCAAGAGCTCTTCTGTAAATTTGTCACACCTGCTAACACCTAACGCCCTTGTCACAGTGTGAGGCTAGGTGCTTCTATTTTATTAGCTTAAATCTTGTCCTCCATAGACTGCCCCAACCTTTGCTTACCTTCAGGGGTTGATGTGTGGAAAGGGGAAGCAAAAGGTTGATGTCTTATTACTTTAGAATGGAAGGTAAGGAGGCTACGATGGGAGGGTTGGGAGAGGACTGGGGCCACCAAGTTTGCCGGGCCCTGGGGTTCTCTCTTTTCTTTTTTTTTTTTTTTTTTGATTTTGACCCGATTTTGACCATAGATAAATAAGTCATTTTCCATTAGAAATCCACGATTGGGGTTCCGGTGTCATTTTAGAAATTCAAGTGGGTGGCTGCATAATGAACCCATAACATTATGGTGCATCATTGTAATTACCCAAAAGTATAGTGCTCTATTTTAATGCCACTTTTTCAAAGTGTTTCTTAGTTATACTCTAAAAAGTTAATTCGAAGTTGAAAGATCGGTCAATGTTATCTGTATGCATGTTAACACTAAAATCTGAAAATAAAAGGCATGGGTTTCTCGAACACTATTTGAAAACATGCAAGTGAGCACTTTCTCCCTCAGGGTATTATTTATGTAAGAAATCATGTGTTGGATATTTCTGGAGTATTGAAAGAAGACTTCCTCCCCTTTTCATGAAAATGAAACCATCTCAAAAATCCCTGGTGAAATTAGATGGCTCAGATTGATCCTAAGTAATGAAACATTGATCTTAGCAAAGACCTTTCATTAGTTGAGATCCTACCTTTTTTCATGGAGAGGCTTTGCTAATAGTTTGGTGCCTATAAAGAGTAAATACAGGTACTCGATCTTCATCTCATTGTAGTTTTCAGTTTGTTTAGCTATAAAGAGTAAATACACTGTTACACGCAACATTGCTGAACTGTTTACTTAGCTGCTTAGTTGAAAATTGTATAATCGTTTCTTAATTACAATATTGAGTTGTTTTATTAGCTACTTGATTGCAGTTTTTATGTCATTCTCCTGCAGCACCATTATCAGAAACTGAAACTTTCTTGATGGAGCATTGAGATCATATTCTGAGCAGTCTTGCTGTTGCACTCTCCAGGAGATGATTCCATCACTGTGTCGTTATATTTTAATTCATCGATTGAGAAATTATTTTCTGCAGTTCTTTTTTAGTATGGTGTGGAAGTTCTCTGTTCCATCTTCCTGATTTGCATTTCTGTTCTCCCCTACGACATATTTGGCATCTCATTTTTTGGAGTGGTGGTGACTATGGACATGTTGCTGCATTGCCAGTCATGCTCGGCAGATGTCCTGGAGGCTAAATCATTACCCAAATAGATCATCATTGTCCGGACAGAAAAGTTAATGGACGGATGCCATCCAAAAAGGAATGCAGCTCAGTGTGATGGTTGAGGCACAAGATCTGGTGACTCTTTCACTTAGACAATAATTTTTCATCGGGTTTTCTGGCAATGAAGCATCTATCCTTCCAAGTTCAAGTATCCCTGTTTTGGTAATTGCATTAACTGTCTAGAATTATTGCCACTGAACTAATTTATGTATTTGATTGATATTTCACATAACATTCAGCTATCTGTCGCCGACAGATGAAACATTCAGAAATTATAGTCATTCAGTTGTTGAAAATTTGAAATATTGTATCTTCCTGACTTTAAAAAAGAGGGACAAATCGTGAATCACTTACCAATTTTGTTTTTATTTCCATGATTGAAGATCTTTTGTCAATGGCATTGAGCTTGTTGCCCTTTATAATTTTATCGGTTGTTAATAGAAAAGAAGAGAAGAATCTGACTCAAACTGCAATTCTGAGTTGTTGCGGATTTCTTTTGTTTTAAAATGCTTAGCAAATCATGTTAAATCATTTCTTTTTTTGGCTGTGTTAGACTCGTGTATAAACACTGACTGCATTTGTTTTCAGCTTCCCGAATATGCTTGCTACGTGAAGGGTCTCAAAGGGGTTGCAAGCCAACAATAGGTAACTCATATTTGATGCCCAATTATCCACGTGTACAGGTTGATTTTCACTCATTGAGCCCCCCATGAATGAAGTCAACTTCAAGCTCTTTTTCAACCCGGCCCGCAAGGGTACCCCATGTGAAGTCTGTGTTTGGGTACGAGTGACCCTATTTTGACTCCCTTGTCTTGCTTGGCCCATGGGGGGGGGGGGGGGGGGGGGGGGGGGGTGTTAAACTGTACAGAAAAAAAAAAAAAACTGCACAGAAGGGTGTGTTTGTTTCGTAAAATGGCATCGTTTTGTATGCAAAACGGTGTTATTTTGTATACTAATAGGGGGTAAGGTGGATTCACTGTGGGATTTTGACTGTGGACACTGATTTTTTGGCTGTGGTTTAACGAGTGGATGTTTTGCCACACGACGAATGATGAATCATGGGAACTTACACCAATTTAAATAGATTTTTCAACTTTCCTATTGCTACATAACTCCCCCCCCCCCCCCCCCAAAAAAAAAAAAAAAAAAAAAAAAAAAACACCCACACTCTATTATACATTGGGTTATTTAGTAAAAATAACATTGAGTTTAAGTCATGTAAGTGGAAATCTAGGAAGGCTAGATTAGGCATAGATATAATGTTTAGTATTATTTGCACAAGTGATTAGTTTTAGATTTGAATTTACGCCTCAAAATTATTGATTTGGAATTTTAAGTATTGAACCGGTGACTATTGCATAAAATTTTAAAATAATATATATTGGAGGTGATTCAAAATCCATTTGGCAGTTGTTATGCTTCTAGTTTTTTCCATAAAGTAAATTGGTGTCGATATTGACCATTCAAAAATTATCCCTTGAAATGGCCAATGACACGAATTCCCTTCATTGAGATGCTAGTTGATAAAGCAGGTAATCGAAAATATTGATGATAGTTGACAATCAATCTTATGGATACTATTCATATGGCTATGGCTAAGAACATTTGAGATATTACTTCTCAATCCTCCACAACCCATGTGATGTTATAGATTTTTTTTAATTCAATGGTCAGAAGTGTCTAGACTATTTTATGCGCACCTCGATAAATTATTCTCTCTGGTCATTCATGTCCAAATTAGGGTATTTATGTGATGTTATAGATTTGTTGCAATTACTTCTTCTGCTCTAATAGCTAAATCTCTCTTTCTCTCTCTCTCCCCGTGTGTGTGTGTGTGTGAACTAAGATTTGTATTTGTATACCATGAGATTGAAACGAAAATGTTATTTTGACTGTTGTTTGTAACAAAATTTGATAAATTTTTACTGTTATTTAAAAAGATGGATTATTAGATTAAAACTTGTAGTATAACAATTAGTAAGTCTCTTTTCATCCACTTAGGAAAATAACACCAAAATCAATCATCATCTGTCAATGATATTTAGAATTCAATGGCTTAATGATTTTTACATCTTTGCTCTATTCTCCACTTAGAATTCAAGTAATTCCTCTGTACCAGCTTTGCAATTTCACAGAGAGAGAGAGAGAGAGAGAGAGAGAGAGGGAGAGAACCCACGCGCCAGAAAGCGCATTGGAACTTTATCCAGTGACAACGCAAAACTGTGCCAAGATAGGTTTTTGAACTTTTTGAAATAATAACTGGCATGATGTATAAACTTCAACCGTGAGACGTTTTGTATTTGAATTTCTATAATTTTTTTAAATTAAATTATTAAAAATTTATTTTTCATAAATATTTTAATTTTAACGTGAATATTTTATTTTTGATCAAATTAACAAATAAATTAATCGTTGACCTAAGTTAACCTGAAAATTAGGATGTCAGTGGATCGAAGCATTGGTGGAGAGTGTAATTTTCATCCCTGTACCCACTTAAAAAAATTTCGTCACTTTCTGGTCTATCCCTAATAACAGGTATAATTTTTATCCTCATTCCCGTCTGCGGATAAATTTATAATTTTCGTTGCCGTCCCGGCTTCTCCCGTACCTGTCTGAGTCCAAACTCAAGTAACATAATTCAAAATTTTAAATAAATTCAATATTTTAAATAATCGAACAACATTTTAACATAGTGTAACACAAAATAATATAGATTGCAAAATGTAAAAGTCAAAACAATATAGTATTCTATTTAAAGTGTTATTGGACCACAAAAAGAGAAACAAAATTATTAGAGAGAAAGGAAGAAAAGAAAAATAAAATTAAACTAATAAAATGATAGCACTATACTTGAAATTTCCTAGAATAATTTTTGTTATTACAATTCATATTATAGCCATAAAATATTAAAAGATGAAAAATTAAAATTTCGCTAATTTAATAATCCTCCCCATTTCTTAGTTCAGTTTAGCATAGAAATTCAACAACTTTCATTCACAAATATTTTTACCTACGATGAAATATAAAATTATCTTTCTTTCTCTTATCTATTTTTAGAGTATGGTCAATCCAAATTTTTAACAGTTTCAATTAATCAGTACAAATAAAAAAAAGAACAATTAAGGAAAAAAGTTGATAAAATTACCACATAACAATCTCCATTTTTAGTTTGATTATCATATTTTTAGATTGGTAATTACAGTAAATATATTTAGTTATAACTCGAGAGTATATATATACTCCAAAGTCTTAACTAAAAATATTTATTATATACGGATTTATATAAATATTTGTGTATACATTCACCGTTCAATACATATAATTTATCTCCTGTCTAAACGAGATGAATTTATACAAACACTTATTTTTTTCCGATTTACTGTCATCCCTGTCAAAAATCCGACCAAAAAAGCTACACCTAGACATGAACATTTTCTCATGTTTTCCCTACTCTCAGTTGAACAAGGCCCACGCGTTAGCAAAAGCGCGTGAAGTGAAGCTCCTTCGTTCTACTGGCCCAATTTCTATTTCTAACCCTACACTTTTTGCGTCAGAGAGGCCATACCAGGTGGGTTTTGTGTAGAGTTCAAGGATAGTCTTGGTCAAAAAAAAAAAAAAAAAAAAACTCTCTCTCTCTGAAGAAAAAAACATGAGTAAGAATAAAGACTAAAGAGTGTTTTAATGCTTTCGAGTTGGACTTTCAAAGAAAGAAAATGGAAGTGAAAATAACAAAAACAGTAGTTCAGAGCACATCAACTGATCAAACCACCACCACCACCAACACCAACACCAACACGCAGAGATTTCTTTTCTCTGACCCATACATCTCTTTGTTCTCTCTTTCTACATCTTCTTCTCTGTTCGTTTCTTTTGAGGATTTTGATCACTGACCCAGTATTCAAATAAAGCATAATCTTTCTGTGAATTATTCGTTTTTCTTTGTTTTTATTTGATATCAAGACCGGCAAAGACTTCGTGTGAGTACCAATTACGCTTGACGTATTCTCTCGCTTTCTCTTTCTTTCTATTTTTTGTACTTTTGTGCGTGTTTGTATGTGTATACGTATGCAACGCTGATTGGTTCTTGAATGTTATTTTCTCCATCATCTTTGCTGTTTCTGTGTTGTTGCTTTTCTAGGTCATTCCTGATGGAGAATGGTATCTGGGTTCTGTAGATCCCCTCCAGATCTTGTTATCTTTTGATCTAGCTCAATTGCTCTGAGTCTTTGTGAGAATTGGGTAAAAAGGGAAAAGAGGTGAGTCTACCTGTTTGTTTATGGTGATGAATTAACAGAACTCAACCATTGTAGAGTTCAATTCTAATAATCTTTGAAATTGTAGGTGCAATCCGATAAGCTTTTTTCTTCTCAGGGAAAGGCAAAACTGATTTTTTTTTGGTTGGTTGATTTGTAGAAGTTTCAATTTTTGGTTTAATACACATCTAGCTTATATGGTTTTCTGCATTTTTTGTATTGTTCATCATCTGAATTGGGGTTGATTTGTTTTGATCAGATGAGAAGGGGAATCATTCACTTAAACTGGTACTATTTTGGATTATGTTGAGCATGCGTGTTAATTTTTCATGGTGGAGACGAAAAGAAGCATGTATGGTGGGTTGGGTCCTACCTGGGTTGGTAATACTGGCTTAAAATTGGGTTAATGCATCTTGGTCTGGTACTTTAGTTAATATCATGTCAATCCTTTATCATTGATGATGTGTCTTCTGCTCTGAAAGTATTTGGATTGGTAGCGAACTCTTTGGTGCACGGGAAGAAGATTGTGGTTCATCAGTTAAGTGATGATCAAACAGATACTTAATAGGCTCCCACGGAAGCCATCTAAATCAGCCGAAAATCGTGATGGAGGAACCTCTGCTTTCTCTTCCAATTCTTCTTCTAGTTCAAGGAGCAGTGATCTAGCAAGTAATCGGTCTGGGAACCTAAATGCTACATCTGTTCCAATTCATAATTCTACTTCAAATTCAGGACTAAATCACGGAAATAAGCTTCCCCAGGCTTTAAATTTGAAGGTGAATGGTAGTTCAACAATTTCTTCCTATGAGACATTGCCTAGTTTTAAAGATGTTTCAAACTCAGAGAAGCAGAACTTGTTCATCAAAAAGCTGAGCTTGTGTTGCATTGTGTTTGACTTTGCTGACCCAACGAAGAATTTGAAAGAAAAGGAAATCAAGCGCCAAAATTTGGTAGAGCTTGTCGACTTTGTGACTTCTGCAAATGGGAAATTCACAGAACCTGTCATGCAAGAAATCGTGAAGATGGTATCCACAAATTTGTTCAGGACACTTACTGCTCAACCTCGTGAGAACAAAGTCTTAGAAGGCTTTGAGTTGGAAGAAGAGGAGCTCCTCATGGATCCAGCATGGCCTCACTTGCAAATTGTGTATGAATTCCTTCTCAGGTTTGTGGCATCACCAGATACGGATGCAAAGTTGGCTAAGCGGTACATTGATCACTCTTTTGTTCTAAGGTTGTTAGATCTCTTTGATTCGGAGGATCCTAGAGAAAGGGAATACTTGAAAACTGTTCTGCACCGCATATATGGAAAGTTTATGGTGCACCGTCCATTCATTAGGAAAGCAATCAACAACATTTTTTATCGTTTTATTTTTGAAACTGAAAAGCATAATGGAATCGCAGAGCTGTTAGAAATTTTGGGCAGTATTATCAATGGCTTTGCTTTGCCACTGAAAGAAGAGCACAAGCTCTTTCTTGTTCGTGCACTGATACCACTTCACAAACCAAAATGCATACCCATGTACCATCAGCAGTTATCTTACTGTATTACTCAATTTGTGGAAAAAGACTGCAAGCTTGCCGATACTGTAATACGGGGTCTATTAAAGTATTGGCCAATCACAAACAGTTCAAAGGAAGTCATGTTCTTAGGTGAGCTAGAGGAAGTTTTAGAAGCGACTCAACCTCCAGAGTTCCAGCGCTGTATGGTGCCCTTGTTTCGCCAGATTGGTCGTTGCTTGAGCAGTTCACACTTTCAGGTAAGTAGTTCTAGAAGGTTCATCATTATCCACTTGTCTTGTTTGTTCTCAAGTTCTTTTGTGCAAAAAATATGTGCAATGTCAATTATGCTGGCAGACTTGGCTGGGTTATGTAGCGCACACTAATAAAAAATATCGATCATCACAATGATTCATTAACTTCAAAAAAAGCTGGATCCAACTTCCTTTTAAATTTCAGTAAGGGAAGTGGGTGGATTGGTCCTGTCCACCAAGCAAATTGCATGTGTTCATACTTTTACAATGTATGCATAGGTGGCCTAAGGGTTACGGGATTACTGTGTGGTGCACTTTCTACTTTCTTTTCTTGCTTCAGTACATTGAATACTTTCTAAGCTGCTTATGCTGCTGTGCATCCATCCCAAGTATCAATTATGATCTGTCAGTAAGATTTAGTTTGCCTTGAGTTGATGTGATGTGTGCACATTCATTGATGAGTTAAGCAAATTTGACCTAATTTTACTCTACAAGGTAAACGTAAATTCTCTGAACTCCTCTAAACATAGGCTTCAAGTTGTCACCTACATAGACGAGATACAAATTCCAAATCAAACACAACCTTGTTCCAATTATTTGTGGTCAACTTCTAATTACCTTTTTCACATTAATTGCACTATGCCCTACCATTTCCTTCAAGCTCAAGTTTCATCCCTTACTATATTTCTTCCTAAGTCAGGGATGGCAGGACGAATTAAAGCAAGAATCCCTCAACTCCTTCGAAATACATGGAAAATCTATCCACCATCACGCTCTTGCCTATCTATATCTATTCTAGTGTTTGCTCTTGAGCCCCCTAACTTGCTCTGGCCCCGGGTCCTTCCTAGGGGTGCAACTTGGGTTAGGCAATGCGAGCCCAACTCGAAAAAATTAGGGCTTGAGCTAGAATTTTTAATACTTGAGTTGGGCTTGGGTCAAAAAACCTCAACCCCAACTTCAATTTGGGCGGGTCTTGGGTTGAGCCATCAGGTTCACGGGTTGAACCCGAATATTAAAATCGGGCTCAACCCGATTTAATAATCGGGTTCAACCCGAATTAATATTATATAAATACAATTTTATAATTTATACTAGAGTTAATCTAAACTCATTCTGTGTCTCCCTTAACCCTCACTCACTCTCAGTCTCTCACTCGCACAGTCTCACTCTCAGATTAGACCTATCTGTCACTCTCAGTCTCTATCGGTGTCTCGGTCTCCCACAGTTTACAGAGGCACCTAGTGAGCTCACATCGCCTTCGCCTCTCTTCACCATCTCTCACTCAGATCGCTCATCACTCTCATTTAGGTCGCATCTTACTTAGATCGCCTCAGGTATGATCTATGTGCTCTCTCTCCCTCTCCCTCTTTGATAATGAAAAATCATTTCAGACATGTCTCTCTGTCTTCAGATCCCATCTGTTCCTCTTTCTCTGGTATATGTCCTCCTTTCTCTCGTATCGGTCCTTTCTCAACTGGATATAATAAGAGTTATAGGCGTTGTTGAAGACATGGTAGAATCGAATTGTGCATTTCTATATAAATTAGAACTTTAAAACTAAGATTTCATTACTATGTATTCTGTTGCTAGCTGCACAGTAAATGAAGCTGGTGTTTATTGCATATTCAAAACTAGTGGGAAAATCTAGTCTTGCTTGCTTGTATATTGCTAACTTGAAAATCTAGTATACTGTTCAACCTGAAATCAACCCGTAAAGTAACCCGAAATCAGTCCGAAATCATTAACCCGAATTCAATCCGAGGCCGCTTGAATTAAACTCAGGCAGTGTTTGAGTTGAGTCTATCAACCTGAGGTAGGGTTAGGGTTAGGGTTAGGGTTAGGGTTGAAGATTATATACTTAGGGTTGGGGTAGGGTTGACTGTCCAACCCACCCGATCCGCCCGAGTTGCACCCCTTCCTTCCTTAGCTTAACGACTGGATTCATCTAAAAGCCAGAAAATCGACTCGCCTGTTTGCGTGTGGATAAACTATGGAAAGCTAGAGGCGAGTATGAGGTTATTGATCTTGGGTATGAGAGTTTTCTCTTTCAATTCGACCAATTGGGGGATAGGGAAAGGGGTCATCATAGGAGTTTGCCTAAAAGAGTGGGGACAAATCCTACTGGGAAAAAGAGATTGAAGTATGATGATGCTAACATGTTGGTGAAGAGTTGAGTGACCAAGAAAACTTTTATAATTGGCATGGTTGAACATGGAAGATCATATTACATGCAGGTGTCATATCCATAGTTATCAGAAATAATTAAATCCTTGATGAGTCATGATCTAGGTACAATGATCCCAAACAAGGTAGGTTAACGATACAATGTCTAACCCCAAATTGTGATACTTACTTGGAATTGATTCTCTTTGAAAGATATATCACAAATACAATGTGTATGGATGTATAATTCTATATAACTTTAGATAATATGAAATCTAATCATAAATGTAATTGCGTACCTTTTGAATTCTTATGACAAAAGAATAAAAGAAAAGAAAATAAAATAAAGTTAATATAAATTATTTATGGGTATATGAATATGCAATTGTGCATAATAATAATAGTTATCTTACTTAAAAAATGAATATCAATTTACTATATGGATCTAGATGCATAATTATATATAATTTTTTACATACTGAAAGCCACCCAAAAATAGTTCTAAAGCGAACTACCATCCAAACTAGCATACCAACATTGTACTTGAAAAAGTATTGTGTCGTATATTTGTACCGGTACCACATGCCGAATCAACCCATGATTCAAGTAAAATTGGTCATACCCTGAAACTGAATAGTAGGCTATCATCATGAAATTTATGTTGCTGATTTTAACAAACCCAAAGGGTATATCAGATGGTAAGGATCCCACCTCAAAAGGTGGAGGCCTTAAGTTCAGGTCATCCACCAGGAATTTATGCATTTTTTGGGAGCGATTGGGGGACTGATTGTTGGGGGCTGGGGATTACAGGCCTAGAAGTGAGTTGTGCACGTTCAAAATCAAGGTACGGGTAAGCTAATGTATTTTCTAAAATGCAATGAATGAATGACTAACTAAAAATGTTGAGAAGTGTGACAATTTTTTTTTTTTTTTTTTGTAATTTTAGACTTGCGGTTCTATGAAGGAGAACATCATCTTTGTTCTACTTCCCCTATGTTTTTTCAGTACTTGTCATGTTGAGTTGATATATACATTTCAATGGTCATGTATACACATGTTGAGGCATACGATTCTTAATCCTTGCTGTCTTCTTTGATATATGGCAACTTGCATGATCATGCTTTTCATCTTTGGTTTTGCTTGGATTCATATTTCTTGGGAGGGGAGGTTAAGAACTTTGGTACCATACTTGGCTATTGGCCTGCAGATTGCAGAGGGTAAAGTCTACAAGCATGATGCAATCCATGCAATGAATGCTACTTTTCCACCTCATTCCTGGCCATCTTCTATTCTAGCGATGTCAATTCATCCTAAGTCACTATATCTGGTGGCCCCTTTTGCGTTGGTGCCATCAATGCATTATAAGCATCTCAAATGACTCTCCCTTGTCTCTGGGATCCCCAAATTGTATTACTAAGGGAGAAAATTCTAAGCAATAGGTACTAATAGATACTTTTAAAAGCTAGTGTTCAGAACATGTCACATCGTTGCAAGCTAGCGTTGCACTGACAGGAATATTGTCCTGCGCAAAATTAATGCTGTCATATCTTTTCCAAAGATGGGTGAGTTTTTTTTTTTTGCATCAACTCTGTGATGTCATACCATCATCACCCGTATCTTGATCCAACTGAAATGTGTATATATAAGATGTATTTATATATTTGGTTTTATATGGTTTGATGATGCAATAACACAAATAGACTCCACTTCAGAGCCAGAAGAGCTTTCTTGGTGTTGCACGATGTATTTACAGTCTAGATACCCTGTAAGAGCTTGTGGGAATTGGTCGCATCATCAATGATAAATCCTTCATGGATATGGTCAGGGTTTTAGAGGCATGTTGTGCAATAGAATTTTAGGAGAGCTATAACATATCTATCAAAAGGCATACTGGGGATATTTAGATAGAAGAAGTGGTGGATACATTACTATGACCTAGTGAGACAGCTGTAGTATCAGCACTTTTAGCATTTTGCCGCACAGCAAGTTTGCAGGCTTGCTGTAGTAAGTTGATCTTCTGTTAGCTTCCCGACTTTATCAGGAGCCATTCAGGCCACTTAATCTCCTTCCTAATATCTCAGGCAACTGAATTTTAAACTACCTTTGAACACAAACTGATGTGCTATATATTGGGATCAAAATGTAAAGATATTTTCTACAGTCTACATCTGACAATAGATGCAAGAGAGATTGACATCCTCTGCCCATCTTAACATCACCACCTGACCCTTGATCCAATTTACCTCAAAACTCTATTCTGTTACAAAGCAAACTACATTCTTTTCAACAAAGAACTTGTGTTCTTTAGTGCTGCAAAAAACAATTGCATCATCAGCATAAAGCAGGAGAGAGATATGCCCAGTCCCTGTCCTTCATCAGGCCACCAGACCCTCATTGAGTTTACCATCTTTATTTATTTAAGAATGTCCGCTGAAAGCTGCATTTCTGGTAATGAAGAGCAAAGCGAAGAAAGAATCTTCCTCTCACAACGATGTGAACTTCTGGTGAAACCCACACCATAACATTTCTTGAGAGCTACATGCAGCCTAGCATTGCTGGATTCTAGTATCCATCAAAGTGCCCAGTTCTTTGTATTACTCGCCACAGGTAAAAATTTGCAACATGGCAACTAAGGTGTTGAATACTTGTCTACTTCCTATTTGTATTTTATTTAATACCAACTTAGGAATTTATAGCAGAATCACATTACATCTGGATAGTCGGTGATCTTTAGAATAGTAGGCAGCCACTTTGAGATAATCTTTCTTCTTTTTTGGCATGGCTGCACCCAGTCTTGAACGCTCCATACTTGAATATAGATGAAGGAAACTGACATGAACTTTGGTGCACAGAAATTATTTACAAGGGTACCAACAATGACAATTTAGGGAGATTGATTTATATTAGTGTAATGAAAAATACTGCAGTGTGACAAAGGACCACTAACAAAATTATTTCTTTCATGATGCACTATATTTTCTGTGTGTGTGTATGTGTGTGTGTGTGTCTGTATTTCTCTGTCTCTCACATCATATTATTTGTTTCCTGTGTCTGAAGGTGGCAGAGAGGGCTCTGTTCTTATGGAACAATGATCATATTGAAAACCTAATCAAACAAAATCGAAAAGTTATATTGCCGATTATCTTCCCTGCCCTAGAGAGAAATGCAAGAAAACACTGGAATCAGGCAGTGCAGAGCTTGACACTAAATGTCCGCAAAATCTTCTCTGATATTGATCCTGAACTCTTTGAAGAGTGCTTACTCAAGTTTCAGGAAGATGAAGCTCAAGAGCAAGAGATTAAGTTGAAGCGTGAAGCAACATGGAAACGCTTAGAAGAGATTGCTGCAATGAGAGGTGCCAGTAATGAACCAGTGCTTGTTGCCAGCAGGATACCCACTCGCACATTATCTGGCTAGAGTGACTGGAGATCCTGGATGGTGATTTGGTTTGTCAGGTCACACAGGGTGAAGCACACCAGTGTGCGAGATATCAATTGGCCCTGTTGTGATTTAGTCGAGGACTGTGTATATGGATTGGGGTGCTGAAGTTAAAGTTGGTTTTCTGGTGCTGCACTGCACAGTCAAATGGAGGAAATCTGGTTAGTGAATATTGCGCCTTTTTTCATTTGTAGTGTTCAAAAGGGTGAAATTGGAGGGTCATTTTGCAGGTATCTGTTTAGGTATTCTTGAATGTGGTTTAATTAATGTACTTTTAACCTGCAATTATACATATGTGTATCATTACACTGTGTTTGGGAAACTGTTGCCTGGTTTGATTTTGGATTTTGTAGATAAGCTTCATATTCTTCTTGTTGTAGGCTTTGAACCCTGGATAAGCTTCATACTTTTAATTCCTGGTAAGCCGGTAAACAAGATTGCCTGACCTATTCTGGTCAGCATTACCATTAGTATGGCTGATAAGTTGGAGGTTTTCCTTAGGATATTCTTGTATGGTTGATGCAGGAGCAACCTTCCAGACCTTTGTTTTCTGACAATAAGGATGATTAAGGTTTATCTAAGAATACTGAGATTCGACCTAGGTCATGCATGCAGGGAAATGTGTTTCCTATAATCATAGTTAAATCATAAGGTATCTGCATTTATTTTGAGGGTTTTTGACTTAAATTTATTGCAGTTGTTGAATTAAAAATGAGTTGCAATATTAGATGAGAGTCATTGTCAATCGAAGTGACGTTATTGTTCATTATAACCAATCAGAAAATGAGTAAATGGAGTGAAACTTTTTTTTTTTTTTTGGTACCAAAAATGTGAATATATAGATAGGTAACTCTACATATTCTCTAGAGAGCATTGTTCCCCAGTATCATACAGTTATCTGCGGGGAATTTCATTGTATTTACGTTGAGGTCGAAGTTAAGATCCCACCGTATATCCTGAGCACTGAATTTTGGATCCACCTTTTTATTTTTTTTTTAACCACGTCAATATGTATGTTAATTAAGTTGAACTACGAAGTTTGAATATGCTATTTGATTGTAATTGACTAAGGTCGAGTTTGAGTTAAATTTAATTGTCGAGTTCAAATTCTTTCTCATACTAAGCTTGAAATGAGCTTGCGAGCATTCAAGGCAAAATTAAATTTAACTTCTCGACAAAAAATTTCAACAATTTAAACATTAAAACTTATAAGCCTAAATCTCTTAAAATATGATTAACCATTAAATCTTACCCTCGATGTTTAGATTTTTTAAAAACTATTAGAGGAGAGAGAGAAAAGGAGAGAAATTTTAAATTTGGATTGTTCGTCTCTTGAATGAGAGTTATTTGTTAATAAAATAAAGATTATTAATGAATAGAAATATATTCGAACTAAACTCCCACGTTATTCAATTCGACTTGTTTATAAAACGGATTTAAAAATTTGATCAAATTTAATTTATTATACAGTGAGGGCCCAATCCATCATCCAAACGGTGCACCCCCACCATCCGAAATATAAGAGGTGAAGACTGAAACTTTAAGATCTGCCTCACCTTTTTTTTATTTTTACTTTTTCGTCATCTTCTTTTTGTTCTTTTGTTTTTTTTTTCAAAAATATAAAAGCCTCGTCAATCTGTGAAGCTTTTGAGCTGGAGATAAGCAATGATTCGCCAATTGCTGAGTATTTTCCAGACGCTGAAATATAATTCGATGCCAATTAACATGGGGAGAACACTATGATACCCACTTTTATTTTTTGAAGCGCAAGTTATGATTTAACTGTATATGAGTTAAATGCCTAATTCATGTACACGGGATTTGCCCTCGATTCTATTTGGACTTATGAACCTGAACAATATAAATGCGTCTCTATTCGTTAGAGATGGATCAGAGATTTCTCCCCTATTACCCAAAAAAAAAAATCTCAAATCTTTTAGAATGTAATCTCAAACCTCATTCACATTGAGGAACAAAAATTAACGGAATGATCACATTATAATACTTTTAATATATTATGATACATGTAAGAAATTTAATATTTTTAGGTATAAAATAAAAAAATTTAAATCTTTTGGACTGTAACGTGCAATTCACTCGATTCTTTATGCAAGTCCCCATAACTTGATAAAAAAATTGTACTTATTCCCCTCCTTTGAATGAGGGTTTTTAAGTTGCACAAACAGTGATAGAGCATAATTCACATGTCTTGAGTGTGGTTAACTGTATAAAATTTGAATAGTTATATTTGGAAACACGTTTCACAGAACACGAGGAACACTATAATTGATGGGTTTGTTTTGTACTACTTACCACATTTTGCCATTTTTAACCTTACCTAATCAATGATTTGGGACTCAATATGATTTCTTCGTCTGCTGCTACTCTGAATCTAAGGACACTATTGTATCAAAGACACGACATATAAAGAAACGCCTAATTTTTAGACAACTTCTTCGTCTCGTGTTTGTATTTTTGATTAATTCTTTTTTTGATTGGATTAAAAATAAGTTATTTATGTAAAAATTAAAAAATTTATGAAAAATAAATTTTAAAAAATTTAATCCTAAGAAATTTATCTATATTTTAAACTTAGAATATTTGCGTTTATAGTTAATTCGTGTTTTTACTAAACTATTTCTTGAGGTTAAATCACAAATTTTTAAAATGGGATTATGTTGTAGACGATCCCACCCTCTTTTTAAGGCTATCACATGCAAAAGAAAATAGATAAATTATATTTAGACTTTATGAGATTTGTTATTAATACACATAAACCCCCTCAAGTATGAAAACTTACACCAACACCCCCTCTTAACAACGGTTTGCTAACAACACTAACGAATATACTAAATAGACTAATTAACCCATACCAATAACCAAAACAAACTTAACCCTAGGCAACTTATTCCAACCACAGAATTGTCTCAATCCATATACAAACAACTTCAAACTTATAAATAACCCCACCACTTTCTCTACCCTTCATTTTCCTCAAAGTCATAGTCCCAACTTCGGTCGACCACCATGCCCACCCATTTGCCTCTGACCATGCTATCAACTCAACTAATGACGCAACCCACTATCCCCCCCACCCCCAACTCCAAGTGCCTACCCCAACCCTACTTTGTTGCCAACACCTAATGAAAACCACCCCTTCCCAACTTCTTCTCTTACGCCTCATCTCTCTCGTGATCTTCACACACGTGCGCCCACACACATACACACAAAGAGTTGTCCACACACACAAGTAACTCGCATTCTCTTTTGCATCATCTCTTATTTTTGTCTTGTCACACACACACACACACGGACACAGTTTCAGGTAATCAAATTTATTGAACTAAAATTGAAGACAACAATTATCCACTTGAATTTGAAGGTTTATGTCATTGCTACTTGTGTATAACAGTGATGCTGCTGTCAATTTAGGGGGTTGATGTTGTGTTTTTGATTAGTGGGTTGAGGTTGTAGCTAATGTTTACTAGTAGTTATTGGTGTGGTGATCTGGTAGGTGGGGTGGGGCAGTGATGTTGAGTGATTGAGGTAATGTAGTGGTGATTCTATGGTTGTGCGGGAGGGAGGGAGTCGGTGTTGTGGGACTAGCAAGTGTTAGAGGTTCATTGGGTTGTTTTCAATGGGTTTGATTCTTTGGTTTTAATTGATGGGGTCCTAGAGAGTGTGGTCAGTCTGGGTATTAGAGTTCAAAGCATCTTAATTTTTTGCCATTCTTTGGCACGATAAAAAAGGAAATCAAAAGAATGAGCCAAAATCGAATAAGCAAGGCCAAAGCCAAATGCCAACCTAAGAAGGGACGTTTGCAGGATACTAGATGCTAAGCAGCTAGGAAGACATGTAAAAAATGAGAGTTGTTGGAACTAGCATATTGGAAAATCAAATGGCCAAAATAACTATACTACACCAATTTGTTGTGTATGAATAATGAGATTTCATTGATACATCCATGCATGCCCCGGGGGATCATATGCAGTTTCCTTGCTCTATTTGTTCAAGCAAGTGCTTGCAAGCGGCTAGGACGTACATCGTACATGATGTCGCTCACTTTCTCATATGCTTGCAGTTGGGTTGCGACATCCGCTGACAAGGCGGCCGAAAACGCACTTTCACATCTTCTGAACGCGAAATGGCTAGGGAGAGGAAATGTTCGTTTTATAAAACCACTTAACAATTCAACATTTGGGTGGGGGTTGGCAAGGTGGGAGAGGTTAACTGTTGAGGCTATAGCAAGGTTGAAGAACGAGGTATTTTCTAATAAATTAATAGAATTCATGGGGCATTTGAGGAACACACACAAATTTTGGGTTTTTGATAAGTTAGTGATGGTTATTTAGGAGTAGTTTAGAGATTTTATGATGAAAGTATCCTCATGACATTAAGATTAATTTAGACAAACTTTAACATCAAGAGGTTTTATGTTATGACATCAAATCTCAAAGGGTGATGATGTTATTTTTTATACCTAACGATATATGTGTATCAGCGATAAACCTCAAAAAAAATTAATTGTAATTTACCTACGAAAATATTAATTATAAGAATGATATTATGTTATTATTGTCGTGATCACTTGTTGGTATCTTAAATTTATTTGTCATTCATATGTTACTAAATGATAATAATATGTTACATTAATAATTGTTTTCATTATTTATCGAAAAAATATTACATAATTCAAATAAAATGTAAAAATTTAAATTTAAATGTATATATTTTTTGAACGAGTGAGATGGATAAGTCGCGACAACTGTTTTTAGTTTTATTTAAATTTTGTACTGTAGATGGGTGCCTGACACGGAACGAATCCCGACACAGTCCCGAAAAGCCAAAAAAAAAACACAGCATAATCCCAGGTTCCCTCTCTCTCTCTCTCTCTCTCTCTCTCTCTACCCCCCTCCCCCCTCGGCCCAAAATTGAAACATCTGATTGAAGTAATCTCAATCTTTTGCCGAACATTCTTCCCAAAATCCTGATTCAATGTGATACTTCCACAATCGTCCGAATCAAATCTAAAAACAAACTATGATGTCGCAGTAGATATTCGAACTGCACATCAATTCTCACGTTTCAGGTGTCTGGTAACAAGTAAAAGGAGAGAGAGAGAGAGAGCGGGAGGGGTGCGTCGATAGATATAGAGAGATTGAAAAACAGGGAAATGCCAAGCGTAGCTGTAAAATTATATAGTGTGTTCTTCAAATTCCTTCTCAAACACCGGTTGCAGAACCGAATCCAAAACCCTTTGGATCAAAATAACATTAACTCTTTCGGCGTCACGTCACGGGCTGATGAGTCAATCGCGGCCGCCAACCCTTCATTCACCGACGGCGTCGCCACCAAGGACATCCACATCGACCCCTTAACCTGTCTCTCCCTCCGAATTTTTCTCCCTGACACGTGTTTCGTCTCTTCTGATTCCGATTCTAAGTCCCAGTCTAGAGCTAGGGTTAGGGCTGTGAGTAAAAACTCCAATACCGAAATTGGATCAGATCCCAATCTGAATCTGAATCTGAATCGCAGCCCTGCTCGGCGAAACAGCTATGGATCTTCTAATGATAATGACGTCTTTACACGTAATGAGAATCAAAGAAGGAATAGTTATGGTTTTGTTGGGGATGATTCGAGTTTGAAACCGTCAGAGAGTGCGGGTTATAGAGGCTATGCACCGATGAACAATAATTGCCGAAAATTACCAGTGTTGTTGCAATTCCACGGGGGAGGGTTTGTGAGTGGTAGCAACGATTCGGTGGCAAATGATTTTTTCTGTCGAAGGATTGCCAAATTGTGTGATGTGATTGTGTTGTCCGTTGGGTATAGGCTTGCGCCAGAGAATCGGTACCCAGCGGCATTTGAGGATGGGCTGAAGGTGCTGCATTGGCTGGCAAAGCAGGCGAATTTGGCGGAATGTAGTAAGTCGTTGGGGAGTACAAGGGGTGGTGGCACGGATTTGAGGAAGAATGATGTTAATAGACATATTGCAGATGCTTTCGGAGCATCTATGGTGGAGCCTTGGTTGGCTGCTCATGGAGATCCATCCAGGTTAGATTGTTCATTCCATTGTCTCGGTGATAATCTTGCTTTGCTTGTAAGTGGTAAAGAAACTTGTAGCGTAGTTCAATTCAGTTGGGGGGAACTTAACTAATAAGATGGTAACATATCAAACTGAACTGATTGCAGATGTTGCTTCTATGATTAATTGCTTAGAATGTTGAGTATGTGTGCAAATGATAGAATTAGTTATGATAGTGGAAATTCAGGTTCTCAAGTGACTTCATTTTTTAATGCACATCGTTTTTTTTTTGATAAGCAAAAAAGGGCTGGAGCAAACGAGAGCGCACAGAGACCACCCGATAGGCCGTTCCTGGTGGATCATGAGGTTTCTAAGCGTGTCCGTTACTCCTTTTAAAAACGAACATAGACTAACATAGCAGTTAACTATCGAGTTTCAATGTGGACTTTAAGACTCGAATTTCAGTGTGAGAAGTTCGGCCAAGAACCCACGAGACCACCCCACTCGGCGGTAATGCACACCATTTATCTTGCTCAAGTTCAAGTTAGGATATCTAGAAATCATTTCAGACCGACTAATTACTCATGCTTAAGCTTTTAACCCGTCTATGTTAGTCTTTAACTTTTAGCATCTAAGTGGACACTGACCAAATGCTGACAATATTTCATCATGACGTATGTTAAAACAGCTAGAACACAATGCTTGCCATGTGCGCACTAACTAGAACCTTTGGGAATACTGTTTTTATTGAGACGCTTTCTTCTTGCTATTCTATCATGTGAACATTCTTAATATATGTTGGTGCATTTATGCATTTGCTACTAAAAGTTGTAAGATATCATGGTGCCATTTCTCAATTTAAAGGCATAACGAGCTGCTTTGTCTTGCATTGCCAATTGTGACATTTTGGGCTGATACACGATAGAACTTCACATTGAAGCATCATTGGTGTCCGTTTGACAACACTCTAGATGGGCTTCTAAGGCTTAGAAGACCAAGTAGAAACATTATGAGTGTTTTGCGAGTCATTTTAATTGGGCTTCTATTGGATGGTCAGTTTTCAGAAAGTCCATCCCACGGGATTAAATAGAACTAGGGTTTATGTAATTCCTGTGTGTGTGTGTGCATGTGCATTTATTTTATATTCATGTTGACATGCCAATTTAACTACGGAGAATATGAGGATCTGCGGAAGATGGGGACGATAATAAGTTAACAAAAATCCCAGATCCAATCCTTATGATCATGCTCAAAAAAAAAAAAAAAAATCCTCTCTTGTACTCTTTCTTATTACAGCTTTTGTTTCTTTTTGTTGTTTTAAACCTTTCTATTTAGTTGTCTTCCCTTGGTGCACTTTTATCACTGTTTCTCTTTCGAGAGCAGCAGGCTTATTTCAATGTAGAAACTTCAGATTTTAATTAGTTGCAAGTTCAATGTGACCAATCAACTTATGATGTCAAACAAACAGCGGAAAGCTCAGATTTTGGAAAGGGGTCACCCTTTTCTTGAATCTGGAAGTGGAAGCTAGTGCAGCTGGCCAGAAATCCTGTTACTTACAAATGGGTTTGAAATTATTTTTCATGCACAGAGGACCGTGCTTGGTCTATCAATGTCATGATTGCTATTATAGCACCCCTAGTCATTACTCATTAGAGACTAGATAGTTATTAGGATTTCTCCTTCTGTTAATTCCAAGGCATTATGAATCTAATGAGTCTTTCTACACACACACACTCAAATGTACCTAGATAAGCATGTAAAGTTGATTCTGCGTTGAACATTAATGCTCTTTACACCCATATGCCTAAAAAAGTTTCTGGGCTCATAAACCATATTAAGAGTGCAAGAAAGCTTGGGTAAGGCTTCTGTGATATAATTGACCAATATTGGTTGGAAGTCCATCTCATGATGTTCATTTAATAAAGTCATATCACAGATGGACTTTTAGTTCAAGATGTTACGCCAAGCAAAGCATTGGTCATATGTGAGAAATCTTTAAGGGAAGCTATGTGATTGGAAGTGGTCTTTGCCATGTGGAAAGTGGTAATAATGCTAATGCCACACTCCATAATCGTGTACATCTTTTTTTTTTTTTTTTAAATTGTTGAATCCTCCGCCACTTTAACCTTACCTAGAGCTATGAATGAGCTCTGTTTGCAGCCTGATTTTCATCAGTTTGTATATTTTTAGAAGTTTTGTAGATAATTTCTCTGATTTCAGGGGCTTCCCAGTCCTGGTTTGAAATCTGAAAGTGTTGGAATTCCCTTTGATATGAGTATCTTGTCTTTTTAATTCTGACCCAGTATGAGAGCAACTCTATGTGACTTCTGGTTAGAACTTGTGTTTTCACTTGAGTGATTTCATGATCCTTCACCTTTTGATTTTAGGTTGCTGTTCAAACATGGGTGCATATCATTTAACAAAGAAAAATTGCCAGACAAGTGCAAATTTCATTCTAGTTATAAATAATTTTGACGTCCTGCGTCAGAAGAGCAATGAGAACATGCAGTTGCCAATTCGATGGAACCTGGTGTTATAGACATTACTCACTTTTGAGATATTGTTATGTGATTTTAGATATTGTAATTCCGTAAACTTTCTTTACTAAATAATTAGTGTATAAAATATAACATTATTACTTTGATTGCAGTAATTGTTCAACTTTGGTTACTTTGCTAGCTGCTACCTCACCATATTGTTTGGTTTTAGGAGAATAGAAAAGGAGAACGTGAGAAGCTTATGAATTATTTTAGGGTCTCGTTTGGGTGATATTAAGAAGGCTCACTTGTAAGTGGGATCGATTTTGTCTTTGATGGGTTGATGATCTGGAATTGGTGAAAGAGTTTGGTGATCTGGATATGGGATCACATATATTTTTTGGCATCAATGTGGGTGTCTGTTACGAAGGAGTTTGATGACATTCTGCTTTTTTGTATTTGGCGGATTGGAAGGCCTCATGCGATACATAATTTTATGAATAGAGAACTGTATTTTTCCATTTCACAGTTGGACATCTTGTCCATCTATAGTGCTTTTTGATGTATCAATTTTTGCCATTTTAAATCAAAAAAATTGTTTTGTTTCCTATCCAAAAAAAGAAGATTAGATCTGGATTTGGTGGATGTGGCCGGAAGTTGGAATTAAGCTTTTTGATATTTCATGATATTTGGTGACTGTGGTTTTCTTTTCCTGTTATCAGTTTTTTGGCCTCAAAAGCTAGTCATTTTCATTTGTCTGGTAAGGCCTTCAGTGTCCTTTCAATTTGGGTGTGCATTGACAAAATGAGTCTTAACGAATACTGTATTTATTTACTCTGGGTGATTTTAAGAGAATGAAGAGGTTTGGCAACCCAAGCAAGGAAAGAATGTTATTACAACTTATTTGAAGAAAATGAAAAGTGTTATAGTTTGTTGTAGAATTATATGCTTCGCGTGTTCATTTATTTAAGAAATATAAGCTCTTTTTATTTACAACTTGACCCAGTTTATCATCATTGAAACAGGTGTGTTCTTCTTGGGGTGAGCTGTGGTGGAAATATGGCAGACTATGTTGCACGGAAAGCCGTTGAGTTGGGCAGTATTTTGGACCCTGTCAAGGTGGTGGCACAAGTTTTGATGTATCCATTTTTCATTGGAAGTGTTCCAACACACTCTGAGATAAAACTGGCAAATTCCTACTTCTATGACAAGGCTATGTGCATACTTGCATGGAAACTTTTTTTACCTGAGGAGGAGTTCAGCCTGGACCACCCTGCCGCCAACCCACTTGTCCCTGATAGGGGGCCACCTTTAAAGCTCATGCCTCCAACACTCACCGTTGTGGCAGAGCATGATTGGATGAGAGACCGGGCAATTGCTTATTCAGAGGAGCTCCGGAAGGTAAATGTTGATGCACCAGTTTACGAGTATAAGGATGCAGTTCATGAATTTGCAACTCTTGATATGCTCCTTAAGACCCCTCAGGCCCAGGCCTGTGCGGAGGACGTTTCCATCTGGGTAAAGAAGTATATCTCACTTCGAGGTCATGAGTTCTCTTATTAAGTAAGCTATGCAAGTTCAGAAACAGTTTCAGAAGGATCACAATATACCAGTGTTTGTGATTTACTTTTGGATGACCGTGGGAGCATCTAATTGCTATCTTTACATGGGAGTGGGGATTCGTAACACGAGGAATCAGTTTTCTATCTCCTTTAGCTTCAAGGAGGTTCCACGGTTTTCTTGTTTAATCCTTTAGCCATTCTGTTATTTTTGTAAGATAGATAACTTGCCTCTCAGTAGGATTTAGTTTAGTTGTGAGATCTTCCTCTCTGAGTTACGCATGCCACGTCGAGATGGCCTTTTTAACATTGTTTCGCTGTGTATTGAGATGTAAAATTTATAATTAAAAGAATCCAGTTGAATGAAATGTTTCTCTATTCTTTCTTTGTTTCTCTCCCCGTTTTGGTTTGGCTTTAGCTTACTCTTCCCGTGTTGGTGATAGTACGCTGTAGTTAATTTTTCGCCGTGCATATTCAGTTTGCTGCCAGCCATGGATTCTTGGTGGTCGAAGACAGGGGTAACCCTCTAGAAGGAAGGGAGAGAGCAGGGTTACTCGTCCGAAACTATCCTAGGAATTTCCATGGCTTTGAATGTGAGAACACTGTTGGATGGAAGCAAATGCATGCACTGTCCTTTTGAAAAGTTTTGTTGGTCTGCTTGAGTGGGCTACATGTCACTACAACGATGCTCTTCGCGGCAGGAGGAGAGGAGAATCGAGTTGGGGGGGGAGAATGACGTAAATATCAAGGGGCTCTGTTTGATTTTGGACTTCAACTGCTAGGAAAAATACCGTCCGAAGTGGAAAACTTTGCCCTGTACCTACTGTCTACAAACATGAAGAAGGTCCTGTAAGGATATGCCATGAACATGACTCCTTTGAGTCGCTTTCAGGCTCATTTGGTGTGGTGCTGGAACCTCGTTTAGAGATGTTTTTGTTGGTGCTCCATTTCAAATTTGAATGCTCGAGTAGAATTCCGAGGTTTGGCTATCTTGGAGGGAACATATCCGCCGGCTCGATTCTAACTTTGGTCCCCCTTTGTTTAAAGTGGAGTTTTTTCAGAAGGACTGCAGACTCCGATTTCAACTTTGACTCTGATTCTGACATAAGTCTGAGTTTGCCTTTTAATTCCAATCCCGTTAAACTCCGACACCGACACAGCTAGAGTCAAAGTCGGATTTTCGAATTCTTGCACCCTCATATTGGGGATGCTGTGACAGACAACCATTTCGTTTTCCAAAGGCCCCAAAAGAAAGAAACAAAAGCTGGACAATGACTTACGAAAACAAATGCCATAACTTGGGCATCATACGATAGTGACAAGATTGATCCATCGTAACTTGGGCATCATACGATTTTGAGCTCTCAAAAACAGTTTTTCCCATATACGATTATATATATTTATCCCTTCTTAGAACCCCACGGTGACAGGGTTTCATACTACCTTTTTTATCTCCGAATGGAAGTTTGCAGCAGATGTTACATTATCCAGGTTGCCTTCCTTATGACAGCTACATAAAACTAAAGGACAAGAAGGAGAAATTTAGACAATCGATAACATAAACAATTGATTGGACTTATATTTTTTTCATTTGATAGTACCATTAATTAGTATTATCAATAAAGAATGGATCGCTCTAGCTGTTCTTATCAACCTAGCCTCTCAAGAGTCCAAACAAATTTGTCTCCAGAGGTGTGTCATCACTTAGTACAATGTTGGTGGCAACCTTGGCTGAAAATAGCTCAGAGGGAGGAGCATGGATGGAACTATGGTGTGGCCTAGGAGCGCTATGGTCCCCCAGGTCTTCGAAAACCACACTGTTCAACAATTGATTGAAGTTTGAACAGTAACTTTTTTTTTTTTTTTTGCACTTCAGTGGGGTGACCTCCAGATTTTGAACCCTAATTCTGGCTCGTTCGGTCCCTGGGAAAGCAATGGAAAACTCCAAACTGTGGTGACTATGCTATTCTTATCAGCAGGGGTTGTAGATTTTCCATTGCTTTGAAGTTGACGATTTTACTATGTTTTCTAATGGAGACAACAGCAAAACACTTCATTGTCTTTGTAAATTTCAACCAACAAGGAAACTAAACCTTTGTATGTCATGTATAAATTGTACGTTGCTAGTAGAACTGAGTCTCAGGGCTTCAATTCATATCTTCAAAAAGCTCCTTCACCGGTTCCTTCTCTTCAGAGATGGAGCCGGGGGGGACCTTAAAGAAGTATGAAAATTGCCTACTTTGAGTTCTGATGGTACTAATGCGTATATTAATTAGATCAGTCTCAAATTAGCTAAACAAGCCCAATATTGGAAGCAATTTGAGGGAGAGAGTTCATAAGGTGACTTATTTTTCTTTTTTTTTTTTTTTGGGGGGGTTGGGGTGGTTATGGTCCTTCAACTTAGCCACCAGTAGCTCAGATTGACCCAGCTGCCTAGTCATCTTGGCAACATTGGTGCTCCACTTAAAAGGTCAAAAATATATAGTGAAGCTCAGTGCTCAAACTTTGAATTCATAAGTGTCAAGCAGTATGAACAATGGTACTCCTTGCCTTGTGATGGCTTTGGCTTCTTGAAATCAAGGGTTCAAATCCCCTCACTCTCCCCATCCCCATCCCCCAAAAAAAAAAAAAATTAGTATGAACAATTGACTAAGTTGTCATACTTCGGTGGCCTTGAAAACAAATAAGGAGCAATGGAACTCTTATCATCAGAACCTCATAAAAGGTTATTCTTCTTATGGATCAGGGTATTGGATTGATTGGAGCTCTATTGCAGGTATTCTTACTGAGCAGAGGAATGAGGATTGGATGCTGTGCCCAATTCGACCAAGGAGCTTACTACCACATATCTGCTATGAAATTGAAAAAGTTTAGGTGCCCAGCCCATCATTGATAGATTTTGAGATTTAATGCCATGTAACTGGTGGTTGGATTTATTTAAGAGCAATAGTAAATCTCATTTTATGCTATTATTATGCAACTTGTAAAAATTCCAACACCCTCCTCCCCCCAAAAAACAAACCCTACTTCAACCCCAAAAAACAAAGGGATGCCTTTATATTCTGACAAAATCACATTTCTTAGATCATAACTGTACTGAAACTTGAACTACAATATATATTTACAGTATAGAGGAAGAAGTTCAAAAATTGGGGCCAATTTAGTATAATATAGGATTTAGGATGGCTACTTCGACTTTCTTACTCACATTTGTGATTTTCAAAAGCTATCAAGAGTATAAAGGAAACCATGACACAGGCCTGCCTGTATGTGGCTCTGCCTCTCTATATTTTTGTTTTTTTTGGCTCTGCCTCAATATGTTTCTAACATTTTGACCTAAATAAGTTGACCTGCCTGGAGACCATCTTCACATTCTTTAGAACGGAATTTATTTGTTGCTTTAAGATCTATGGTTAGTTTGCATTTGGGTGTTTACCACGACAATTGTGGATATAAATTTGAGCAAATAGCCTAGCAATCAGTATATGTTTCACATACCATGGATGGTGCTTCTTTTATGTACATACTTCTCCCTTGCCAAAGAGAGAGATGGTTGTACTGAATGATCAGACTACAAGAAAAACATATATTTAACAAAAGAAAACAATAAGTACTGATTAGAGTTTATTATGAAACAAAACAATCATCACATGAAGACATCAGATTACAATACACAACAGAGCCGGCAGCACCACCTCTCTGTCTGTATACCCAAAACAGAACAATGACAAACGAACAAACACAACAAAATCCCAACAAACACAGTGGAAATATGAATGAAAAGAGGAAAAAAAAAACTAATAGAGGAATGAGAAACATAATGGTACAATCAAGGCTATGGAAGCGAATATCATTGACATGAAGCAATGAGGAGAGAAGTCAGCAGCAGCAGAGTTGTGACCAGAAGGGGGCACATGAGGAGACGGTGCAGGTGAGGGTGAGAGTGTTGCCCCTTCAGATGTGCCCATCAATAGAACCATTGCAAAGATTATGCAAACTGAAGCCAATGACCTTGAAGTTGCCATTTCTGAAGAAGACAATTGATGAGGAATGTGTGACGAACTGTTAGCTTTATAGTACTGTTGAGGAGAGGTTATGACCTGGGTTGTTAACACAGGTGTCAATTGGCGAAATCTCTCTTAGTTGCCTATTATATTTTTCGCATGGCATTGGTTGGATGGCATAAAACCTAGTCAACTGCTCATCTAGAGCAGTTAGATTCCCTCAAAATCAAATTGTTTAATTCTAAGAAATTACCTAAAACAAAACTTTATTCCCCAAGAAAAAATCAGAGTTGAGAAAACAGTGAGGAATGTGTCAAAATGTGTTAAGGTGTCATTGTCATTTTTCAGACAACTATGTCATTATGGGATTTTCGACCAAGTCCATTAACAAGTTCTCTGTCAAGCTAGTACTTATGTCTCTGTATAAAGTTGTATCATTATGCAATGGTGGCCGCTTGCAAGGACTTTATCAACCTCCCATAACAAACTATATAAGGCATGCACCAAGTCTGCAACAATAATCTTTGTTTAAATCTTCCAGCATTTGAAAAAGGTCTTCCTGTTCATGGTTAGGTAAAGCTAATATTAGTTTTGACACTTAACAAATATAAATTAATTGAAGGCCAACTTGTAAACTTTGAATACGCGTTGGATCATCCTTATTTACAATTATATTACACAAGTAAACTTTTTTATTTGCATGATTGGGAGTATTGACCTACTATGCATTCACATGACTCTGTAGTCCTTTTTCAAACAACTACACCAATAATGATAATAATAATAATAATAATCCATCAGTGACATAATTTTACAAACATAAACAATCTGAGGTATCGGCTTGGCAAGTGCTATGAACTATGATCAATGCATAAGGGTCCTACAATTGAAGAATGGAGGGGTTCCTACTAATTTAAACCAGGTTGGCAGTATCCAATTTGAATCCGAGCGTGCCATCTGAGTCACGTTGAAATCAAAATTGCCAAACATGAACATCATATTCATTTTTTTGACAATACTGCCATCTGTTTTGGCATGGCTATTTAATCCAAAATTTGGAATAGTTTGTGATAAATCATAAGTGACCGAAAATAAAAGAGAACCGGGGCTCGGGGCAAGGTAGTGATTTACTCTAAACGGATTTGAAGCCTTACTACAATGTTCTCATATATGTAAAAACAAATTACTTCCTGATATATCATTGAAACTTCTCTACACAGAACTTTAGTCTCCAATGTGTACTTTGAACAACTTGAATGTTTTATGCTGGGAAAATTAACAAGATGGTAAGTATGACAGAAAGAACTGCCCCATAGTTTTCTTTTAAATTATCTGAACCAAAACAGATTGAAACATGTATGCAATTCCACCATCCTGATCTAAAAATTTAACCACTCATTGATGGAAATTTTGTTTCTAAAATGATAAATTGAAAATACAGGATTAAGTATTCAAGGGAATGCGCTTCGTGACTAGTGTGGCCCAGATTAGAGATGCAGAACAAGCCTAATTAGAGATGCAGACCAAGCCCAGACCACAATTACAGAACAACAAAAGCTCATTCACAATTGGTATGTGGTCAAACCCACTTTCTTAAGAGTTCCAATCCATCATCAACACATGTAGGAGTCTCCATCCGAGGAGAAGAAATCATGGGTACACAGTTATCAGGGACACATCGTCAACGTCGCCATATTACCTCGCCTGTTACAAAGTAGAGCGAGGGATCACTCCTCTATCACGTCACCCGTTACCAAGATAAGGTGAGATTCACGACATCACCCTGCTCCTTGTGAGAATAGCGTCTCAATTAAAGTCCCTTGGAGCCAACTTTGCTTGCTAATAATATATAAACCCTGCCTACACATTGGGGGGGGGGGGTCATCACACTCACACACATCTCAGCACACTACTCATCTCAAATAATAAAATTCTCTGGCCATGGTCATCATTTCCAATAGAGTAGGTCATTCAGACTGAACCACCTAATTTCTATGTTTGCTTGTGTTGAGCCCTCTTTACTTCATTATTAATTGATTTTGCATACACTCACTTTTGTGCATCATCACTTCCCATATTTCTCCCCAATATTTTGTATTCTTTTATACGTGCATATGAACAATATTTTCTCAAATCTTACCCTTTTTATTGATAACCAACGCTAAATAGTAAAAATAGTCTCTTACTTTTTGATCTTTACTAAGCTCATTTAGATTTCCGTTTCTGGTCAAGTTATATGTCATACATGAAGTAGTCTAAATTCCTCATCTCTTACCAAAATTTCTAAAATAATATTAATTCTTACTTTACTTTTATTTATCAAGGATGCTATATGTATATACATCTTTCCATATACTATTTTTTTTTCTTTTGCGCCAGGTTTTTCCTTTCCTCTACTTTTATGAATCAAGAAGGCCAAAAAAATAATCATCACATATCATGTCAAAAACAGAATAGAATGCACATTGAACTCAGCAGTAACTTTTTTCTTTCTGATTTCATTATCAAATATATCTACAAAAGAATTGATCAGCTAATTCATCTCACTCTAGTCTCTACATGGTATATATAACATCATTCAAAGTAACCGTCTCTCAGAAGTCACAAAAGCACACAGTTGCAGTTCCCCTTGCTTTCTTGTTCTGCTTAACCAAAAAGCCTATCTTATTGCTGATTTTCCCATGGTAACATACCTGTTTTTGTATCTGTGAACTCATGCAGTACCCTATCCTTTAAGCCAGTATCTGTCACCTCACAAAACTTGCTCGACCAGTCCGGCGGTTCAACAGCTTTCGTCCCCAGACCAGGAGCTCGATCCTTCGACCCTACGTTGACCTCTTGTTGCCAATCAGACACATAGGTAGCAACCCTCCTATAAAATTTCTCCTTGAACACTTCCCATACTTGATACTTATAATGATTCACCACCATCACATTTCTATCCATATTGACATGCCGAAAACCATCCCTGAGGTGAAAATGGTGCACCAAATTAATCAATGTGGAATTCAATGCCTCAGGCTTCACTATGCTCTTGTGCCTCTCCGGGGCACTTAGCCGACACGTATACCCGACCATCACACCTTTCACCGGACTTGTGTGAGCCCTGATGGCCCAAAATTATGACAGGATGCTCTTAATTCAGCTACATCACTAGGCCTAGATTGGTTCATAAGGACATTATGCAATGACAAGCCTTCAGGCAGGTGAAAAAACTCATCAACATCAATAAACCCGACCCACTCACACGAGTCCCTTGCCCGTAAGGCACAATGGGCAAACCCTGCCTCTTGGGTCTTGATCCAAGGCCATACGTGCCGGCTAATATTAAAATTACCAGCCACTAATGACTCCACCACATCAGCAATACCATCGTCGCTATTGTTGTCGTAGATGAACCAGCGTTGGACCCCAATTCGGGCATGGTACATGACCCATTCACGTAAGAACCTTGCCTGATTGCGCAACATCGTACAAATGCACATCTCATGTTGTTTCCGGGCAGGCAGGTGAGGATCCATTCTATGTTCGGGTCGTGCTATAGAAGGCAATATGCCTCTACGAATCACTCTCACTGATACCTTGATAGAATCATTACTAACCCTTTGTGGGCTATTCAATATACTTAAGGGGGTTCTGCACCGTACACGATCTCCTGCCCACTGACACGACGTCAGATCTCAACAAGAACTTGATGTT